GCAAAAAGATGTTATGCCAAGGCGTTGATCGCAACAAAGTACTGCCGATGTCACCGTGATATATCGGAGGTTGATGATAGGTCAACGTCACTTCAATTAACCTGGAAATGGGCAAAATCCGCTGGTCTATAAACTTTTAATTCCCTGTGAGCCTCCAATGAATCAGATCAGTATACCTCTCATCTTGTCGTTATTGAAGAGGAGTTTGATTCCTCATACCTTGAGGAGAACATTCCTTGCCCAGGATCTGCAATACAAAGCATGTCAGCATGCTCATCTCTCAGCAACGTCCGAACATGGCAGGTCGCAACAGAAGGCCTCCATGAAAGCCGAGCCGAAGGAGCCTCGCCAAGATGGTCAATATAGTCAAAAATCCTCATTCGGTGAAAGTTTCCTGCAGTCGCTTGGACAGGTTTACCAAGACACCAACGAAACACAGCTATCACTAAATCAACTGCAAGAGATGAAAGCTGAAGCCATCAACATCATGGAAGAGCTTGGCGATACTAAAGGCTCTATCTCTCGCGCCATCAACTACGAGTTTATGGCATACATGGTAGCGCCATACCGGGTCCTCAAAGCCAGCGGCACTCCCTTGCCCCAGATCCGTCGTCTCCTGGAAGAATCACTACAGCGAACCTTGGCCTGGTCATCGAAAATGGTTCGCGAGCAGCTCGACTCTACACCCGACGCATTTGAAAGCCTTGTGCGAGAGTCTAAGGACAAGGAACGTAATTTCTACCAGGAGCCTGATTTCAAGCTTCGACGAGCTCGAGATGAGCCGGATGCTTACAACTTGGAAGTGCATAAATGCTGGTATATGGATACGCTGCAACGTCTTGGTGCGAGAGATATCGGTTCTAGTTTCTGTTCTTTTGATAGGAGCTGGTATGATCCCATTGATCCTGGTCGGCATGGCGTTAGGTTTACGAGGCCAAGTACCATCGCTGAGGGTGCTGATCGGTGTAGGTTCGACATTGATCGTGTAAAGAAGCAGTAAGGCAGGATTCCGTTGTCTGGGGTGTGTGGCGTGACTGCAAGGAGACTGGGTAGTGAGCTTGTATGTATATGTATTGTGTAAGTTGTATAGGTATAGTTTCTGACATCTCCTACTCAGTTCATTTAGCTTTTCAAGTTAGGGAAGATCTGATCAGAGGTAGCTCAGCTAAGAAGGGATGCACTGCGTCTCGAATTACTTCTTCTACAATAACAATAGCCCCCCCAACCCTAAATACCATCATCACATAACATAGTCCAACATTGGTAGAACACAACTGATCAACAAGACCGAGATCGAATGCAGAGAAAAAGAAACAAGCAGTTGATATCGTCTTTGAAACAAACGCTTCATACCTGACTCTATGTCTACCAAACCGAACCCCCTTTTTATGTTCCGTTCCTCCTGCGACCACCCCTGGTGCTCCTCTCCACGTGCCCTCTGAGCACCTTTCTCGTCTCCACCAGACTCCTCTTGTGCTTGCTCTTGGCCTTGCCCATGGTCATAAAGATGTTCTTCTTGCGCTGCTTCTCCCTGTTGCTTGTACTCTTTCCCGATGCCTGCAGCTTGGACTTGCGGATCGCCTGTGTGCTCTTGTGCTCCTCCCGGTCTGGCTTGCCTTCCTTGGCGAGAGCTACACGCTCCTCCTTGGTGAGCTTGCGTAGACGGGCGGGCGCCTCAATCTGCTCGGCCGTCAGACCGTCGTCACGATGTCGCTGCTCCATCTCCTGGCGCTTCTTTCGGTTACCCAGCGCCTTGTCAAGGGCGGCGGATGTTCGAAGCTCCTGAAGCTTGGCCAGATCGGCGGGTGTGAGAATGGTTGTTGTCGCGAGTTTAGTGATGCGCTCAATCTCAGCCTCCTTCTCTTTCGTATCTTCGTCATCGTCCGAATCGTCCGAATCATCATCACCTGTCTTTTGCTTCTTCGACGCAGGCTCATCCTCCTCCTCATCTGAAGAGTGATGGACATCAATCCAGCCACCCGAGTCACTGCTGTCATCAGAGTCAACCTCCCACTCATCAGACTTGAAGCCGTCGTCCTCTTCTTCTTCATCACTTCCAGCCTTCTCGGGAAGACCCTGGGCGACTCGCTTGCGGACCTTTTCCTCCTCCTTCCACTTCGCCAGGAGCTCCAGACCCTCGATACCACCAGCATCCTCCTCACCATACTTGCGTTGGGCCTGGATGCCAGCCTTGAGGTTGATGGTAGCGTCCTTGCCACGATCCCGCTTCTTTAGAAGCTCAGCACCGACTTCTCGGTAAAGCGAAAGAAGACCCTTGGCAGCCATCATGACACCCTTGTCCTTGCTCTTGCGGTACTGAACCAAATCTTGTAGTAGGGTTTCAGTCATTGCCAGGGGTTGACGAGCACATATTTCACGAATCGAGTTGAGACCAGCGGCTGCGACCTCTGCGGCAGAGGCTTCCGAGACAAACTCGTTCGCAATCTTCTGGATAAGCGGCTCCAGGACATCAGGAGGCACGAGATTGTGCACTGCCTGAGCCAAGGAGGCCAAGAAGGATGTGACAGACTGTTGCCGGGGAGTAAGGAACTTGATGAACCAGGAGTAGAGCGACACAATCGTGAGCTTGTGCAGACCGACGAGTCGTGTCACCAGCTGGGTGACTAATAGCTTCGTATCCAAGGACAGCTTTGCCTTGGTGTTTTGTAGGTGCTTCGAGAAGAGCTGCTCAGCAAAGGCCTGAGGGTCGTGGAGGAGGTGAAGAGCAGAGAAGTTGAGCGGGTGAGGCTTGTCCTTCTTGCGCTCAGCACGCTTCACCTTGTCAACAGCCCTATCATAAGCCTTTTTCGTCTTCTTGGTCTTCTTGTTGATTCCCATTTGATGCCTGACCTGACTGAGGTCGATATCTTCGTCACTGCTCTCGTCCTCAAGCTCTTCTCGCTCCTTGTCTCCACCAAGGAAGAAGCGTGTCGCACCGACCACAACCTTTTCATTGTCGGACAAGCAGGCCTCCTTCATGACATCGACTGGCTTTGAATCAGTCCAGAATTGTCGCTTCCACATCTCACGGGTGATCTTGATTGCCCAGATAGCTCGGGGGGAGGATCGGTCGGCGGTGACAAGGTTGTAGAGGACGGTTTGGATGGTGCGATTGAGAGGGTGGTTGATGGACTTGGTGTTGGAGTTTCGCAGATCGCTCAGGATCTTTTGAAACAACACCTCGCGCAGGGTCTTGCTCGGCGACGACACGAGAATCGGGAAGAGCGTGGTGAGGACGCTAGTCGAGTCGATAACCTCTTTTCGTCGGAGCAGCACCAAGCTTCCCACAATCTTTTCCCGCAGCTCAGGGTGCAGAATGACATGATGCTGAGTTAGAATGGCCTTCAGGTCGTCGGCGAAACTCGCTGTCTCCTCCTTGTAGCAATCGGCGACGTGAGCGATCAGGTCGATAATGTTGTGAAAGGACTCGACCGAGTCGGCGGTTGCGGTCGCGGGGGACACGAGAAAGATCTCGCGCTGCGCTTCATATTGTTCCCATTGCTTCAGAAACTCCTCCTTGTACGATCTAGCATCTCGAGTCAGCGACAATGACCTTCTCACAGGAACTTGGTGACCGACTTGGGATCGCGACGGATCTTCTGCTGCAGACTCGCGCTGTGAGTTGTTAGCCAAGGAACTGAGCAGAAGATACTTTTTCAACATACAAGTCGGCGTCAAGCTTCTCGAGGGCAGCGACCTTGCGTTTGACCATGGTGAAGCCGGGCGCAATGATTTGGTCGTTGCTGTTGTCTTGATGCAGCAGCAGCTCAGTGGGGGAACCTTTTGCAGGAAGAAATTTTGGGAATTTCCTGGCTGATAAGATAAGCACCTCTTGGCGCGGAATTTGGCCGCGCTCGAACGACTTCACCTCCAGGATGGGATTCTTACCAAACGAGAGCACACAATTAATCTGATTGAAATAAATTAGAATTCTATCTTTGATATTTGATGGCTATTTCAGATTATTATAAGACTTGCAAATGGATCATTCTTGCGACGTTTGACGAGATCCATCGAAGCCATGCCAGACGTCCACTAAGACCAAACAGTCAAGCATGACAGGAATCACTTTCGAGAACTTGTGCAAGAAATGTTATTGTGGGCACTTCGATGCGATTGAGCTTTAATGGGCGACTCTAGAGCTTGTAAACAGCCATCCAGGCCATGATCCCTCATCCATATATGAGTCTCCCCATTTCGCCTGATTCTACGCCCATCCCCTGCCTCAAGTTAAGAGTCTTTCGCCCAGTCCCAGGGCCACAATCCAGAAGATCAAGTTGAGTCGAGAATGCCATATTGCCTTCCGATATCTTGGGTTGTAAGGGGGTTCTAGGTTGTTTCGGTCTTCTGTGTTCGTCAGTACGATTACCATCTCAGAGAAAGACTGGGAAGGTGAACTGTACCTGGACGGTCTTCTCCATCAGAATGATGGTGTTTTCAGGATCCAGTTCCTCAATAGCATCCCTGAGGAAAGACTCGACATCGCGAGCGTTGTCCGGGCCCTGCTCAAAGTCGATCACAGTTTGGAGCCGGTCGTACAAAGCAGATAGGGCGGGCATCTCCTCTTTGATATGATTGAGGGTGGCAGGTCGACGAGGGGCTTTCTGCTCAGTAGCTTTGATTTCCTCTGGGCTTCTCATGATATCTTCGGCGGAGAGACCGGCGCGTTTTCGAGCGCTGACGAGACCCTTGTACATAGAGACCATGAGGTTCAGTAGGCCCTGCTCATCGGACTTGGCCCAGCCTCCCGGGAATCCAGACATCTTGACTGATTTGTGTTGAATATTCGGTGTTTGCTATGCGTTTGAGGGAGAGTCGGATGTTGTGAGAAGAGTGCATCATCAAGTCAAAGGGCAAAGGGCAAAGGGGTGTTTGACATCTTGTCTGTTGGGGTACTACCGGACGACCAGAACAGTTAATTGAACATTGACAATGGGGCACTGAATAGGACATGGACAATAGAATATGGACAATAGAATATCACTGCATGTTACCCCTCATAGAATCAAGACGTGCATTAGCCCCATTCAGAGAAACTTCCCATCTAGGTATGCAAAGCAGAAAGCGAAATAAACGATTGGCTCACATGGGAAAAGATATCTTTTGCAAGGTGCCAGCTCTTCAACTTGTGTGCGCAATTGCACCCTTCTAATATTCAACCCCTACGCCCTCCTGCATCCTCTACAGAGACTTGCCCATGAACTTTCTCTTGGTGAAGCTCAGCCACCACTTGCTGGGCTTGGTCTCGTCCTCATCGTATACCCTGGCGAGTAACCGGACCGCAAGCTCCTGTCGAACCTGCGACAGGTACTGCTTCAGCTGCTCGGCCTCTTGCCTATCCCGAGGCGGCTCGTACATCTGCGATAACACGTCAGCATTCCAATACCTCTTGAGAACCGGAGCTCTTCTCCGCTGTTGCCACCCACCTGGTTAAGGGGCCATCCGGGGTCACCGGGAATGGCAAAGTTAAGGTCAAGAGCCAAGTTCATAACATCCTTCTGGGCATCACGCAGAGACGCCTGAGGTCGGATCTTGGTCAGGCAGTCGCTAATGAACCAGATGCCATAGACGAGCAGGCGGTCGGCAGGACCCTGGATCTCAAAGTTACGGAAAAAGGTGTTTGCTCGGAAGAGGGCGATGACCTCGTCGAGGATATCGTAGCTCTCGCTGTCCGGGTCGGGCGACTCGTTGGCCGGGAGAGGCGGCGAGAGAATCGGGAGGGTGTAGGCAGGACCGCGGGTCTTGGTGCGGAGCGGAAGGAGGGGGAAGTTGCCGATTAGGCGGGGGACGTTGGGGTCGGAGTTGAAGACGGAGTTGTATGCCTAGAGGAGCAGCATGGTTAGCTTTGAAGCCGTGGGTTGATATCGCGGGATGCGGAGACAGGAGGCGGAGGAGACGGGACGGCGGTGCGCATTCGTATTGGAGCTTGGGGGAAGCAATGCGAGCTTAGAGACGTACGGGCATCTTGAACAGCAATGGAGCTAATACGCTCAGTAAATGGGAGCTGTTTCTTTACAAGTTACTCGAGTTGGCGCAAGTTGTAAGAATGCGCTTCGTCACTGGCGGGGCTGCATCAAGCTGCTTGCTTGCTCACGAAGCTGTCGTCAATGGTGTGGGGCCGAGAGGTTGGCGCAGCCAAGTTGATGCCTTACCGAGCTGCCAGCTCTGTCACTAGTCGGATCAGGCCACAAGTCACCATCGTGGCGCAGCCCATCCACCGCCACGTCTCCCAAGTCTTAGTCACACCTCGGGACCCATTTTGGATGGCTGCCTAGCACTTTTGCGATTGCTCACGTGCACCCGTGCCTCATTCGCGCCGAGTCTACCCGCGTAAAGCACGGTGGCAACGCGCTTTTCCCTTCCCGCGTGCACACACAATTTTTTTTCTTACTGTACTCTTGGTGTATTGGGTGGGTACCACGTTGGGCCAGCCTTGGATCAAGCAGGGAAAAACGTGAGACGCTTTTGATGCAGCCTATTTCAGGGCTTGTTCACGCTCCCACGAGAAAAGGCAGCTCGGCCCGCCCATCGCGATTTGAGTGTCATCGATTTTCTCTTTCCCTCACTTCATTCCTCCCTCCCCTCGCCCTGCACTTTCTCCCGGCAATAGAGGGAAATCACTGTCAGCCTTTGATTGCCTCTTTTTGCACAATCTCTTTTCTTATTGGACGCCGCGCCCTTCGCCTCAAACCCCCTTTTTTGCTTTTTGTCACTGTTTGACAAGGGAGGCGCCCGTGCCAGCCGCTAGTGATAGCTTGTCACTGGATATAAACAGGGTATCACTTTACGGCGCGTCGGTCGCGGGCAGAGGAGGACAAAAAGATTTGGTTCAGGCAACCAAAAAGGAAAGAGTCATCAAAGTTAAGGAAGGGGGCAAATAATCACCGTCAATCGATGCTACCATTTGAGTAAGTACGCGTCTCGCCCTTTCCATTTACTTTCCCCAACAAGTGCACAACTACAAAGCCCGCCTTCGCGAACTCCGCTCACCCCGCGCCATAGTTCCCTCTTTGGCAACAGCAGCTTCGCACATCAGCTGCGCTTTTTGGTGGATATGGCGACCTCAGGATCATCGATGTCGTCGTCATTTCTGTCGCGCAACGGTTCTTCTCCCGACTCGACGCCGTGCACGTCGCAAGCGCCTGTTGCAGCCGCGACTCCCAGAAAGAGGCGCCCGCATCGCATCTACCGACCCGCGAAGAACTCGCTTTACGACATCTTGCACCAGCACTCCGGTACATCGCTATTTGTGCGCCCCATCTGCTGGACCGATCAACATGCGCGACTCCTAGGCGCACGATGGGAGGAACTGCCTCCATGCGATACACCTCAGCCTGTCGTGTCCCCCGGGACGCCACCCTCGCGAGGGCATCTGAGCCCGTCCAACACCATCATCACGCTCAGCAACGCGCTCACGCAGATCCTTCTACCCGACTCGATGCATCCTATCCTCTCCTCCAACGCGGTCAAAACAGTTTTGATGACTTTGTGGCCTGAGGCTTTCAGCAAGCCCCATTACCTACCTGAACTGCACCTTTGCTTTGGCGGCCGTGTCTACCGGGATGCTGTACGCGCACAGATGATGTGGAATTTTCCCTCTGAGGAGTACAAGTCATCATACTCTTCCTTCAAATCGGTATCGACGCGACCAGCCGAATCTTTCAACATCTCGACACAGTCTAGTCCCACCCACAGCTCGGCCAATCTACCAATGATCTGCTATATCGGCAAGAGCCAACTCGCGTCGGTCCGGAGCAACCTTTTTCGCGTCGCATCCGGTCCCGGAAGATCATGGAATGAGCCTGTGTACCGTCTGCAGCAACTGAGGGCTCGCTTTCTCGTTCCGTCTAACTCCGATCATGACGCACATTTCGTGGGCATCTTCCTCGGCATGGCGCAAAAGTACTTCTACCCTAGCCCCCCTATGACTGGCAGGAGAGACTCGCGACTGTCTCCTGGGCAAGGCATCCCGCCCTGCCCTAACTTCCGAGATCTCAAGTTGCGAATTCTCACCCACGACACGGACACTTCGGAGTTTATCGTTTACACGGGCTACGTGACAAAGGACTTTTTGGAAAAGTTCCACGATCCATTCAAGGCACCAGCTGATGATGATGATGCCGAGGTTACTGGAATCAAGATCGAGTACACACGGGTTCCCATTTGGCCGATTCTAGGCCTACGAGAAAGACTTGGCAAGGCTCTGGGTCAAGATGTTGTCGGCGCTTTCAATCCTGACGAGATAGAGACTTGGGAGAAAGATCCGGAGAAGCAATCTGGCGGCAAGCGCAAGCGGGAAGTCCTCTCAGAAGTCATTAACAGCAGCTTCGAGGATGATTCTGACGACGAACCAAACTTGGTTTCAAAGAAGCGCTGTCTGAGTGAGGGCACACCAGTGGGAGTGGTTATGTAAGATCAGGCTTTGACAACACGGCGAGAGATGGATCATCCTCGGTTGGGTTTAACGGGAATATGGGGCATGGGCGGTACACTATGCATCGGGCGAAACGGTTTGCTTTACAACAAGACTATGCCTCACAGGCACTTGCATCGGTCGGCAACGGCGTGAGGAGAAGGCGGTCGTTAGGTTACGAGCGTCACCATTGATTACAGGCTGGGTTATGACATGGTTATTACACGAACACGGAATGAACTGGGACAGGGATGGATGGATGGTAGGGAATGTTCAAGACATGTAGATATTATGCTTCTCTGTCAATGTTTTTCACAAGACCCTATGGAGATGGATGGTCAAGCACCTTACGATGAATTCACGAACATATTGACATTAACACCTTGTGTGTGTACTCCTTCGGCCCTTCGGTGTGACTCCGAATCCGTTGACCTAGCCTGATATTGTGAGCCAAGAGTTAAAGGGCGCAACAAATCACATTTTCTCCTCCATACCCATGTTAGTAGAGGTTCAATAGTCCCATCCCCGCTTCTTGACTTGGCAAAGCGTTGTGATATCCATCACAACTAACTCCTTTGGACCGCCTTGACAGCTCTCCGCGTATAACTAGACTGTCTATTCGATTGACATCCACGTGTTTATTCTTCCTGAGCAGTTCCACTCAACCTCGGGATGCTCCCTCATCACACCCATTCTTTCTTACTCTGCGGAGATTTCTTGCGAGTCCCCGATGTACTATGTAAGCATCGGCAGCTTCATGGCGCCATATCCACACCCTCTTGATCCTCTCTGCAGGCGATGAAGTGGTTTCCGGTCAAGGATTGCCATCGGACTGGCGGAATGAGTCGACTTCCGCGTTGCTGCGATGGGGGAAAGAGGTTAGCGCTGCGGGGAATGAAGAGTGTCGATCGTGATGTTTAATGCGGTGACAAGTCGCGACCATTGCCTCTTCCGTGTTGTTAATGGGTAGATCGAAAGGAGATAATGGGATCTCGCTTTCGTTTTCATTCCCGTCCAGGGGAGAGAGAGGATGGCACAGACCCAATACTACCGAATGCTGGGCTGTAGGTAAGGCTGAGGCAACTCTACGTATCTGTTCAACGAGTGCAACTTGCGTTATTTTTACCTGACATTGAAGGACAAGGTTGTTTTCCGCTACCGCTCGGTTGGTTCGGGACAAGGGTGATCGAGTTTGACGGTTTACAACAACATTTCCACGAAGCAAGATCTTTTCAGTAATTCTGACATCTCCTACCACAAGTATATCTCATGAGCTATTTCATCCGCTCTAAAGCTTTAACCATAGCAATACCATTTCTCATAAGATTGCTGTGGATGCCCGGAGGTCAGTTGAGCTTTCAAGCACCCCGCCTTTCGGCTGCTGGTGTGGGTCTCCGGAGCCGGTGGTGGGTTGGGGAAGGAACGGCCTAAACCAGGGGCCGGGGTCCTGGTCGGCAGGTGCCCACTCCCTCCGAATTCTCTTCCAACTTCGTCCCTCCCACCAACCTTTTCCAATGGAACCCTCTTGACCTTCCACCAACCAAATCACATTGCCGCGCGCCGTCCAGGTGATCATCGGTCCTCCGCAATCGCTCGTCGAGTGACAGGCTTCACCCACCCTCCACGAGTTCAGGTCGACCTCACCAACTCAGCTCTCCACGTGCCCAAGATGCCTGCCCGTACATGCACCAGCTCCCAAGGGATTGAGCTCTTTAGAGCTCGTGCCTCGGCCGATTGTCAACTGAAAAGTTAAAAAGCTCTCTGGCAGCTGCTCTTCACTTTCATGTGCTCTCCCGCTCGGCGCCCAACCCCCGATCTACCCCGTGGGGAAGCGGGGACTCGACGGCATCTCATCGGCCTTGGACCTCGTTTTGGACTCGATGCCCCGTCTTAAGTCGTGATGGCTTCGCGCGGCTGCGGTGATGGCTTCCTGATTCGACAATTGAGCTGCGGAGACGGCTCCGTGGAAATTGGACGATATGGCGGTGGGAGTTGATGTCGCCCAGGGTTCAAGGTCCAAGATGTGGTGGAGCAATACGAAAGACGATTGTCAGTTCAAGGCCGGGGAGAATTGGACTATCCAGGTACAGTCGTTGACGAGTTCAAATTGAGCTCGATTCCCTCCCTCGGATTGTTCCACAGGGCCTCTGAGCTACCGGAAAGCATCGTCGCTTCATTGACCTCTTGCCTGTCAGCAGACTCATTCTGACTTGTCCTCGCGGCTGCTCCCTCAAGTAGTGCCGTGGCCGGTCTATCTTTTACTGCCTACTGTGCTCATCTTAAGTCTTGAGCTTTGGATTACCTCCCAAGTTTCAACCATCAGGATGAAGTTTCAAAGCCTCTTCAGTTTCGGCCTCATCGCCGGCAGCTTGGCCGCTCCAGCTGCTGTGCCTGTTCCTGAGCCCGTTCCTGATCCAGTTCCTCAGCCTGTTCCTCAGCCTGCTACTCCTGCCACTCTGGAGGAACGTGCCGCCAAGGTCACCGTTGCTGTTCCTTCTGGCACTGTCATCGGCTCCAGCTTGGGCAAGGTTGAGTCTTTCAGGGGCATCCCCTTTGCGGACCCCCCTACCGGCTCTCTCCGTCTCAAACCTCCAAAGAAGCTGTCAAAGGCTCTGGGCAATTTTGATGCATCTGGTCTCATTGGCCCATCATGCCCTCAGATGTTTATCTCTACTGGCGCTGAGGATGTCATCTCAGAGTTCCTCTCCAACTTTCTGAGCATCCCCTTCCTCCAGGTTGTCACCGGACAAGAGGATTGTCTCACCATGACTGTTCAACGGCCTGTGGGCACCAAGGCCGGGGACAAGCTGCCTGTTCTTTTTTGGATCTTTGGCGGTGGCTTTGAGCTCGGCTCCAGTGCCATGTATGATGGCACTAGCCTTCTGGGTACTGGCATTGACCAGGATCAACCCTTTATTTTCGTTGCTGTCAACTATCGTGTTGCCGGATTTGGCTTCATGCCTGGTGCCGAGCTTGCTGACGAAGGCAGCACCAACCTGGGCTTGCTAGATCAGCGCATGGGACTCGAATGGGTTGCAGATAACATCGCGGCCTTTGGAGGTGACCCTGACAAGGTTACCATCTGGGGAGAGTCTGCTGGAGCAATTTCTGTGCTTGATCAGATGACTCTGTTTGGTGGTGATGCTGACTACAAGGGCAAGCCCCTTTTCCGGGGCGCCATCATGAACTCGGGCAGTGTCGTTCCGGCAGAGCCAGTGGATAGCCCCAAGGCTCAGGAGATTTTCGATACTGTTGTCAAGAACGCTGGCTGCGCCAGTGCTTCCAGCAGCCTCGCCTGTCTTCGAGGTCTCCCCTATGACAAGTTTTTGGACGCCGCCAACTCCGTGCCGGGACTCCTCTCGTATAACTCGCTGGCTCTCTCCTATCTTCCTCGTCCAGATGGACACGTGCTCCCCGATAGTCCCGAGGCACTCATCGCGGCGGGACGTTACCATGCGGTTCCCATGATCAACGGCAACCAAGAGGATGAGGGCACACTATTTGCTCTTTTCCAGCCGAATCTGACCACGGCCGCAAAGCTTGTTGATTACCTGCAAGAGTTCTACTTCTCTGCCGCCAGCAAGACGCAACTGACCAACCTCGTCAACTCGTACTCAAGCTCCATCACTGCAGGCAGCCCCTTCCGTACCGGCATCCTCAACGAGATCTTCCCAGGATTCAAGAGACGTGCTGCCATCTTTGGCGATCTCGTCTTCACGCTTACTCGCCGACTCTTCCTTCAGACTGCCACGGATACCAACCCAGATGTCCCTGCGTGGTCTTACCTGGCAAGCTACGACTACGGAACGCCCATTCTCGGTACTTTGCACGGCTCGGATCTTCTTCAGGTCTTCTTTGGCATCGTGCCCAACAACGCCATGAGGAGCATTCGGACATACTACTACAACTTCTTGTACAACCTTGACCCTAATGTTGGCGTTACAAAGTATGCCAATTGGCCCGAGTGGAAGGAGAGCAAGAAGCTCATGTGGTTCAAGTCTGCGAATGGAAATGACATTTTGAACGATGATTTTAGGCAAAACTCGTACAATTGGATCGCAAGCAACGTTGGTGTGTTGCGGGTTTGAGACATGATTGGGACTGGCGGATATGTCGGCGAACTTATCCCAGATGTTAGGATACTCTTGATATGAAGTGATGAATGAATGAGAAGCAAATTGGATTATTTCACTCCCTCTTGACGTGTTATGGCTCGGCGAATGGCTGACTTAAAGGGGATGTCTTGCTACTCCATAGATGGACAATGTTGTAAGTGAGCTCTTGCAACGTAGTGCCCTCTCATAGCTAAGGTAGCCTCATTCCGTTTCTAACGGTTTCTAACGAAACACACTACGCCATATCCATCCTGTCTTAATCCCAGACCCATCTGCTCTTTATCGTCCCATGATGCACAGTGTAATAGCGCAGTCATGACACAATGCACACGGACCCCACCATCTCGCTTGTCGCCGGCAACGCGGCTCTTGGGACCTCACGTTGACCCGAAAATTTCCAACGCCCGCGAACATTTCAAACGATACGGGACGGGCAACTACAAAAGTGCCATCAATGGGGGTCCCCAAGTGACTAAGAGCACGGCGAACACGACAAGGAAGGATTTTCATTACCGAAAGCCCCCCCTTTCTCATCAAAGAGTGCAAACCCCCGACCTGCCCAATTTGCGACGACAAGTGCGGCCACAATGTCGTCGTCCAAGGGCCTTTTGCGACAGCTGGCTCAACGACAGGCCCTGTGGAGCAGCCCACTATCACCGGCCTTTACACGGCAGACGGCGGGTCACACGGGCGTACTGTCGCCTTTTTCTTCAGTCTTCAATTCCATCTGGAACACTGGTAATTCGCGAGCATTGACGTCGGTTGCGAGCAACTGCAACCAATCCGTCAAGGATTTCCGAAACCGCCGTGAAAATGCTCGGGCGATGCCGATCGGCGCCCGGAGGTACGTTTCAGCGCCCGCCCGCATCCTGCAGGAGTCGTCGGTGCCCCTCACCGCAGCTGGGCGACCCCGCGGTGGGGTGGGCCGTCCCTGCCGCATCACGCTGTTGCCCGTGGCACCTTCCCTTCCCTCCACCTCCCGCCTCACCTTAGCTCCTTCTTATCACGTCACCTTTCCTCATCGATATAAATCTTGTCTCTTACTCCTCAATTCTCCCCTTTCCTCTTTCTCCCAAGCGGCCTCTTTTCTCCGGTCTCTTGAATTCATCCTTCTCAGTCCAGCCTGGATAGCTCTGGAGCTATAGCTGCTAACTTGTCTCCGCGTCAAGCTCTCTTCTCTCTCAGATTCCCAACCGCTTCTGTTCTGGCCAAGTCAGACTCAACCGTAACGTGAAAATGGCCGACCGCGATGTTCTTCCCGACAATGTCAAGCCCAGGCACTACAACCTCTCCCTGAGGGACCTCGAGTTCACTAACTGGACCTATAAGGGAACTGTTACGTATGTCTCAGCTCTACCCCTCACTCCGGTAGCAAGCTCCTTCTCTCTAACAGCTGTCTAGCATCGACTCGGAAATCACAAAGCCCACCAAGGAAGTTCTCGTCAACACTCTTGACCTTAAGCTCTCCCATGCCAAGGTCTCCATCGACTCCAAGACGGTGGAATCCACCAGCTTCAACTATGACGAAAAGGCCCAGCGTTCCACCATCACCTTCGACGAGGAGCTCCCTGTTGCTTCCAAGGCTTCCATCATCATCGAGTTCGAGGGTATCATGAACAACGAGATGGCTGGTTTCTACCGCAGCAAGTACAAGCCCGCCGAGACCCCCGCCGCCTCTGTTCCCCGCGACGACGAATGGCACTACATGCTCAGCACCCAGTTTGAGGCTTGCGACGCTCGCCGAGCTTTCCCCTGCTTCGACGAGCCCAACCTCAAGGCTACCTTTGACTTTGACATTGAGATCCCCTCGGACCAGGTTGCTCTTAGCAACATGCCTGTTAAGGAGACCCGACCTTCCAAGGATGGCTGGAACATTGTCTCCTTCGAGACCTCTCCTGTCATGAGCACTTACCTCCTGGCCTGGGCTGTTGGTGACTTTGAGTACATCGAGGCTTTGACTGACCGCGAATACAACGGCAAGAAGATTCCCGTCCGTGTCTACACCACCCGTGGTCTCAAGGAGCAGGGTCGATGGGCTCTTCAGCACGCCCCCAAGATCATTGACTACTTCTCTGAGATCTTTGACATCGACTACCCTCTTCCCAAGTCCGATCTGATTGCCGTTCACGAGTTCACCCACGGTGCCATGGAGAACTGGGGTCTTGTTACCTACCGCACCACCCAGGTTCTCTACGACGAGAAGACCTCGGACCCCCGATTCAAGAACGCTGTCGCTTACGTCGTTGCCCACGAACTTGCTCACCAATGGTTCGGTAACCTTGTCACCATGGACTGGTGGGATGAGCTCTGGCTCAACGAGGGTTTCGCTACCTGGGTTGGCTGGCACGCCGTGGACCACCTTCACCCCGACTGGCAGGTGTGGGCTCAGTTCGTCAACGAGGGTATGGAGGCTGCCTTCAGCCTTGACGGCATCCGCGCTAGCCACCCCATCCATGTCCCCGTCCGCGACGCTCTCGACATCAACCAGATCTTTGACTCTATCAGCTACCTCAAGGGCTGCTCTGCCATCCGCATGCTTGCAAACCATCTTGGCGTCGAGACCTTCCTCAAGGGTGTCTCCAACTACCTCAAGAGCCACGCCTATGGAAATGCCAAGACCACTGCTCTGTGGGATGCTCTCAGCCAGGCCTCTGGCAAGAACGTTACTGAGCTCATGAACCCTTGGATCTCCAAGATTGGTCACCCTGTTGTGACTGTCGCCGAGGAGCCCGGTCAGATCTCGATCAAGCAGTCTCGCTTCCTGTCGACCGGTGATGTGAAGCCCGAGGATGATACCACCACCTGGTGGGTGCCTCTGGGCCTGGAGGGCAAGAAGGACCAGGCTGGCATCGCCTCGCTGTCCCTGACCACCAAGGAGGACACCATCCGTGACATCGACGATGACTTTTACAAGCTTAACAGCGGCGCCACCGGCTTCTACCGTGTCAACTACCCCCCTGAGCGTCTTGCTAAGCTTAGCCAGCAGCTTGACAAGCTCAGCACTGAGGACAAGATCTCCATCATTGGTTCCACCGCTCACCTTGCCTTTGCTGGCAACGGCACAACCCCTGCGCTGCTTACCTTCCTCCAGGGCTTCGGCAAGGAGACACACCCTCTTGTTTGGCGGCAGGTTCTTGACTCCATTGCTGGAGTCAAGTCCGTCTTTAAGGAGGACCCCGTTATCAAGAAGGCTCTTGACAAGTTCAGCCTGAAGCTTGTTGATGAGAAGATCGCCGAAGTTGGCTGGGACTTCCCTGAGGGTGAGGACTACCTCACTGGCCTTTTGCGAAAGGATATCATTGGTGTCGCTGTTGCTGGCGGCCACCCTGGGTAAGTCAGGTTTATACCCGTTTTCTGATTCAATACTAACATACTCAGCGTTACCGAGGAGGCTCTGAAGCGCTTCGAGGCCTGGGTTAAGGACCCCGAGGCCAACCCCATCCCCGCTCCCCTCCGAGTTGCTGTCTGGCGCGCTGCCATCATCAAGGACCCCGCCCGCACTGTCGAGATTCTCAAGAAGGAGTGGCTTAACACCAAGTCCATCGACGGCAAGCTTCTCTCCCTTAGCGTTCTCGGCAGTGTCGAGGATGCCGACCTTCTTACCAAGGAGATTATCCCCTTCAACTTCAACCAGTCTCCTCCTTCCAACGCCGTTCCTAGCGGAGACATGCACGTCTTGGGCAACTCCGTGGCTTCCAACATCATTGGTCGCCCTCTTCAGTGGGAGTTCATGAAGAACAACTGGGACGCTGTTATTGCCAAGCTTGGCAACCCCGTTGTCGTTGACCGATACATCAAGATCAGCCTGGGTGCCTTTACTGATGTTTCGGTTGTGGACGACATTGAGAAGTTCATGGCCGACAAGGATACCAAGAGCTTTGACCGTACACTTGGTACTGTCAAGGATAAGATTCGCGGCCGTGCTGCTTACCGCGAGCGCGATGCTGCTTCGCTCAAGGAGTGGCTAGGCGCAAACGGATATGCGTGACTTTGTAAATTATAGATGATGAGGTGTTGAGCGTATCGGGGTGATACCATGTTTGGAGTCAGGGCATTGGGTAGATGTTATGCCCTAGTTCCTAAAAGAAGTAATAGGTCATTAAAAGGCCCGAATGAAAGTATTTATGACCTGAATTCGTCTTACTGCCTCGGCAACGCGGATGTTGTTTCAACGTGATAAGCTGGCACTGCCATCCAACTACGGGGGGTGAGAGTAAGTGTGATTACATCAGCCTTCTTTCATCCCACTCTTGTCAAGATGAAAAGGGCTCCACGGATGATAGACTTGATTAAAATAACTTGAAACCTACAATCAACTGTGTATGCCAACGAATTGTCCGCCCAACTGCCTCTCCAAATACAGTTCCTGGACTGCTACTGAGGAGCCAATACCTTGTGACTCCTTGATAACATAGCTTTGCGTCGATCTTTCCAACAACCACTCAACAAGCACATCTGAGCTTGATCGGTCTGGTGGTCTAGTGGTATGATTCTCGCTTAGGGCAAACCCTACAGCAACAGCTTGCGAGAGGTCCCGGGTTCAATCCCCGGCCAGACCCTATCTTTTTCGTCATTCTCACAATGAAGCAAATTTCTTTTTTGCTCTTCTACGCGACAAGTGGGTGATAATGGGTTGATGATAGCTTATGGGAGATATTGAACTACGTATGGGTTGGAAACTAGCAACTGAGAGGCTGATCGCTGCTACTTCTTTGCTGACAGTTATTCCCCCCTATTTGCAAAAACGTCACAGAACCTCCTTTTCACATCACAAGATACAATCATGTAAAAGGCATTTGCATGGCAGCTGACATTCTCTTCATTCTATCGCTAACCCAAGAAAGAACGCAAAAAACCTCTCAAGGCTAACCCATTGTATGTTTGGATGCTTCTCATGAAATGAACCCCAGACCATCAACGCTTTGCCTCCTCTCCCGATGAGAGGTCGCCACGTCTATGATGCTCAAAATATTCCCATCCCAGTGAATCAGTAGTGGTGAGCCATATCGGCTGCCCCATTCCAGTACGCCTTGCAGAAAGAATCAAGAAACACAGATCCCAGCATCGCTTCCCAGTGAAAAACGCAAATCCCAATCCCTCAAAACAAACATGACCTCCCAGCATTCATGCATCCATCCATATTGCTCATCATGCATCCTTCATCCTTTGTCCTTCTCTAGGTTGACATGTCTTCTTGCTCAACCTTTGTCGCAACTGCATCCCACCATGGTCCGTGGGCTGCCCTGTCGACAGTTCCCACCTTCTCCAGTAGACCTGAAATCTCTCTCACTCGCTCCACAAACTCGGACAGTCCGAGGCTCGCGAGTTTCTCACCGGCCGTGTTGGTAGCCTTGACCTTCTCACTCGCTGAACCGGCAGCCAGACGAGTGAGGATGTTGCCGCGAAGGCGGGTGAGGAGGAGACGCAGGACGGGCTCACTAGGCTCACGTCCGTGTTGCGCCATCTCCTGGCTTGCAGTCAAGACCTTGGTAACGAGGGCGCGGAGGTGGCCCTTGGTCGCTGCTGGCATCGACCGTCCGGATTCTAGAGCAGCCATGACACCATCCACTGTGGTGTCCAGAGGATGGCCTGCCTCAATCACCGCCATAATGCGAGATGCCTCCGTCTTCCACGCCGACCGGACATCCCGCTTGAGGAGGTTCTTGCACTGAAGTAGCACCGCACCAGCAGTAATGATCCGTTGGATCATGGTTGAGACCTGGCTAATACGGCCATGGTCAAGACGAAGCATCTCAGGAACCTCCTCGATAGGGGTAGGCGAGATCTTGGTAAAGATGTCAACAAGCATCTGCGCGTAGAAACGGCTCGCCGTAGGTCGCGACTTCGGGTGGTTGATACCCTCGGGGTCTCTCTTCTGCACCTCAGTCATGACCTTGGATCGAGCTGCTCTCCAGCTTGCCTCGGCCGCTGCAAGGCCCAGTTGGCCCTTCTCCACGTCCTCGGCAAACCTCTTGGCCTCGTACGGGGCGGCGGACTCAATAAGTTGAGGCGCAGCGATCTTCATCAGATAGTTGATGTAATCGCAAAGCATTAGGTCAATGAATCCATTGAGAGCCTCAACACGGTTGATGATGTTACCATCGGCCAACTTGTTTTGGATTAGGTCCTTAACCTCCTCATCGCGGAATGGTGCGCACAGCTTGGGAAGCAGTGACGCCATGGCAGTAAAGAATCTCTCGTAGGAAAAGTTGCCCAGAGCAAACTGCCGTTCCGCCATGTCGGGGTCCAGGATCTCCCCAATGAGGTTGTACATGCTGTTGCCAGGCTTCAAGAGACGCTGCAGCTTGTCTTTGATGTTGCTTGCCACCACCGCAAAGAACCTAAAGTTGGCTGCGTGATCCGAGTCGTCCATGATGGTCCTCATCTGCTCATACAGGGGTTGAGCACGCTCTGCCTGCTGCTCCCTGTATTCGTCAGGAGAAAGCTGGTACTCCTTGTTGATGGCCAACTCGTGAACGACAACCCTGTTATTGGGTAGGAGCCCGTTGAGGCCAGTCTTGGGGACAGAGGCCTTGGCCTGAGCCTTGCTAGCCGGAGTGGCAGGAGGAGTGAGCGTCTGAGATTCCGATGAAACCAAGCTGTTGGCCGTCTCGTGAGCTTCTCCTGCAGCATTATCAGCGACACGGGGCTTTGTGTCGCCAGTCTTCTTCTTCTTGGCGCGAGACCTCCTGGCCTCACCGACAGCATCAAAGATGAGCTTCTTGCCCCTCTCTTGACCTGCCAACTTCTTGATGCGCACAATGAGCATAAGCTGGTTGTCCTGAATGCTCTTCTTGTATAACGCCGTCGCCGCATCGTCGGTAGTGTCCTTGACGGTGTGGTAGATTGCGTCGAGCTCGACAAACTGCATGAGCATGACCTCAATCAAGGCATCCGAGTCTCGCGACTTCCATGCAATAAAGGCATTGTAAAAGGTGGCGTATGCCTCGGGGAGTGTGTTCTGTAGGGTCGGGGGTGTGGTGTATGCATTCGCAGACGTCAAGCGAGAAAGGATGTTCTCAAAGGAGATCAACAAGTCTCGCGCCTTGCCAACCAAGTCTTGTAGTTGCGGGTTGGCAAGGTCCCCAGAGGGAAGTCGGTGGGCCGTCAGCACATCGACAACCTCTTCCTCGCCATTGTCGTTCTTGGTGTTGAGAACTTGGTTAGGGTGGCCAAGAATAAGGAATGCACTCAGAAATGTGCGAACTGCCGCCATCTCTTCCACGGATCCGGCATCGCCCTCTTGGAGGCCGCATAGGCGGAGCAACCGTGCTGTGATGACAAGCACTCTGTCCTGCGCGAGTAGTTCCACGACAGTGTCAAAATGCGTGTCTCTAATGCCGTCCACGGTCAACCCTAGGTCGTTGAACTCGCGAATCATCCGCTTTCGGAGGCATGCACGCCACCACCATTGAATTCTGGCTGCGGCATCTTCATCCGTGAGCTTACAAGCTTCTTCCTCAACCGCTTCAGGCACGGGGTCGATGGGCTTCCTGGTCATAACACTCTGACCCCGACTCCGCCTCGAGGCATTCTTGGTTCGTAGTTCCTCTCTCCGTCGCTCAGCCTCGGCCATTCTCTCTTCAATCTGGGCCTTCATCCTGGCAATATCCTGTTCTCGCTTCTCCTTCATGAATTCAGCCACCTGCTTGGCCTTCTTGACCTCTTCCGCGCAGTTGGCCACAATCTCGGCCAAATTGCGCTCTCTGGCTTGTTGTGCAGCGATGGCGCGCTCTTCTGACAGGGTGGTATCTCGCTGGGTTGCCTTAGCTAGTGCTGCCCGAAGGCGGACCTTTTCGGCATGAGCGGCTCTGTCAGCAAGGCGCGCCCTGCGGTCCTCGAGGAATGAGGCACGTCGTAGATGTTGGGCCACATATTTGCTCTGCTGGTTGCCGTGGTGGCTGGCTGGCTGAATGGAAGAGCATCGAGAGTGGGCTGACGAGATTGAGTTTCGGCGCGACGAGGCCGCCGAATCTCTGCGACGGGCCTGGGATGGTCGATAGAAACGGGCGGCGATGCGGGGAGGTGGTGTGTAGATCCTCGGGTCCTCTTCTAGGACGTCGTCTTCGACTGGGGGCATGGAGAGATCAATGTCTTCGTCCATGTTTTCGTCTGAAGGAGGTTCATTGGCTTCTTCGATTGTTCGCGACGGCTCCGTCAGGTCGAGTGAGGGGCGCCGCATTGTGTCGGCAGCTGACGGCAGTTGTGACATGGCGACAACAACAGTCAAGTCGAAATCCGAATCTTCCGGGGAGGAGGAAGATGTAAAGATTAAAGGTCGAAGAAGGAGAGCGCGCGCGATCCTGGAACGGGAGGAGTCACGTCTTGATGGGTAAACACTCCGAGGGTCAGGTCGGTTGCGCGCGCGCTGAAAGCGTAAACGAGACCAAGAAAAGGCCGGTTCGGTTCAGTCCTGTCTTGTCCAGGCAACTCGGGGTGGCGCAGTGAGATCCGTGAGGTGAGGTGAGCTTGAGTGTGCGCGCGCGGGTGATTTTCTGAATCAGCGAGCGAAACAAGTCAAAACGAGCCTGGCTGAAGAAGGGCCGCTAAACGAGTCCAGTCCACCAAAATAGCACTGGCTGATGCTGCGACGGATTTGGAGAAATGAAGGACTGCGCAATGGCCCCCAAGGGTAGGTCAGGTAGTAAAAAGAAGGGATCTGGTCAAAAAGGTCGAAGAAGGAGATTAGAATAAAATAGTGGACGGCGGCACAATCGGCACGATGATGATTACACAAAAGCCGTTGGAGAAAAGGCCTTGGGGGCCCGACAAGACGGCAAGGTTAGGTTTTGGGGGAAAGAAAAGAAGTGGATGGGATGTTGTGGAATGGAAGATGCTGGAGGTGGAGGGAAGACGAAGCCCGTGCAAGTGGTGGGTGCTAAAACAGCAGGTGCCCAATAAACTGTAAATCCTTATCGCCGGGTGCAAGTACAAGTGTAAAACCAGGCTGCCGCTCTCTCCGCTGTCTGCTTCTGCTTCTGCTTCTGTTTCTCTCTGTTTGCAAGAATAAAAAGAAAAAAGGAAGCAAGGTATCCCATGCGAGGTGGGGGTGGGCACTCTCTTCTATATAACAAAAACTGTCTGCCTATAATACCATGCTCACCCTCTCAAGGCACTTACCGATTGATGACAAGGGCGTAAGGGAAGGAAAGGGAAAGGGCAAGAAAAGCATTGACATTTTGTTGTTGATGCTTGACTTGAGACTGTGAAACTCTGGTGCCTCCCCGAATGGATTCTGACACATCCTTTTTCTTCTTGCCGGAGGCGGGCGGACGGGCTGCCACAGCGGCTAGAGCCTGGCTTATAGCGGAATTAGTAGGACACACACTCCAGCTGAAGCCAAGAGATGGAATCCCCCAGAAACAGCCCCCCTCTGATTATCAAGCCCACCCCCAGACGAGAAATCACATCAGATCACATCAGTCTTGATCACTTCATCGATCCAAGTCCATGTCCCCCCTCCTGAAACCGCGCTTCGGGCCTCACGGATTACTACCCCGTCGTTATCTATCTTTGGTAACCCGTCCCCAAGAATTCATGCATCCGTCTCAATGCGACGTCATCACACGTGCCCCCCTCATGACGCTCTCCCCAGTAGAGATGGCGCATTCGTCCGCGATTCGATGCGACTCACCCCTGCTGACCAGCCTCCAAGCGGCGACCTGCCTACTATGGCACGCCACCTTGCGGTCTCTCTCTGGATGGGACGAATCCATTATCTCCAGCTGAGAGGAAACAAACGAGGGCTCGAGGGCTCCTATCGCCAATTACGAGTCCGGCATGCATCGTGACTTGTCACCTGCACAAAACCATCGAATCAAATCCAGTAGTCACTTGTACTTTGAGTAGTGTGTGTATGCACTTGTATCTCTCTCTCTCTCTCTCGTCGACTACCTATGCAAGTTCCATGTTTCCAAGTTTGCATCCCCTTTGCCTCCTTTTATTCTACTATACAGAAAAAAGAAAAGACTAAGAGAACCCCCTAAAACCCACTCACTATGGAAGGGAGGTTTATCCAACCAAGGTCCTCATCCTCTCCCCCGTGGCGTTTTTTTGTATTTCCTTTCGTAAGCATCGCGCGCTCGCTGTGGTGTTGTGCCATTCTGGCAGAACAGAACCGCCATAAAGAGAAGACGCGTCAAGTCATCGCAAAATCAAGTCGAACCGAACCGAACCGAACCAAACCAGTAAACGCCTGCCTGTAACCACCGCCCACCAATTCCTGGTTGTTGCCTTGCCCGCCGTTTCCATATGCAATTATGCTCCTGATGCCGCTGTCCGATCATGATGCATCCTCCAATCACCTCCCTCAGTGCCGGAGGCTCCCGCTTCGTCCTCTGCCGTTGGGAGCACTCGCTCCTCGCTCATTCATCCTCGTCACCCACTCAAGCACGGTCTCGTAGCAGAGCACGTATTGTCTCAGACTCTGTACCATGCTCAGTCTCTGCTCTCGGAAATCCTCCACCGTCTTCTGAATCAGATCCACGCTGTCGTCGTACAGCCAGCTTATGTCAATGGCTGAGGCGCCACGTGCCACTCTCCTCTCCATGTTGGACCTTTGACCGGGTGTGTAAAAGTTAAAGTTTCTAACAGATCGAGGAGACACATCTCCTGTCTCTCCCATGGAAACGTCACCCTCTGGGTCTCGTCCTCGCACTGCCGCAATCTTGGCTTGTCTCTGGCGTTTCAACATGTCGATTACGCTGTCCACCGTGCAAAACGTGCCCGTGCGTCCACATCCGGCCGAGCAGTGAACGAGCATCGGTCGGGCGCGCGCATCCAGCTCAGGCTCATCGTACCAGGTGATGGGCAGTTCGATCGGTGATGACTTGGATCCCATCACCGATTGCGTTTCGATGGGAAGAGCGGACCGTTGCATGACATTGGCCAGCTCAACAAGCGCCAACAGGTGAGATGGCTGCGCGGGAGTGCCAAAGTCGGGCCACGATGGGAAGTGAAGATGCGTGATCTCCCGAATCGGCTCGAAAGGATGGGCGCTGTGCGACAGGGCAAACTTTCGAACAATGACGTACGGGGTTTCTGTTTGGCCCTGCAGGGGCTTCGGTGTCGGCGTGGCGGACTCCAACGTTGTTGTCGTGTTTGCGCGTCTTCTTCCCTGCTCGCCCATCGAGGCAGATGGAGTAGCGTGCGACTCGGATCTATGCTTATCAATATCAAGGGATACCTTCTTCTCAGAAAGCGGCTTGAGCCTGATGGCTCCAAAGTCTCTGCCCTTCCAGTAGGGGTGGCACTTAAGCTGGCCTCCCTCTGACTCGGCAGTCAACATGACCACGACACGCACATCCTGCTCCCAGATAACAGACCAAAAGTCCTACACATTGTTAGCAAGGCTCTGCTTGAGGTTCAGAATGAACATACCTCGAATGTAGCAGGGAGCGGGCCCTGGGTGGCAATGTACCGCTTGTTACTCCGCGAAGCCCTGAGATGGCTGGCGTTGATGTAATCGCAGGAGCCTTCTGGCTTCTCCTGAAGCTTAACTCGGGCGTGCTCAAAGGGTAGAATGTCCTTGTATCGGTTTTTGCCACCCTTCTCAACACCGCATAGCTGAACTGGTGCGCGCTTCTCCTTGTTGCTAGGGTTGAAAGCAGCATATGCCGCCTTCATACGAGACTGTTCGTCGACCTCGATGTGCAGAAATTTGTCAGAGACCTTCTTTCCGTGATCGGGCTTGGACGCCGCATCTCGTAGCCATCTAGGCAGAGAAGGCGAGTCCAGAGCAGAAGGTCGAGAGACATCGAGTTGACCAACACCGTCTGCCAGGTCCATGTTTTGTCGAATATTGGCGAAGAAGGGGTTGACATCGTTGGTCGAGGTGGGAAGCATCACTCCGCCAATGACAGGAGCAATACCTCCATGACCAGGCTTTCCAGGGGAACCAGTCGCGCATTGATGGTCAACAAAATCCGGGTAATATTCCTGGAAGGAGTTGAACCCGCCCTTGAGAATACAGGTACCACCAGAGAATCCCTCGTTGGTGAACTTCTTGATCATGTTCTGGGCAGTGACGGCATCCCGCTTGTCAGATGAGTGAGCATCGTAGACCACGATATAGTCCATTTCTCTCCACCTGGAGAATTTACTTGACTCGGATCCTCCCTGGAATGTCTGCTGGAGCTTCTGAATGTTAAAGGTAGCCCGCTTGAGAAGGGTGGTCGGGATACAGAGGTTAAGAGCACCCTGGATTCTAGCATGGGCGAAGTTTTGCGATGAACGAAGATCGAGAATAAGGAGCCGGTCCTCCTGAACAGTTCGAAGCATATCCTTGAGCTGCGCACCAGTAATCATGTGAGGCTGTCCTGGCTCCAGAGTGGCAGGCACCGTCTCGGAACGTCGAATATCTCGAGCATCGGGGGGTTCGACCCGATGTTCCATTACTGACAACCGCGGATCGCGGTCCTCTGATCGAGTTAAATTCGTACGGTGCTGTGAGGGATCCATTGGACGTGGCGATTCGAATCGAGGTAGATTAAGAGTGGGAAGATGGTTATGCAGAGACGATTCCGAGTTGCGTTTCGAGTCGGACGAAACATATGCTGAGTCCTGTAGGCTTTCCTGATCAACATCCATTCGACTCGCGGGTCGAATGCTGGCAGCACTGAGGCCGCGACCAAATGGAGACTCTGCGCCGGTTTCGCTTCCATGAGTGTGCCATCGCGGAGGTCGAGGTCGCACGGGGGCAACTCCGGACGATGACACGGAGGGACCGGCGTAATGGTTAGTTGACAGAGCAAAGGATTTGCCCCGGTTAAGGTCCGCCTGTCTCTTGAAAGCCTCGAATTCAGGGTTTGCGTCAAGAGGAACCTGCTTTGGAATGGCTGCGGCGAAAGACTTTACTGAGGATGATGGGCTCCAGGTATCCTTAGGGAGACCAGAGGAAGAGTCTCCTCGCTCATTTGCCGACTCGACAATGAGGCCAAAGTAATTAGGACTAGGTGCTCTCGCATCTGGAACGACGCGCGGTGAGAGCTTGGGGGGGTGGTTCTGGCCCACCGAGTAGGGCATTCGTGGAGACTGGAGGGGGGTCGAGGATTTTGTCTGCTTGGATCGCAGCGACTGAGGATGCGAGATTGTGTACGAATTTGATCGTGAGTGAGAATTCGGGACACCAGAGGCGACGGGAGAATGACGAGCAGGTGTTTTCATGGTATAATGCAGACTTGATGTACGATCGCCGGTCCTCGGGTCATGCATGGCGAAGGCGGTGATGGGAGTAGTCGACGTCATCTCCAGTGAAGCAGGGGATGAAGGAGGCTGAGCGAGGCTTCTCATAAGGCCATGGCGACAGAGGCTGAGGAAAGAATCGAAGACAAAAAGTTAGAATTTCAAGATGAGCCTTGCTGGGCTTAGAGGTCGAAGTTTCAAGGGCGAGGAGCCATCCACCAAAAGAGGTGAGGGATTGTGGTAGATTTGAATCAAGATGGATGGGAGACGGGAGGTGAAGAAGCGGGCGGATGGTGGGGTCTTGAATCCCTGGAACACTTGAAAACAGGCCAAGAAGGGGGGCGTTTAGTCGGGGGGATGGAAGGGTCGCCAGGGGGGGAAGAGACCTGAAGCCAGAAGGGCCCGATAGAAGCTACGGCTGCTCAGACGGTAACCGAATTAGACGGGCTCTGACGTGACGGATGGACGAGGAACGGTAGGTAGCTTATACATGGAGGGTGAGGGGTAGATTTATAATGGACGAGGAGTGCTTTGAGAGAAGGAGGGACGAAAAGGCGTGAAAGACGTAGAGGGCGTAAGAGGGCGGGTAGACGGTGGCGATAGAAATTGGGGGGGCGGCCCAGAAGACGCCGTTACCGTGGGATGGCGACGGTGGCGTCTGACGGCCGATGACGCGGGGTGGAGCAGGGGGGGAGGGTCAGTGCAGCAGTCGGTAGAAGGCTGCTTTGTAACGGGACGGATTTGAGAGAATGGAATTGACACGTTTAAGATGTTGGATAGATTTCAAATAGATTCGTGGCAATTGTTGAGGTAGTGAATAATCTAGAAGCTGAGGTATGAACAGGAAAAGTCATCTACCATCTAAGTATAGACAGCCGCGCGCATAAAAGCCGAGTCTACTGCCGAGTAAGTCAGGAATACCAAGCGAGGAAACACACGAAGCCACGGCAGCGGGGAGGTGCCTACTTAAGGAAGAATCCCTCGAAGCTGTCAAGGGAAACCCTATCTTGCTCTATTACCTGTGCTCGACTCCCAGCGTGGGATGCGATGGAAGGGCGTGGACGCGGGGTGGGTGGAGGGTTCGGGATGCGGGAAACAAGCATTTCGCGATGAATGATTCCATTTTAACTTACAGTAATTCATTAAGTTGGCTATCGTGTCATGGGTTTTTTTTACCCCGATGGCTTCTTCTTCCGATGCATCAAGGGACCTGGGCTAAGTTGTGAGATCTACCCTCAAGCTTTTTCCAATTACTTCAAGAATTGCGCAGAAGCTTCTGAATGGTTACCGACGTCGATCATGATTATCCTCTTGCGCAGAATAACCCCGCTTGCAGTCTTGTTCGTGTTTATCCAAACCTGTCGATCTCATGATGATAAGCTCCGGATGGTGGGCGTGCGGACAATACCCGACAGTTGCTACGAAAGAAAAAAAAGGGTCCCCGTAACCAACGGTTTCCAGGTGAGGACGGTCGTCGTTGGGGTCACATCGATGGGAATGAGGCTACTAGGGGAGGGGGTCATCGCGTGTAGTAAAGATCGTCGCTTAATTGCTTGCTTGCTTGCTCTCATTCTCTCCGGTCCGGCTTTGCGAAATGCCACCACCACCTTGGGAACATGGAAAACGGGTTGGACCCCTTGAAATCGGTAGGTTCGCACTCGCACACACACCCATTGTCTTTTCTCCTTTATCCCTTTGCTGCTTCTATTGGATGACTGCCGTCCAGCGGTGGGAGAAAATGTCGTGCTACTACACGGGGACTAGTTTTCCAGCCGCAACCCGAGAAATGAACAAAATGGGACCCTCAGTTTGAGTTGTGTTGTTTGCTAATTAACCCATATTCTTTAGGCGGTGGGTGACCCTACGGATGGCCCCGAGAGAGAGAAAATCAACTTCTATTGATTGTTCTTGAGGCTTGAACCCCTTGGCCGTCCACACCCATCCACACCTTTTCCCTCAAACTAACATGACTTTTTAAACTTTGGACTGAGCACCCGGGATGCCATCATTCTGCTTTGTCCCCTCCCCATGAAGATCCTTCTTTGTTAATGCCTCTCTCTTTCTCTTTCTCTCCTTCTCAAGAGTCGAGAATTCCAACCCCCCTGCCTCTCCCCCCTTGTCCTCGTCCCCATGCTGTCACTCTCACTCGCTGCTCCCCCTGGCCATTATATCGTCATTGCGGCGTCAAGGTCCACCGGGAAAAGAGGATCCATCCCCTGTCAAACCCAGGAAGCGTGCATCTGGTGCCCTGGGTCCAACCAGAAAAACGCGTGGCGCCTTTACCAACGTCACCGGCCCGCATTCACACTTTTTTTTCCTTCCCTTCCACTGTCAATCGACTCGCATTTTGCCCATGACGCTCTGGAAAACTCCGCCCTTTTTCGTTCTTGTCCGCTAGAAAAAAAACACGAATCTGCCCACTCAAGCCCCCCCTCTCCTCGCTTGGCTATGCAAACCCAGCCCCCCGGAAGCTTGCTCTCGGGGTACAGTAGCAGAATGCCATCCGGGGCCCGGCAGAGTCTAGAACGGACGGGTTTTCCTTCTTTTTAGGCCATGATCCTCGTTGCTGCAGATAGACCAGACTCTCTCGTCACACTTTGTAGAACATACCTCTTGGTGTTTGGTCAAGGTTGAACCTCCGAACCCCTTGTTGACTCTTTGTTCAACCTCGCAGTGGCAGCTGTTCTGACGGTCTGGACCTGGGTCTTGCATGAGAGTATGGGGATACGGGGCTTCGGCATGACGTAGATACTGAGACAGCACCTGATGGGAGATTTGCCCTTGCAACTGTTTCACGACATCAAGCAATCTCAGTCAACTTGAAAGTTCCATGCTTCAGAGTAAAAAGAGCTGAATCATGGGACAGGCCCTTCTTCAGCTCCTGTCAAAAAAACGCCTGACGCTTCCGCTAGACCAGCCTTTCTGACTAGGCTCTGTTTCAAGGCTTGTGCTCTGGCGTCCAGGGCTGAGGCAAGCCAGGATCTTGGCGGGCTGGTGGTACACGGCATGTTCCAGATCGTGAGCCTTTTTGATCCAGAGGATAATCAAGGACTGAAGCTCTATCACGAGCTGAATCTTTGCTGACAGGTTGCCTTGTCCTAGGGGTTCTTGACAGCAAGTTCTCGAGACTTCGTGACAACTCTCTTGCGCGTAACTGGTCTACAGAGGCTTCGGTGAATTGATCACTCCGAACTCTCTCTGCATTGTCCCTCGGACGACTCATGCAATGCTTGTGACATTCTTCCTTCTTAGACCCTATCAAGCAATTGAGCCATTGGCTTTCCGTCGACCGAATTCGTCCGTTCCCCATCCCACACGCGATATCGAACCAGGCCTGGCCTGGGGCTAGAGCCGACAGCCTCGTCCGGAGATGGGCTGCCATTTCACCCACGTCCATTCTTACGGTTCCCGACTAGGCTGTCCCCCTCCAACGTTAAGCGCACACCCTTTTCACTTTCTTCCCTCGTCGGACGGAGCAAGCAAGCTCACACACTCACACATCGCTTCACCGTCATCCACATCGAAGGGCCTGGACCCTGAGATCATCGCCCCCCCTTGGACGTGATTATCAAATCAGCCTGGGGTGTCGCACGCGAGTTTGGGATCAGCGGCGCCTGCTCGCTCAGCTTTGTGCTGCTTTCTAAGCTGCCACTTCTACGAGAGCCTCCTTCTGACGGGTGGTAATTCAAAGACTTTGTACAACACGAGTACACGCATGATTACTTCAAGACGAAAAAGACAAAGAAAAAAAATCATCGCGGAACCGCTCAAGTGGGAATTCCTCCTTCATAGTCGGCCGGGGACTCGGGTCAAAGATCCCTGGAAACCCCCTCCCCCCGTCCCGCGCGCGATGGCCCTTTACCGCCAGTTTCCAAGAAACCTCCGGCCCAGAAACGATGGCGTCGATTCCAAGCTTTTTTTCTCTCTCTTCCCATGTCTTCTAGACTTGGTGCCACGAGACGCCTCCTCGAGGGTCCAACGTAGCCACGCCCAGGTCCAGCCCTAGCAAGGCGGACCCTGGAAATCTTGTCTTGGGATCTGGGAGCGGGAGGGGCACGAGAACAGCCTGTTTTTGTCTGTTAATATAGGATCATGTTGAAATTGCCCAGGTCAAGGCCTTGTTAGACGCGGCTATACCTCTACGCGTGATTTCTAAATTCTCTCTTGTCCCCCCCACGCGGAGGGATTTTTACCACATGGCATTCTACATCGTCCGGAAGACCCTACCGAAGCCAGGCGACCCCTCATAGTCGCAAGCCCTGCCTGCCTCAATGACGTACGTTGGACCGTTCTAGATGCTGACGGGGTATGCTCTAGCTGAAGAGACAACGCATCAAACAAGAAAAGAGATGCCCGCGGCTTCTTGAACATGACATATTCAACTCACACTCAGCCTCTTGGGAGTTGCCTCGTCGGGCGGTTTTTCCCCTCCAATATCCCTGGTCCTGGTGGTTGCCAGCCACGCCGATCATGCAAGCCCTCTCACAGCACCACGAGGGTAGTTCACCCCCATCCCCTTCCCGCAAGGCGGAACAGGGACAGGCGAAGGGTTCACCTTGCAGGACGATTTGATTCCCGATCGAGTAAGCGGGGGGAGAAGAGAGGACTCCAACCTCACCTCGCATGACTAGCTGACGGTTTTCGCAACCTCCGTTGCCGTTCGGTAGTCCCTTGATGATGCGATAGTCTTAAAGCTAGTTCTCAGCTCATCGTCGGAGCTAGGTCATCAGGGCTTGGAGGTCAAAGTGTCAGCTTTCGTAGGGGAGCTTCAGCTTCCGAGATAGACATACGAGCACGACGGGAGCTCTCGGACGCAGCTCAACGTCATCAATATTGTCTCATCGGTATAGTAGTCATCATCGCCGAGTTAAAATCCGAGACCTGTGTCATCCACCTTCTCAAGCTGAGTGATGCTCTCGTATTGTCGCCTCCGAGAACTCTTTGTGTAGCAACCCGACTATCCAAAAACATGCTCGGCAACTTGTTATAGGCATATACGGTAAAGCTCGGTTATCCAGCTGCCTTTTCAGACAACTTGTCCCGTCACTCTTGACATAACCGAGAGTTTACTAGCCAAGTGGCTGGAGAGATCCATCTCACCCAACTGCAGTACGAGATCTAGTTTTAATTACCTCTCAGCTATAAGATCAGCTCATATGCATGCTACGCAGAAACTCTCTTGCCAGAATATGCGTCCCTCCCAACAGACAGACGGACGGCCGTTTCAAAAACGGCCAACGACCGATGCATCATGCGGGCCCTGAGTGCATTATCAACCAGGCACTCAATAGTCCCTTTTCAAGGCACGTGTGCTCAGTCATGATGAGCACATCACTCTTATAATTAGCTTGTGTTTCTCTCTTCTCCGCCTCCCCGATCTTTTTACACACCGCCAGGTTTGTTTCTGGCTTAGATACACCAACGCCGGGGACAACCCGGCCGTACACTTGCGGGTCCGGGGACGGGCTCACATGGTGAGTTGAGTTAGGTCATGACCCGGCTCAAGGCACGTGCCGGTAGTCCGGCAAACTTCTGCATCAAGACGGGGAACAACGCATGGCTCTATCGTCGTCTGTCGTTAGACTCTAGCCGGGAAGGAATGCGGCAGAACCTAGCGTTAGATGCACGACTCGTGAGATCAAGAAAAAACTTCTGAAACCAGCGGGTATCGGGGCACCCGAGTGGGATAGGATAACTTCATCCTTAGCCGGTTGGCGTTTTTAAGGGAAGGGGATCTGGTTAGTCTGGCAGACTAGACCCCGACGCCATGGCTTGCTCTGACCGAGTCAATGACGCTCAAGAGTCAAACGGTTTGGGCTTTTTCGGAACATGAAACCCACAAGCGGAAAATCTAAGGTGATGGTATTTCCGGTGGCTTCTATTCAACAAGCAATGCTTCTTGCGGCTAAGGCTTTGGAGGCGCTGACGACTCAACTCCTGGTTAAGGAAAAGCTCCAACAACTGACTACACGTGGCTTGCGCATTGTCCCTTTGAATCATCTGGCTAGAACTTCCACGGGGTCTAGGTCTCAGATGTCAGCGGAGCGATCTCTCCGGGACCCTAAAGGGATTTAGACATGTTGGGTGAAACCTGCACAAAAGTCAATGGAGCAGCTGATGCGGAATAAGATAATGCCATGGCTCTCTTTGGTTGTTTGTGATATGAGCTTTTACAAGATATTGTTTCCGTGCCAGCTGCGAGTGTCACTAAGGGTCGTGGAGGCAACACACCTTGAACCAAAACATATACCCCCTTATTATCCATCAAGAGCTGAGGAGTCCTTACTAGAACAGTCCCGGGTATCATTGACTTTCAAGTACAGGTAGCTCTGACTTCTGGTATGGTCTCAAACTCGCTCGTACTACTCTTGTCATCGGCGTATTACTTATCGTGAGATAATCTCATAAACCTCAAGCTGAGCTGAGATCCTTGGAATGACCCCATGTTCCAACAAGCTGACATCAACTAGTCACTCAATCGTGCACGCAAGAATCACGAATGCGCTTGGCTATCATTGTTTCCGCTGGTACAATTGATTATCCTTACAACTCCCTCCCGCTGCCATGTCCCATCCCATCTATGAATAACCAGACCCCATTGCGGACCCGGCAGATGTACCACCAGCAGAGACAGAATAGCGATAGATCGATAGAAAAAGGCGCCTCCTCTTGCGTTTTCTTTACTTCCAGAGCTTGCCCAGCGACACCTCCTTGTCGTCGTGCTTGTTGAGGATCTTTGCTGTGGCAAGCTCAAAGTCCTCCTGCGTGACGTGAACTCTCCTCTCACGGAGAGCGTACATGCCAGCCTCCGTACACACACCCTTGAGCTCAGCACCAGAGCAACCGTTCATCTTCTCGGCAATCTTGGTGAGGTTGATGCCACGGGTCAGGTTCATCTTACGGCTGTGGATTCGGAGAATATCCGCACGAGCCTCGACGCTAGGTGGGGGGAACTCAATCTTGCGGTCGATACGTCCTGGTCGAAGGAGGGCGGGGTCGAGAATATCGAGTCGGTTGGTGGCCATGATGACCTTGATGTTCTTAGTGGGCTCGAAGCCGTCGAGCTGGTTCAGCAGCTCAAGCATGGTTCGCTGCACTTCCGAGTCGCCTCCAGAAGAGCCCTCTACTCGCGAAGAACCAATGCTGTCAATCTCATCCATGAAGATGATGGAAGGAGCATGCTCTCGAGCCATGACGAAGAGTTCTCGCACCATTCGGCTACCCTCTCCAATGTACTTTTGTACCAGCTCGGAACCTGACACTCGAATAAACTTGCAGGCAGTGTGATGGGCGACGGCTCGTGCCAGCAGTGTCTTTCCGGTACCGGGAGGACCGTAGAGCAGAACTCCCTTGGGCTGTGCAATACCGAGCGACTCGAAAAGCTCGGGGTGCTTGAGACCAAGCTCGATAACTTCCTTGATCTCCTTGATCTGTTGGTCCAGACCACCAATCATGTCGTATGTGCTGTCTGGAACCTTCTCCACCATCATGAGGGAGACGAGAGGGTCGACCGAAGATGGAAGCATCTTTTCCAGTTTGTAGCTGTCAGACAAAAGAGTGACTCGTTTTCCGGGTGTGAGCTTTCCGATATCGACGCTATCCGATACATCGACAACTGGACAACTGTAAGCATTATCGATTGGGAAAGAAATGTAGAGTAAACGTACCATATTTGCCTTCTGGGTGCACCTTGACGAGAACCTTCTTAGTACTCATCACCTTGACAACCTCGCCGACATAGGATCCAGGCTGTTGCAGAAGACCCAGCTCTTCTCTCAACAATCGTACGCGGGAGTTGTAGTCGTTTCTCTGAGCCTCGAGGCGGCGAAGTGCAGCTTGACCCTTGAGGATCTCGAGCTTCATAGCCTCGATCTTGTTGTGGTAGTACGCGTCCAGCGCCATCTTGGCGGAGCTCCCTTGACGTCAGGGAAACGATGTCGAAGTAGATAATTCGTAGAGTGAGGATAGGGTGTTTGCGTGGTTTGCGCAGGGGGCGGGATGGGAGTGAAGGCGGAGGATATGATGGAAATCGGAGACTGGGTCGGTTGCGATGAGGTTGGAGCTCGATGACAAGGCTACAGCTTGTCTCGTAAGCCCCAGACGAATGCACAGGCCAGCTTGAGTGCAAGCAGCTGCATGTGGTCGGGATTACGTTGAGCCGATCTCCGGGTGAGGTGGTCTAGGGTAGGTGGGTACCTAGCAAAGCAAGGCACACCTCTTGGCCGGTGGGCACGGCACCCACGCCCAGCATGCCCAGCCCAGCACTCCAACTCCAAGTCTGAGGTGCAGGCGATACCCCACCTGAACCTTGTCGATCGAGACACCAACGGTATCTAGACAAGGTCACATCATGATAGCCTTGATCGGCGGCTCGGTAATGGCGGCTATTACTATGCTTGGCTGCTCTACTATTCTGCTTGGGCATCTCCAATTCTTCTGGCACAGCTTTGAGCCCTCTCAATCTCCTCCTCGATCAATCCGCATCAACAACTGCACGACAGCGTCTGTGCCAACCAAGCTCTTGGAGTTGCAAAATGACGTTGCCTCCACTGGACAAGGGCGCACGCGCAATGGGCATCCAGACACGCTAGGCCATCCTGGGTAAGCTAGCTGATCACGAGCAGCAAGGTTGGCCAGTTGTGGATCAAGCAGAGGAACCTACCAGGTATGCTGGGTGCAGTGGGTTTTGGGGATTGCCATTGTGTACGCTTGATTTGTGTAGGAGGTGTTGTGCAGGTAAACATCCGACCTCTCCTCCTTGCCTTGGGCAGGATACCTAGCGGCGCTGATACTTTGTGCCATAGCTCGACCCGCCTTCAGCTGTTGATTCTCTCTTTCCCATCATCACCTTCGAGCGTCCTCCTGCTCGTCGTATTCCTTTGTCTCCTGTGGTGGTTTTTTGGCAGGTTCCTCGCAGTCTCAGACAGCAGCCAACACCGAGACAAGTTTTCTCACCCGGCGACGCCGTCTATCGTTTCCTCTTTTTTTTTTAATAATACCCTCACGTTGGGCAAAAAATAAAGCAAAGCCCCGACATCTCAGCTCAGCTCATTTAAATCACCAGACCCAACGCGACCCAACCCAACTCGACCCGGATCTTCGTCGTTTGGGCATCGCATCCTCCGGTATCTCGGCGCTGCATCGTAACATTGGCATGCTCGGCATTCCCTTTCCGCTTCCATTCGTCGTTCAAGAACAGGCATAACCTTGATCTGAAATTCTTTTGCAACTCGTGCCCTATCTCTGTTTGCCTCCTCCGTCCTACTAAAGCACGCGAGGCCATCGTGACAACCTCGTGTATCCTTCAGTCGACCTGCGCTGGCCCCAGTGTCACCATTCACCATGGATCCCTCGAGACGAGAAAGCTCGTCAGCTGCGCGCCCAGGCGACTCGTCTGGTGCGACGTCTCCGGCAGACACGCGCAATCCTCCTGCTCGAGCCGAGTCAACAACTCGTACCGAGGACGACGGCTTGTCCGAGAGCTTTCAGTCCACCGACACAATGCGACGGAGGCCTGAGGGTTATGGTAGGTTTCTCGCCAAATATGTAGGGACCCAGGAGTAATCTTAGCTTCTTAGGTTCGATAAGCGGACCGGCTCCCTCTAGCTCTAATCAACCCGCCGAATCATCCCATGAACGCACATCATCTCGACCCTCTCAAACATCGCGTCACTCCAAGGGCCCTGAACGAGTGCGATCCGTCACCCGACTTCGAAAGCCCCCTATGCCTCGACGCCCATCCTCTACGCCCCATCGCGGCGGTATCTACTCTGTTGACGACGAGGCGCACGAGGTAGAGGCCGACGCTGCTGAGCGCCAGCAGACATACCGTCGCAGACCGCAGCTCCCGACACAGCTGTCTCGCGTCCACTCGCGCCAAGACGACAACGATGATAACGACGACGATGAGGATATCAATGAAGATACCGAAGATCCCTCCGATAGCGCCGTCGAGAACGAAGAACCTCATGCAGAAGAGCTGGACCTAGAAGACCACGTCGACTGCGAGTCTGATGGCGAGGTTAGCGAGGCCGAAAGCTTCACCCTCAAGGATCGACAGGCGGCCATCAACCAGACCCATCCTTTCGGTATCCGTGTATGGAAGCCTGCACTGTACAAGAAGGATCGTTCGATCCAAAAGTTTGCTCAGGCTGATATTCACTCGGCTCCTGGTGGGAGAGTGAGCAATTGGCTCCTTGCCTTCAACCTGTTCTGGACTCTCCTGTTCGGTTGGTGGATGGCCTCTCTGGCAGCTTTGGGCGCCATAACCTGTCTGCTTTTCTCTGCTGCTCCTAGTGGGAGAGAGTATGGGAGAATCCTCTGGGGTCTTGCAGGATATCTGTTTTACCCTTTTGGCAAGTTTGTGCGTCTGGAGAAGGACGAGGCCTACATGGACGAGGATCAGGATGAAGGCCGCAGCATTTCAGAGTACGAGCAATGGCAGAGCGGAGACCTCGAGTACGGACGACTCTTTTTCGGACCTGATCGCAATCGCTCGATTATAGGGCGCTCGAGGAGAAGCCTTGATTCTGAGCCCAGTGAGACTGAGAGCCTGCTCGGCCGCGGTCGACGTGGTGAGAGTTCTGAGAGTTCTGAGCTGCCTCCTCGATTCAAGCGGAGACTGTTTGGTCGTGGCCAGTGGAACATTGGCCGAGTCATCTTCTTCGTCTTCTTCTACTGTCTGATCTCACCCTCGCTCATCATCGTGTCTGGCATCTGTTGGTTCTTGGTGTTTTGGATTCCCATGGGTAAGGCGACATTCCTGCTCTTCGACCACCTGCGACGACACCCCCTGGCCTTGTCCTTTGAGACGGACATTAGATATGTACGCTCAGATGATGCCACTACGTCCTCGATCCTGCTCTGCACCTACCGTGCCGTGGGCTCCAGATACTGGAAGTACACGGTGGACGGAACCAACATCTTCCTCATCAACCTCATGGTGGTGGTTGGCTTCGTTATCCTCGACTGGCTCGTTCTCGATGGCGTGTTCCATGTGGAGGGCTTCATCACGTCGCCCGCCTTCTTGTTCGTTGCTGGTCTTTTGTCCATTATCCCTCTGGCCTACTTCATTGGACAGGCCGTTGCCTCCATCTCAGCCCAATCCTCCATGGGTGTCGGTGCCGCTATCAACGCCTTCTTCGCAACTGTGGTCGAGGTGTTCCTGTACTGTGTTGCCCTGACCCAAGGCAAGGGTCAGCTTGTTGAGGGAAGTATCGTGGGCAGTATCTTTGCCGGTATCCTCTTCCTGCCTGGTATCTCGATGTGCTTTGGCGCCCTTAAGCGAAAGACGCAACGATTCAACGCTCGGTCTGCCGGTGTTACATCTACTATGTTACTGTTTGCCGTGGTTGGTGCCTTTGGTCCAACTCTGTTCTACCAGATCTACGGAACTCACGAGCTTAACTGCACTGAATGTGAGGACTACGGCTCTGGGGATAGCGGCCGAGACTGCCGTCGTTGTTACTTCTCGCAGGCTCCTTCACTCAGCGACAGATTCTATCTCGAGGCAGTTCGCCCTTACTGCTACATGGCTGCAGCGATGTTGTTCTTCTCGTACCTCATTGGTCTTTGGTTCACTCTCCGAACGCACGCGGCTGTCATTTGGAATGCCGAGATTGACGAGAAGCGACACGAGGAACACATGCATTCAATGCATTCATCCAGCGTTCGACCTTCCCAAGCTCACGGTCCGGTCATTGCCGATGCCAGTGGAAACGATGTGCGCGATTCTCACCTCTACAAGCGTATCCTGGGCCAGTCATTGAAGCAGTCTGGTCTACCTGAAGAACTGTCTCGTCAAGGCTCTACTGCCACGCAGGTGCTGTCTACTTCCAACGGTTCTGCCTCGACTCCACACGTTGTCCCCCCGAAGTCCAGCGGCGGCGAGCCTGCTCGCTCCACCCTTCACGTTCCTGGTCTCAGTGATGCCGACAACAAGCTCCTTGCCCGTGAGGTGGCTGAGATTGCCGCAACTGCTGCTACTATTGCCTCCCGTGAGCGTATCTCAAGAAGGCCATCTGCTCTTCCTGTGGCCCACGCTGCAGGCTCTCGTCCCCAGGCCGCCATGCGTCCACCTCACCATGAGGCTGAGACAGAGCCCCCTGCCACTGAAGCTCATGCCAGCCATGGCCACGACGCCCCCAACTGGAGTCGTACCAAGAGTGCCGTGATCCTCCTCGGAGCTACTGTTTTGTACGCCATTATTGCTGAGATTTTGGTTGATACCGTGGATGTTGTCCTGGAGAGCTTTTCGATTGATCAAAAGTTCCTTGGTATTACCCTGTTTGCTCTTGTACCCAACACGACTGAGTTCTTGGTAAGCCCCAATCCAATCCTGATCTTATCAACAGTCACTAATCATGTATAGAACGCCATCTCGTTCGCTATGAACGGAAACATCGCATTGTCCATGGAGATCGGTTCAGCCTACGCTCTACAGGTCTGCCTGCTTCAGATCCCCGCGCTCGTCTTTTACTCTGCGTTCTGGCCAGGTGTTCCTGCTGGTGGTGATGCGGCATTGTACACCTTCAACCTCCTGTTCCCTCAGTGGGATATGGTGACGGTTATCCTGTGTGTGTTCTTGCTGAGCTACATGTACGGAGAAGGAAAGAGCAACTATTTCAAGGGCAGCATCCTGATGCTGACCTATCTTGTTGTGGTTATCGGTTACTACTTCAGCGGCTTCACCTCTGATTCTATGGGTATGCAGAGGTTCGACGTCATGGGAGCCGATGGTCAGTATCAGAGTTACAAGACGATTGGCAGATCGAAGAATGGAAGGACATTCCCAGTTTGAATGCGATGACTTGTGGGAGCGGGGGATGGTTGACACGAGAGGGAGGACTGGTTGTCTGACTTTAATATCGCACATACACTACGCACATACACTCACTGAGATGCCCGTTTCATGGATGATGGTGTTCTCTTCAGGTTACTGTCTGTCAAATCAGCAGGTTGGCTTGGGAGGTGGTTAGCATAAAGTGTCATTACATTGGGCTTGTTGGAGTTGCCTGTGTTACCAGGCTTTAGCATGGGTTCGGTCGTTACATGGTGTTGGATGGCATACTGTTTTAGTTCCGTAAATTGTTTCATAGGAGCATATTATCACATAGCAATCACGCAGCATGAGACTCATTGAGACTTGAAAATTGTTTAACCACTGTCTTTCAAGACAGCTGAGGTATGTACTGGTATTGACAAGGCCACCTTATGGGCCACATGGGTAACGTCTATATACAAAGAAGGTCTATGCTGTTTCTCTAACTCTCCCCAACCCCTATTTTGGGACCGTTTAGGCCTTGCCGAAACCAGCGGTGTTGATGACGTTCTTGGCATCGTTGTAGCTGGAAGCCTTGGCAATAGTCTTGCCCTTGAAGTTGCCGAGGAAGCTGGTGTCAGTGCCACCAAGAGCACCGGAGCTGCCGAAGCCGTTGAGCTCGCAGTTGCGGCCGAGGCTGGCGGCGCAAGCGGTGTTGGAGCTGGCGGTGGTGCTGCCAAAGAGCTTGCCCTTGTAGCCGGAAACGACGGGGTTCTTGACGTTCTGGAAGATGTTGCCCTCGGCGAGGACGCTGCCGGAGTCGATCTCGAAGGCGTGGTCGGGGACGTCGTGGAAGTAGTTGTTGACGGCGTGGAGGAGGGTGTTGCCGGCGACCTTGGGGGCACGGCCGGAGCTGTGGTAGATGTAGTTGTTCTTGAAGGTGATCATGTCGTTGGCGCCAGCAAAGTAGATACCCCAGTAGTGATAGGTGTTGCAGCTGGCGGACCAGGAGCTAGTGCCATCGATCTTGGTGTTGGAGATGGTGACACGGTTGCAAGCCTTGTTGCCGAGGACAATGTGCTGGCGACCGACGAGCGAGGTAGTGACATGGTCGATCCAGATCAGATCGGCGTCATCGACGGTGATGGCATCACCGCCCCAGACGAGGCTGGGGTTGAGGTTGGTGACATGAACGTTCTGGATGATGACGTTCTTGGCTCCAACGATGCGCAGGCCCTTGCCCTTGATGACACCCTTGCTTCCAACACCGATCAAACTCTTGTTAGAGCCGACCTTGATGCCCAGAGTACCGGCCTTGTCGTACTTGACAGTGACCTTCTTGGCGTTGGGCTGGTAGTTGTCACACCAACCGTTCTGGTTGATGGACAGCTGGCACTGAGAGCCAGTTCCCCAGGGGGCGCATCCCGTCTCGGTGGCGGTACCCTCGGTGCCGGTGAAGTCGATGGTGCGGTCGAGGTAGATGACGCGCGCCTGAGAGTCGCCGAGGTAGGAGACCAGCTCAGAGGCGCTCTTGGGGTAGACGGCAGCGGCAGAACCACCGCCAGTGGTGCCAGAGGCGAAACCCTCGGCCTTGGTGGGGAGGGCACCGAAGGCGGCGGGGACGAGAGCCGTGACGGCGAGGAGGGTCTTGAAGAGGGAAGGCATGGTGAAGGAGTTGAGAGAGGGTTGAGGTGTAGAAACAGAACTAGTTGTTGTCGATGTCGTCCATCTATATATCCCAATAGCTCGGTCCCTGCCGAGACTTCTTGTCTCCTTGGCACGGCACTCACGGCAGCAGACGCAACTCCCAGCCCTACTTCGGTACCAACCCCTTCATCGGGTCAGTCCGGCGGCGGCCGGGGGTGGATGAGGCCCGGATGGGTTACCGGATCGGGCGAGGCGACGGCCTCTGATTCGTGGGCGATCGGAATCCCGTTGTTTCGCCCCGGTGGGCAATCCCCTGAAATAATAATAAGCATGACCGGACGTGGCGTGAGCTTTTACTATGGAGCAACGTTTTCTGGGACAGGGCTTTTGGTGAACGATTGGTGTGTTTTTGCGAGTGTCGCTCGGACCGAGATGTATCATGTTAGTTGATTAAGGGTATTCGTGCCTCCATAGTGTCACGACTAGCTTCCTAGTAAGGGAAGGTTATTGTGAATAAACGTGAGTCCGCCATTGAACCCGTTAATTTCAGCCGAGGCTCTGATAAGCTCCAGTATCACAATTGATTGACCAATTACAGAATATGCCATCTTGATTATCAGTGTTCTGGCTAAAAACATATCCGTGAGTGTCACTGTTTGAGGTGTTCTTTGTTCATGCCATCAGTGTTAAAGAGTCCTACGTGTGTATGAATGCGAACAAGAACAAGACGACACTTATCACAATCCCCCTGTGTTCATGAAAAGTTCCTCAAGGTAGAAAAACGTAGTATATAACCTGGTCGAGGCAGGGAAGCAGTTGAAGTATAAGCTGTGGAGTTTACAAACCCAACCTCGACATCGCGCGATTACGGAGAAAAGAATATTGCACGAAACAAACGAGAACTCGTCATATTTTTCTCTTCTTAGTGGAAAGCATAACCAGCATACTCATATCTGCCTCTCAGGGGTTGAATGTCGGTGAGGCAATGGCTGAGGAAGAGGTCACCGCCTCGCCCCAGCTGGAAGATGTTGAAGCCCTAGCTACTTCGTTCGAGGAGCTTTCGGTCTCGAAGGAGTATGATAACGCCAATCTCGCCAGGCTGCCTGACGAGATTGTCCTAGCCATCATAAAGCATTTGCACCGGCCAAGTTTGAAGAGTTTGGCCCTGACGTGTAAGAACCTACGCCGCATCGTGCGTCCTGACTTCTATCGCAGTAGGAAGCATGCACTTTTTCGTCAGTCCTTGATGTCGGGAGATCTAGATTTGTTGAAGCGGTGTGCTATGTATAGCGCTGCCCCTGTTGATGGAGTCTGGAAGGCAGAGTTTCGGGTGTACGACAGCCCCATGACGGAGTGTGAGTGCAAGAGTTTATTCTCGCATCCTCTCCACCGCCCGATTCATTTCCTGACTCTAGGTCTGGACAAGGACGAAATAACGGCAGATCAGTGTTTTGAGGTATTGCAGTGGCTCATCGACAACGACTATGATATCACGGCTGGGTCCATTGATAACCGGGCCTGGGGCGGCATAGAGACCGATGCCCAGATTGAGTTCGCCAAGGAAATGAAGCACATGCCGTGCTCCTTTCTCCAAGTCTTCAAGATGTCTACAGACAGGGACAAGCTCGACGGTGTCGCCAGGATTGTATGCCACCTATCATCTCAGGGCTTCAACTTCCCGCGATTGGTACAGGGTGTAGGGTCAACCCTCAGAAGCAAGGAAGAGTATGAAGTGTTTACTCCTCTCAGCTACGACTCGCCCCATCTCATCACAATGCTGATGAGATCATCTTGTCCACCCTCGCTTCTCGAGGCTTTCCTGAAGCAGCTGCAGCGCCAAGGCGTCAAGCTGAGTTGCCCTCGCAACAGTTGTCCGGCTGAATTCAAGTACTGTGAGCCCGTAGATGACGGCGACGAGCGCTTTAACCCGGCACCGGCCATTCTAACTCAGGTTTGGGAGTTGGTGGCCGAGCTTTACAATGACCTCTTTGATCCACAGAGGTGGAGGCCGCTTTCTGCCGGCGAGATAGGGGACATTTGGGTAGAAAAGGTGAGGCTACTAGATGAATACGAAGGTATCAGCAATGTAGAGAGACGACTCCTCGTCGCTATTCTATCCGCCCTACGAAAGATCAAAGCCAGAGCCGAAGCATCAGGCGGCTTAGAAATCGAGCGAGACGCCAAAGCCTGCTGGTACGAGCTCTGCATGTCCTTCCAACACTTCTTTGACGACGATGAACTCCTAGACTCTCAGTTCCGACACCCACAGGATAGGATGCACATGTTTGTGCTCTGGGTCAGCTGGGATCCTCAGAGGCTCTGGGACCAGAGTCTAAGGAAGGCTCCGTGTGGGAAATTTTCCAGGGGCCAGCACCGTATTAATGGGCCGGTGAATATCATGAGTGATTGGCCGCAGAAGTGGCTCTGGAGAAATGCCGGTTGGCTAATTGATAGAGATCCTGACTGGTGTAAGATTCCTTTGAGGGAGTGGTGAGTCGGAGGTGTCTGGGTCAGACTAGAGTTGTGCTTATAGAGGGGTGTGTTTAGATGATTTGCCGCTTAATAAACACTCGGCGTCATCTTGGTATGAATAAGGAACAAATTTTCTCTGAATTAATTTGCCCCTGTGATTGTGCCATTTTCTAAATGCTCTCCAAATAAGGGCATTATCTTCTCGAGTTCACTATCATATATGATTAATATCTAGATCGCTTAAAAAGATTCACCGGTCGGCTCTCATAGCTAGCGTCTCTCGTGGCACTCAGTGGAGGAATACTTCCGGCTCGAATACGGACACGTCGAAGATAGAGGCGAGTCCCCCGTAGAGCTTGAAAGACCGAGGTCACCATGGGTTCTGCTTGGACACTGTCACCTGATAGATCATGATCTCCAAGCAACTATGCGTGAAACGAAACAAAAGTCTTGTCATCCCCTGAGTGCTGATATGTCCTTTGTTGATACTTGACCATTGATGGGCGGCTTCGTACGCTAGTGGATAACTCTTCTTTCACGTATATAATAGTGAAAGGGCTTCAGCAGCCGTCGAGGGCAAAGCATTTATTTTGTTGGAGCTTCTTTGCTATTTCTTATCATAAAAGAAAATGCAGGACAAAGAAAAACTTGTTGGGTGTAGCATCCGTTGAAGCATATGAGATATAAACATGCTTCTCTAGATGAAACAAGTTCACTATTCAAACATCACACAGTTCCTGAACACAACATTACAACATATCCAACACTTACATCAACCCACCAACTTTCCCTTTGAGAAATCAAATCACCATCAACATGTCTGACCCGCAAGGATCCAAAGCCACCGAAATCGAGTGTGAAGGCGGCAGTGCCGCTTCATGCCAGACACCTACAAACGATCAAGGACCAGACAACCACGAGGCTCCAGTGGAGAAGCTTCCGGACCGGGTCGAGCAACCTGACAATGCTTATCTTGTCAAGATGCCCAGCGAAATCATTCTCTCCGTCACGGAGCATATGGATCGGCAGAGCTTGAAAAGCCTGGCCTTGACATCCTTTGGGTTGCACATCACCGTACGCGCCGAGTTCTATCGAAGCTCAAACTACGAGACCTTCCGCCTAGCCTTGGAGGCGGGTGATTTCGCAACGATTGAACGATGTGACGAACACAACGCTGCCCCTGCGGACGCCACCTGGGTGGTAGAGCGTATATTAACATACCGAGGCGATCATACGTCCAGTTGCTTTGACTTCAGGCCAATTGACTCCCTGATGCTTGCCTTTGAAAGGGACAAGATGACACCGAGTCAATGCTACGCTATGCTATGGTGGCTGGTGGAGAAGGACAGTGACATGGCCACAGCCTGCATCCCCATATTCTACTGGATTGCGGGAAACATGGGCAATGAATTCCAATTCGCAAAGACCATGAAGCACATACCGCACTCGTTTCTACGTGCCTTTGCGGTAGAAACTGACAGGGCCAAGCTCGCCGGCGCTGCCATCAGCATTTGCTTCTTGTCAGAGCGAGACTTCAATTTCCCGCGAGAAATACTTGTCCAGGGTAACGCCGAGGGTTACGGACACAAGTGCAGGAGCAGAGAGTCACTCTCAGAGTTTGCGCCTCTAAGGTTCGATGACAAGAGTCCCATGGAGAGGATGATGAGGTCGGCTTGCCCGCCTATGGTGCTCGAGGCATTTCTTAAGCGGCTACAACGACAAGGCGCAACACTGACTTCCCCTCTTGAGCGATGCCCGGAGAGCCTCCGATGCACCCAACCCTTGATCTCTCTCACGCGGTTGCCCCCTGACCAATGCATGAGCCCAGACGTTGAAGACACCTTGATGACCAAGTATTCTAACCTGGTAGTGGGACTCTACAATGACCTCCTTGATCCTCTGATATGGAGGCCGGCATACAACGGTGAGATTGGTGATATTTGGGAGAGGAAGTTGAAGCTGCTGGACACGTACCAAGGGATCGATGAAATCGAGAAGCGCCATCTCCTCTCAATCCTGGCAGTCTTGCGAAAGATTGAGGACAACAGCTGGATCAGACGTGATGAAGAAGCCTGCTTGCGGGAGCTCTTATCAGCACTCCCCGACTCTAGGGATGAGTCCGAGATCCTGAAGGTCAATGAGGAGGGCGACCCGGCCGACAGGGTGCATCGATTCTCCTTCAAGCGTTTCCACAACCCCATGGATTTGTGGCGTAATAGGGACAAATCATCTCATTTGTCATGCCATCTATAGTATACTTACGCCAGAGTTTTCTGGTTTTATATTGTTTGAATGCACTTGTTTTGATCTAGTTGTTTGTTCCCTACTCGTGTTGAGATGCTTGCATATACCACTACTTCCTCCGTTTCCTAAATAGCTTCCAAGGGCCAATGCCCTCGTATCTTTTTGGCCTTAAGTATGGCTCCCCTAATCTTTGGGTTTGGCGAGGAATGGCTACATGAGAATTGAAAACGGCGCATCTCGTCAACCTATCAAGTCAAACAAAGTCGGCGGTCTTGTCTAGGTCTTCATCCTTATGAAACATACCAAAGAAACACTTTCAAGTGGAATTATCTTTTATAGGCAAGGGACAAGGGTTCCTCGAGTGCACATCTACATACATATATATACGTCGATCACCTGCCCTACATGGACGGGTTGGGGAGGCAGTTGCCCCGCGCATTTTACAGAGTTTGCTACTCATCCGTAATGTCTTTCGTGTTAACGGAGTTAGGTGAGTGAGGACTAAGTCCAGCGGTGGAAATCACGGCCAGAGCTGCGACGGGTAGAGGCGCAGGCCAGGTCATGTGTAAGTCGGCAACGCACGCTTACCCCCATGCCAATATACTGTGTTAGAGTTGTTACTTTGATTATCGATGTCCAACTAGGTCATATCGGCGGTGGTATGAGACAACATGCCCAGATTGTATCCCTCATGGCTCCTCATGAGAGCTCGTGCTCGTGGCTGAACCTCTTCCTATTTAATTTTATTCCCTTTCTTTTACTTTTAACCAGTGTACTTTGCTAAAACTTCCATGTGGGTAATGTAATCTGTGTTTGTACGGCTAGTCGAATTCCTCTACAAGGCCAAAGAAACAAAGAAAGGCAACTTACATTCAGGCTCCGTTCAGAAGACCATCTTTGTCCATGGTTCAGAACACAAATCAATGCAAGGCAGCAACATCACAGCATGTTCTCTCATTTTCATTGAAGGATCACTCATGTTACTCAAGTTTAAAGAACAACCCCAATAGTGTCTGTTTCATTGTCGGCTTGAAGTTGGGTTGAGAAGCATGTATTTAATCTTCGCATACTCTTGATAGATCGGGTTTACCAAAAACAACTAGCATTCATCACTAAGTAACAGCCTCGGCATTCTCAACAGCCTTCAAAACTCATTTGCTATCCTCTCGTAAATCATGGACGACCTCAGTCCTTTGGATTCATCGCTCCCTAGTAAGCCGATTCGCCCTGCCCAGCATGGCATGCTCGCTCTTCTGCCAGCGGAGCTGTTGATCCAGACCTTCAATCATCTACTAGATACCGGGGATTCGGGATGGGCTCTGGCACTGTCCTCTGTAGCAGTACGCAATGCCGTCATCGACATCTTCTATCGCCGAAATGGCAAGGAAATCTTCTTGAAGGGTCTTGAGACTGCCGATGTAGGCATTCTAAGGCGATGCGAGAAGTTCGGTGTAGCATCCACTAAATACGTCTGGGAAGTTCCCCGTCAGAAAGATGCATCCAAGACCTTTTCGAGGTCAATGCGTCCCCCGTATCCTGGGTCCATCTGGCGTGCAGGAGGTCAAAGAAGAGCCGCCTATCACCGTCCCGTCGACCGCCTGTTGGAGAGCGCTTTTGCAGGAGATGTTATTGAACAGAAGCACTACGATGCTCTAAGGTGGTTGGTAGATAGGGGCCATGACGCAAGCAGCAGCAACGAGCGTTTGCCTGGAAAGCACATGGTCAGGTCCTTGCCAAGTCAGCTGCAAAAGGTGAGAGACAGAGAGTCGATGCTCATGATTTCCAAAATGATTGGGCTCCTGAGCAGTCGCGGATTCCCAACCCCAGCTACCAAGTTTGCACTAAACAAGCTCCCTGGGAATGAGTTGGATCCAATCCCCAACTACCTCATCTCCAGCGGTGACTATCGTGGTATGGCTTCAGATCTTAACGAGGTTAGGGGTCACTTGGTGTCTCTATCGATGAGGGCTCACTGCCCCCCTGAGATTCTAAGGGACCGTGTTGATGGACTACGAGACTCGAGGGGTTAAGCTCGGCACCAAGTATCTCGATCCCCCTGTGGCACTCGACGAGTATGAAGGTATACGCAAGCCCGATCCCCCGTACCAGTTCCAAGGTGAAGGAATTGACGCCTGGAACCCTACCGCTTGGTGGCATACTTGCAGGATGGAGGATTTGCTGGGGATGCTCCACGGTGACCGCTTCGGATTTTGGGGTTGGGAGGAGTCATACATAGGAGAGGTAGACGACATATTCTCAGCCAAGGTAGCTCTTCTAACCTGGTACGAGGCCATCACGGAAGATGAGAGAGAGTTATTAGAGGCAGTCATCAAGGCTATGAAAGAAATCACCATCTTGCGGAAGTTGATGCCGCTCACCGGGCTCGCTCTTCAGAAGGCCTCGTGGGAGAAGCTGTGGACGTGTGTAACCCCTTTCTTTAATATGAGCTTCTTTAATATGAGCGGAACTGGGTTGGTCGATCTCCAGTACGAGCATAGGTGGGAGAACCACGATAGAAAGAAGCTGCACCGGTTCGCCTTCAAAGGTTCACAGCCGTATAACCCTTGGCGAGCGTGGTACACGCAAACGGAGCTGCAGAAGCGCCGGGATGCATGGGGACCAATGTCTGCCGAGGCCTTTGAGGAGGCGTTAAAGAAGGATGAGGAGTGGCAGCACATGTGGAAGATGTTTCGGTGGAGCAGAGGCTTTAAAGGCGATGAAGATTATGACGGGAAGCCCCGGTGGTATCGAGTAGGCATGGACGAGTGGTTGAGTACCGTCGAGAGGGACTACCCCCCTGAGTCTGACCCTTCATATGACGACTACAATTGGTCAGGGTTTTTCAGCCGGCGTGGCAATATGGCTAGATGCCTTTAAAGGCGCCAAAGCTGGTGTGTTTGTTGTTTAGTTGATCAATCTATACATTCTCTTTACTTCCTTCTAGTGATTCCCGGTCAAGTGAGATACGTACCCGCGTAAATGCCCCACAACCGTTGGGCTACCCCGAAGCTATTCCCACATCAGCAAACTATTCTTCCCTTGCTGGAAATGTTTGCGGCGAGCCAGGACTTTTCTTTGGTCGGCTGTGCTGACGTGGGCCCGTCGTATCATGATCATGACTTTTCCCCTCCTTCTCTAGCACCCCAAGCTAATGCCGCATCTCCCGTCTCCCGTCCGCCAGGTTGCCGGCGCTATCCTTGCCGTGGAGGGGCGGCTACCAGATGAACACCACCAGATTGGTGCCATAGAAGTCTATTGGAGAATTTCTGCTGCAAGGATGGAGATCTAGAGATGCAGGAATGGAACTACCCCCGCTATGCCCTGCCCGTCTCTATTCTGGGCCTATCTTCCGGCCTCCCGCGCCTGGCGATTGATGGTCCACAGTCAATGGATGCTTGGAAACGGCAGTAGCACCACGTCAAGAGGAGAAAGAGCTGTCCTGATCCATAGTAAGACCCAGTATATACCCCGTCCACTCTCAATCCATTCTTCCCCAGACACAACCTCACTCTGTACAACAAACACTCTCACCATCTTCGTACACCCAAAAACAGCCTCCGTCATCATGGCCAACGAGAACGAAGAACAGGCCACCACTCCCGCCACCACTCCCGCTCCCGCCACGAAGTCACCCACTAAATCCCCTAGCCCCGCACCCCTGGTGTCCTCCTCCCCGCCACGAGGCGAGCCGATCATCGCCGCCGACGACGCAGTATGTCATGATAGCTTCCATGTGCTTTGCGCCATCATAAATGACAGATCGTTGACGCATGTATTTCGCTGTAGGATGACAACTTTGACGACGCCGATTCAGCTCTTGGATCTGATGCGTACGTGCAACCAAGCTCCCCAATAAAGCATAGCATTAACACGTTGGACAGCGCAAGCTCTACAGCTTCAGTGACAGCTAGCATCCTCGAGTACCGAACCATCCAGGGCCGAACCTTTCACAGCGACCGCCATTCCACCGAATACTTTACTCCCAATGACGACCAACAGCTCCAATCACAGGACATCACCCACCACTACCTCACCGTCCTCCTCGGCGACAAGCTATTCCTTGCACCCATTGCTGGTGGTGATGTCAAGGTTCGTCTGAACAACACTGCCGCTCGCTCGCCAGTTGCTAAAATCTCGCCAAACAGAAAGTCCTCGATGTCGGTACCGGCTCTGGTATCTGGGCCATGTACGCCTCTCTTGTCCTTCTCGGCATGCTCTAAACTGACTATTCTAGCGACTTTGCCGACCAGTACCCCCAGGCTGAAGTGATCGGCTCCGACCTCTCCCCCTGCCAGCCATCATGGGTGCCCCCCAACGTCCAGTTCGAGGTTGACGATGCCACCCAGCCTTGGACGTGGAAGGACAACGAATTTGACTTCATCCACATCCGCTACCTGTTTGGCGCCATTGCCGACTGGAACGCTATCTTCCAGCAGGCCTGCCGCTGCTGTGCCCCCGGCGGCTGGGTTCAATCCTGTGAGGCCGATGTGCACTTCTTCTGCGATGACGACACGGCCGACGACCCTCAAGTTGCGCCTTACCTTAAGACGTGGGCCAAGCTGTACGAGGCCGGCGGAGCTGAGATGAAGAAACCATTCTTTGTGCAGCAGGAAAATTTGCAGGAGAAGGGCATTGAGGCAGCTGGTTTTACCGACATGAAGGTTGTCAACTACAAGGTGGGACATGCACTTTATGATCTCAATCTCGTCACCACACTCTGTTGCTAACACTGGTCAACAGCTTCCTGTCGGCGGATGGCCCAAGGACCCCAAGCTCGCTGAGGTCGGTCGTTTCGTGAAGCTGACCATGGAGAACGACATCGAAGGATACACGCTCTTTATGTGGCACAATGTGCTCAAGTGGCCAAAAGACGAATACCAGATCTTTCTTATGGGCATGCGCAAGATTCTAGCCAACCGCAAGGTCCACGCCTACATGATGGTTCGCTATGTGTATGCCCGGAAGCCCGAGGCTTAGATGAGAGAAGGAAGACACTTGAGGGAGACTTGTAGACCTGGCATGAGTAGTAACGATTGAGGAGCGGCATGTTGTTATTTGCATTGTTGGCGAAGATGGCGAAAAAGAGGTGGGAGTGGTGGCAGGCAGGTGCGAGAGGCAGTTATAGATCAGCCTGAAAAGCAAGTGACATCTTATCGATGGAGAACATAGCAATCGAGATTTCCATTACAACGCGCGGGTGCAACTTGGTTGACATGGCACGCACAGGCTGAAACGAGGACCGGACTGGATCTTACATTGCACCCTCCTCACAGATCCGACACTCATCACGCCGCGACGCGCTCCCCCAGCAGCACGATACGAGGACGAAAGGCTTCTTCCTCACTTCCAGGGCAAGCCCCAGACAGTAATGAAAAAGAAAAAGAAACACGCCTGTCAGACGTCCATCAACACCCATCCCGACCGCGCGCCCGAAGGCAAGACCGCAGAGGGGATCGAGATCATCAAGAGAAAAACACTCTCTATACAGTAGCTGCATAGCAACCACCGCCATCCTTGCGGACAGAGCGAGAGGACCAAGGTATTCACTCTAGGGTGTCGAGGATATGCACTCATCAACCAGGGTGGGATCTGTGGCTCTTTTGGAGAACCAAGAGAAGGTCGAATACTATAGAAATGATTCTCCTGGGGTGATGGGTTAGCAGACTGTTGAATTGGAAAGCAAAAAGTGTAGATCGCCAAGTTGATGTGCTTTTCCAAGTGTGCCAAGGTTGTTTGCAGGCTTGGAGAGCGCTTCAGAGTGGAGAGTGCTACTGTAGGGGTAGACTTACTGAAGTATTGTCGACATGAAGAAGAAAAGAAGAAAAGTCCAAAGAGTGTGAGGGAGGCCGAGATTTTATAGACGGTGGGTGGGGCTGCCAATCAGTCGCCTTCACCGCCTAAAAGTTTTTCTGCCCGGCAGAATTTGGTGTGCCTGAATTTTTCAGTGGAGACGTGCAGGGCGGTGGACCACCGCCCCGTTCGCTGTGGTTGGGATTGCTTCGACAGAGTGGATTTTACGATGGAGCATTTTTCTTTGTTTCGGCGGTTTGAGTCGTGTTGAGCCCGTCGGTGAGGCGGACGGAGATGAAGGGATCCATTAGATCTCCATCTTTGAGGTGGGAAGGAGAGGCTGGACGAATCGTTTGCTTTGAGTTGGAGATGCGGCTCCGGATAGCGACCTTGGTGCTCGGCTTGTGATGCTTGGCATTAGACATGAGGACGGATGTCGGTGGCATCTGGCTTGGGATGGATCGTGAGAATGTCTGCTCTGTTAGCTTAGGTCGGTTGCTATACGCTTGGTACTTTGCATGGAGTACATTGCATTGTGTTTACGATTCATGTGCGATGGACATGTGGAATTGTGCATGCACCTCTAACGTCTCAGAAAGCACAAGCTGTTGATGTCCATGAAACCGCAGATGCCGTCGTATACGGAAGACTCACCGTTTTTTATCAATTTTCCTATATAACGAAGTACAAGGCCACAAACCCCACACGCCTGAAGACCAGGTAGTTGCATGACACATGCGCACCTCTGTTAGATGCGAATCTAGTATCATGACCGACCAAGGCGGGCTACCCTGGAGATGCCCAAATTCACGATGATTTCTGAGAAACCATGAAATATTAGTATTCAACCCTGGCCAATATTCAGCATGTCTGTTGTAATACTTTCTTTTGGCACAAGGGCTGTGAGCTTTTTGACTTTGTTGAGGATGTTAGGGTGGCCCGTACGCAGAACGCTTCAATTCTCATGTCTCATCGTCATTGATGCCATCACCACTTCAGTGTGCAATATCTCACAAACTGGCATCCTTGGCTTCCTTATATAACCCCTCCCTCTCAATCCACCCCTTAATCTCTTCACTAACCAACTCATCCAACTCCTTAACATCACCACTCTTCACAACTTCCCTCACCCTCGAGCTACTCACACCTTCACCACCCTTATCACCCTCCACAATCTCAACCCTCCCAACCCACGCATCATCACCCCCAACCTCTCCCAGCTTCGCATGCGTCAACCAAGCCCTCTGCTCTTCAACACCTCCCCACGTCACATCCGGTCTTGTAGTCACCCTCACTTTCGCAGTGTCAAAGAACGGTCCTAGCGCAAGTCGCATTCCTCCTTCGCCGTAGTACTTTGGGTTGAATATGCGAACCAGCGTGTCGAACCCAGCGAGAAACGTCTGTGTCACCTCCCCGTAGAACCCTGACTGAACAATCGCCCTCGCCTTGTCGTGGAAAAACGGCATCGTAGTGACTGCAACATCAACCTCCAACCCCTCAACCTCACTAACCAACTCTCTCCCCAAAGCCTCCATCATGCCCAATCTGATCGGAAAACTCGCCGGCTTGGGCGCCTTATCCGCATTGTTAACAGAAAGTAGAAGCATGAGTCTGCTGCTGCCGTGGGCCCGCAGCGCAGACCGCGCCATGCCCGCATGCGCGAGCGTGGGCGGGTTGAAGCTCGAGTCGAGGATGATGAGGTCCCGGACCGGGTGGGACGGCCGGCGCGGCGCGGGGGTGTTGGAGACGTGGGGCAGAGTGCAGAGGATGCGGAGGGCATCCGACGAAGACTGGAAGGACGTGAGAGCCCGGGAGAAGGCGGGGACGAGGGAATTGGGATGTGGGAGGGGCATATTGGCTGGCTGCGTTGATTCTGTAGTTGTGCTCATGATGTTGTATCAAGGTGAGTTAATAATCAACAAGAACCTGAAGTTCAAGGATAAAGCCAGACGTGGGGCATCCAAGAACCACCATCAACCATGATGCTGCAACCACTATAACCGCTTATTCATATTAAAACATGCCAACACCTATATCTCATCTCTTCAAGTTCCATATAAAAAAAGAATTCAAGTCGCGAGACGAGAAGAACCCAAAAAACTCCTCTAGACACCATCAATCTGACCACCTACGAATACAATTCACTCGGCACTCTGCCCATCCATGACACCTCTCGAGAACCACTCCGCCACTGTGCTGAACCGGTCATCGCTATTCTCCAGATCGCCCTTGAACAGGTCATGCTTGTTTGCCCTCTCCCTCTGGCCCTCGCGCATCTTACGGATCATGTCATTCTCTCCCGCGCACTTGGGACACTCGGCCTCGCCGTCCTTGCCACTGTTTCGTACGCATCGCTGGTGGAAACTGTGCTTGCATAGGAAGTGGACCGCGGGGAGGTCTAGTCTCTGGCTGCAGTCTGAGCACCATGTGGCCTGGAATACGGCCGGCTTGGATCCGAGGTCGGCCAGCTCCTCACGGCGCTTCTCCGTATCCCCTCGAAGCGTGCTGATCCGATGTCGGTTGGAAGCAATCTCCTTGCGTTCCCTCGTGATTGTCTCATGAAGGTAGGGCTTGATCATGCCCATGGTAGCCACACCGCCACCTGAAGATTGTCCCACCAGCGTCTGAATCACCTGTAGAGGCGCCATCAGTCCGTCTTTGTCAATCTTGGTTAAGATATGAGACAGCTCATCCGGTCCGGCCTCCTCCAACACCCGCGGGTCGGAAGTTAGGTATGCCAACGCAGCTGGGTAAAGCTGCGGCTCTTCAGGACCGTACTTCCTCAAGGCCTTGATCGCTCCTCGAGTATCCTTGGCTGACGTGTAAGACCTGAAGATGTCAAAGAGAAGACCCGCCTGCTCCTTCACAAGCACTGTTCCATCATGGAAATCCGCAAGATGCGATAGGAGCAAAACATTTGAGCTCTCCATGGGGACGTGGTCACCCTCGATAAGCTTCTTCGCCTTTGCCTCCCACTCTTCCTTATGATGCTGGCCCTTCTTCTCGCCTGCCTTGTACAAATACATTTCGAAAAGAGTGGTATATAGGTCGGTTCGGTCACTGTCTTCAAGGTCTTCCTCCTCCAAGCATGCCTCGAGAAAGACAATAAACTCATCGGGATGGTCGATAAAAGATGAGAAAGCGGTTCGTGGAGGAGGAGGGGTATACTTTGGTGCAGGGGCGTCGTCATCCACAAGGAGGTTGCTGTCACTTACGACAGCCTTTGTGTTTCCAGGTGTCCCTGGAGATGCGATCGTTGAAGTGTTCATGTATGGTAAGGGGAGAAGGCTGGACAGGTTCTGGACCGCACTGGCAGCTCCAGCTGCAAAGCCCCCACTAGTAGGTGTATCGGTCGCATTCTGCACCACCACCGTACGCCTGGGCCGATAGTTGCCTGTGTAGTAATCCACAAAAAGCTTTGTGGCATCTTGAGGGCAGTTCTCAATGAGCACTCGGGCGTACTTTTGAAGACAAGGATAGGCCTGGAAATGTTAGCAAGCGCTCCTCTTGATATCCCGATAAACGTACTATATCCGGGTCCTGGCGCCAGATAAAGTCAAGCGCTTCTGAGTAGTTCTTGGAGTCCTCAATCAGGATATCGACCACAAGGTCGGTCTCGCCATGCTGTTTGGCAAGATATGCTGCCTGCTCATAATAACCGCCTTGCCGGCACATGGCGATTGCGGTATCAAGATCAAACTTGAGGTCACCCGGGGACTTGATGAACTTTTCCAGCTTGTTGATATCCTTGAGCTTGGCATAGCAGTTGAGGAGGAGGGTGGTGTGGTCAGCCGTCGCCTTTCTGTGCTCATGGAGCTGTTCTAAGTACTGGATGAGGTTGTGAATGCGTTGCGTGTCGAGAAACTGGCCATGTTAGCTTATACAGTGCATCAGGCAAGCCTACTCACCTTGCGAATGACTTGTGATGGCTCAGTTGTGTCGATTGCTCGAATATACTGAACCATAGCGCCATCATAGTCGGCTTTTTGGTAAAGATGATCGCCAAAACGGCGGTAGATGAGACTTTGTTGCTCAGCATCCATACCAGACTTTTGCGCCAGCTCGATAGCCAATGGAAACATGTTCCTCTGGTACAGCATTTCTAGCCTTTGCTGTAGGCTCTTTTCGTGGTATCGGTAGATCTAAGACGGTCAGAATTGAGCTTCACTTTAGCTATTGAAATGCCCTACCTTGCCATCTTGAGCAATGGTATAGAAGTCTCCCCAGATGTCGACAAAAAATCCCACGGGCGACATCAACGTCTCGGTGTGGCCAATTACTCGAAGATCCATATCCAACATGACAAAAGACGACGCATTGAAGAGGGAATTAGCCGTGCTGCTTCCAAAGCGCCGTCTCATAGCCTCCGAGTCTTTGCCGCTGTGACTTGCCGGCGGACAAGCAAGAGCCACATACTCGTGATAGATGTCGATCTTGCTCTTTGGTGACTCGTACGCCTTGGGTGGTCCACGACCTTCCAATGTGTAGGTGTATATGGCATCGTCTCGCGCAACCACGACACCATCTGTATTCGGATCTAGCGTCATACATCCGACTGCACACCCGGTATCCTCGACGGTTTTAGGGGGAAGTCCCTGGCCCTTCTTGGACAGGCCCAGCTTCAATATCCTGGATGTCGTCGAGACGAAAAGGTTTGTGAGTTTGAGTTTTATGTCGGTTGTAAGCTGTACACCGGTGACCGGCTCCTCGGACTCGAAGACTATGCGTTGTTTCGTTCCGAGATCGTGGATGAGTTCGCCTCTGATGACCGTGACAGAGCCATTCGTGAATCCTACAGCGATCTGGGTGAGGTCGTCGGTAGCCGCGAATGCCGAAATCTGTATATATTAGTCTTTTGGTGATCGTAAGAGACTATATGGGAGAACTCACGGGGAATTGCCGGCGGTTGTTGTTGATGGATACGGTGCTCAAGCATGTGGGCAGGTTGGTCTTCTTGACCAGCTTGTCAAGCGCCCACACCTTCAACACAGGCTCGCTGCTCATGTCCTCCTGTACTCCCATCAGTATCTATCCACCAGAGCCCAAGGCCATCTCCTTGGCCCAGCGCATCCAGACTCACCGCAACCGTCAACAACAGACTCGTTCCTTCAACCTGGCGCATATGCGTGATGCTCCCCGCCTCGTAGGCCTGGAAGCGCTTGATGACCTTCCATGCCTTGCCTATAATGCTCACATATCCATCAAAAGATCCGATAAAGAGGCTGTCGGAGCCGGCGCACACGCTCGCGATCTCGTTGCCTTCGAAGAGCTGTCGGGTTTCATCGTCGGCGAGGTTGATTTGGGTGACGTCGAAGAAGTCAAACGACTTCCACTGTGATGCGGTGTTAGCAGATTGTCAGCGACGACGCTCCAATGCTAAATAGCTACTGAGCGCGCGGCGAGGGCGTCCTTACCGAGATGGCCATCTTGATGCATCTGAGAGCGTCTTGGGTTGGGGAGAATGGATGCTCCGCGGCCGCGCGATGACGATGGTGGGACCTGGGACCTGGGGAGCTTGGAGCTTGCCTAGCGCCACTGTGGCTGCAAGGCTCCACAGGCAGCTATCCTCATGAACTCATCATCCAATTCTTGTTGCCTGCTATCTATCTATGTGACGGAAATCTTGTAGGGATATAGGAAGATAACGCAGAGAGTAAAGCCATACTTAATTAGTTCTTCCGCTATTACGACTATGTGGAATCAAAGGTCTACAGTATTGGTAGCCTTGTCAATGGATGTCACACTGCTCAGACGCCCCTTGTAATCCTCCTTGGGCACAATTTAACTTCAGCACCAAGATAACAGGGGGGATTATATGATACAGACATTCTCAGGGTATCATAGATGGTGTATTATAGGACCCAATGTCCCAGACTGCCTATAAGTAAGTACTGAACTAGGACTCTATCCGCAACCAAAAACACAAAAACGCTCCGTCTCGCCCAGATCCCCAACCGAACCCAAGCCGTCCCAAGATAAACAAAGCATCAATCATTTACAAACACAAACAAAAATAATTACTCCTGCTTGGTAGTTGAAGTCGTGGGGGTATTCTCCTTCTCCTCCTTTTCATTCTTCTCGCCAAGCACCTCTCGTGGGGTGATCAGAGGGCTACTCAAGCCGCCGATGCTCCCGCTCACACTTTCGGCTCGTCCATGTCCTAGCAAGCCGCTTCTCACGCTGGCACCGTCTCCTTGCTTGGCGTAGAAACTGTTCCGATCACTGGAAATCGCTGGCCCAACACCTGTAGCTGAGTAGATGCTGGTGCGTTCAGTACCCATGCGTGGCCCGCCATGAAGCCCAGGCGTTGGTGGCATGCCTGTAGCATCAATGTTGGCGCTCAAAACACTGAGAGGCAAGCTTTCACGACTACCACCCCAGAGAGATGAAGGGGCAAGAGCCCGTACAGAGGCATCCGTATCCAGAGATCGTCGACGACGTCGCTTGCTTGACGATGCTAGTGTGAGGATGGATGCGTTGTCGGTCAAAAGGTTATTAGCGGTAGCCGAGGTATAGGTTGTTGGGTTGCCAGTCGGGGCCAGGTGGGCTGGGATCGCGGATGCTGGCGCTGCAGTCGTGGGGAATGGCTGGCTGAATTGGATAGACTGGGTGGTGCTCTGGGCGTGGGCATTGCCATTGTTATGGCCTTGCCCAGCGCCGTTGGGTGCCATCGATTGAATCGTGGTCAAGGTTGTCGTCAAAGATCGCACTGATGGCGCAGGACTTGAAAACGTGCTGTCTCCCCCCCTCCTGGATTCAACCCCTCCGCCAACGGTACGGCTCGTCCCAGCCAAGGAGCTTGCGCCGTGGCTGGGCGCCGTGATGGATCGCGACGCCTCATGGTCCGTCAACACGGTGCCCGCTAAGCTCCTCCTTCCTACCGTTGGCGGAGCCTGATTCTCCGTCGAAACTCGGGACGAGCCGTTTACGCTGGTGTTACTTGTGCCGGTTTGGGTGGTGGTGAAGGTGCAGGCGCTCGTTCCGTCGGGGACGTCATTGCCAACATGGCCAGATTCCGGGTACGGGTTGTTCTTCTTATGAGTGCGCTTCTTGTGCCGCTTGTGGCGCTCGCCGTCGGATGATTTGAAGTTGGTGAGCTTCTTCACCCATGTCGTAAAGGGTCTCCTACGCTGACCTTGACGGTCTGGGGAGGTTAGCTTCAACTTGCTGATGGAACGTCGCCTAGTGGTGACATGGATCAAGGAGATGGGCCGGCGCCCAACGGATTTCTAGCCGAGACACTCACCATGCTCCTGAGATATCGCGTCGGTTGTCGCCATGGAGTTCGAAAAGCGCTTCGGCGAATCCGAAATGTTCAAGTCAAAGGCTGGGCAGCGGTGTTGGGCAGCGGATGGAGGTGGGGAGACAATGACAGTAGAAAAGAGAAGAGAATGTCGAAATGGAAGAGGAAAATGTACTCGTGACACAATCTGTGATGAAGGACGGATGAAAGAGGGGAAAGGACCTAAGAAAGGAGGTTGGTAGAGGATGTTCGTCTAGCAACGCAGGCGCAGTTGGAGCAGCATGGACATGGACGTGGGAGGGACGGCTGGATGCGGCGAAGCATGATGGCGGGATGGAGGGAGGAGAGGTCACGTGATTGAACTGGTGAGGACGGCAAAGGGGGTCACAAGCCACCCTGGGGTCAGTTTTTCTATTTTTGAAGCGTCAACTGAAACAAGCAAATAACGTGGAGATTGCTGCATCAGACCTCTCGTCGTCTCTTTTAGGGGACATCAAACGAACGTCTGGTGGCTTCTCCCCATTAATTGCAAGTGACGGCCTCCTCCAATCCACAGCGCTAAGATACATCGCTCTTGGCGCCACTTTCACCACGTGGGACCCTGAATTTGGGGACGTCACCCACTGTCGGGTGCCTTAATTAGATGGCCCCAAGTCAGGCCAAGACCTGGACCAGGCACCCCAGCTTCAACCTCCAGCATCCATCTCTCGCCCGACGTCATCGTCAACAAACGCGTCCATCATCGAGAGCAGAATGACACTCGGTAGAGTATGACCATCCGACAGCTTCCTCAGGATGTCGTCGACAAGATCAAGTCATCGGTCAACATCACCTCTTTGAATGGGGTCGCCTGTGGTCTCCTCGCCAACTCGCTGGATGCGGGTGCCTTCAAGGTCAACATCTCGATCGACTACGGCAGGGGCAATTGCACTGTTGAAGACGACGGTTCGGGGATTCCTCCTGATGAGTTTAAAGATGCGGGGGGACTAGGGAAGCTCCACCGTGAGTGACACCGTTAATCTACCCAACCAATGCTAATTCATTATAGACACATCCAAGTTCCCTTCTCGGTCTTCTATCCATGGGAAACATGGCGATTTCCTAGCATCATTGGCAACGTTGTCATTGCTGTCCATAACTTCCCACCATCAGAGCCGTATCTCGCACAACTCCATCACCATTCACAACTCCAAGGTCCTGGCCAGGCATCTTCCGTCACCTCCTGAGTTGAGGCTTGTTAGCTTTGACCATGGAACCCGTGTTACAGTCCGAGACCTCTTTGGGTCTATGCCCGTTAGAGTCAAGCAGAGAGCTTCCTTGACTGAAAGACCTGTTCTCGACAAGGAATGGTCAAAGCTTGTTCGAGAAGTCTTGGCCATGTTGCTGGCCTGGCCATCAGGAATCCATGTATCGATCAAAAATACAGCCGCGCAACGTGAACTTCGATTCCGCCCGTCAGACAAGACGGACATCGTATTCAAAACTTCAAGGCTACTCATGCAAGCTTCTCTAGCCGACTCGAGTGATATTGATTGTTGGGTTCCTATCTCAGCATCATGCGGACCAGTCTCGGTCAAGGGCTGCATCTGTACAAATCCTGTTGCGACACGGCGGTCTCAGTTTATCAGTCTGGGCATTCACCCAATCATGAACGAGTTTGGCACGGACGTTCTGTATGAAGAGATTAACAGGGTCTTCAGCAACTCTAGCTTTGGTGTTATTGATGGCGATGAGAACAAGAGACCTGAGGACTCGCCGAAGCTGGTAGGTTTCTCAAGCAAAGAGCTACGAAGTCGCAAGGCCATTGAGCGATGGCCCATGTTCTACTTGAAAATCACGATCCCGGACTTCGATGATCTTGATGGCTCTGATCGGCTCGAGAGTCAAGGCCAGACGTTATCAGCGATTCTGGATCTTTTAAAGGCGACCTGTTATGGCTTCCTAAAAAAGCACCACTTTCGGCCTCGAAAAGTCCGACTCTCCCCTGATGAGTCAGTATTTTCGACATCAAGGACACTCAGTAAATCGAGAAAGTCGTCTAAGAAGCAGTCCGGCTCGTCTTCGAGTAGTTCAAGAGCTGGCTCTGTCACCCCTGTGCCCAGAGATGCCTCTAGGCCGAGAGCAGATAGTCCATTTCATGGATGGCATCGTGTTAAAGCTGGAACGGACACGGCACTCGGTGCAAACTCGAAGACGAACGACGCCCAAACAAAGCCACGAGATCAGACTCCCACCCGTCCACTCATTGGCGAAGGTGGGAAACTGTTGCGCAAACCTTTCGATGAACCCTCGCCCGAGCCGGAAGAGATCCCGACTTCTAAAGCATCAAACACCACTGCCGCAATGTCTGCTCTAGACGGGGATACAACAACGTCAGCTACACAACCCCGAAAACGAAGAAAGTGGTTACAAGAGATTCTTGACTCGTGGGAGAATCCCGTGTTTGAAAACGTCCAGCCCGCAATACCATCAATCGACGACGCAAACCTCCCCCCTGCGCCTGGGCTATCACATAACTGTGGGAGGAGCGGCCATGCGAACATCATATTTGACGCCGGGTCCATGAGTCTCAGCAGCCGAATCTCACGTCAAGCACTTACCGAAGCGACTGTGATCTCGCAGGTCGATCGAAAATTCATCCTCGTCAAACTTCCCCTGAAGGATGCCGCACCTGGCAAGCAGAGCTCTGCTCTTGTCATGCTTGATCAGCACGCTGTTGATGAGCGATGTCGCCTAGAAGACCTCATGACAGACTACTTTGTTCGAGATGAATCGACAAAACAAGTCTTGCCCACTACCGAGCCTCTTGAGCGTCCTCTTGTGTTCGAAATACCCCTCCAGGAGCATTCCCTTTTGGACCAGAATCGAGACCGCTTTGCCGCTTGGGGAATCGTGTACCAAACTCCCGCCCCGAGATCCCCCTCACAGCCAAGAAAAGTTGTCGTCACAGCTCTCCCGCCAAGCATCATGGAGCGCTGTCGCCTCGAGCCCCGTCTCCTGATTGATCTTCTCCGCACCGAGATATGGCGCAGCGTTGATGAAGACGTCCCCCTTTCGCAGCCATCAGGCTCTGACCATGACAAGTCGTGGGTCTCACGGTTCCACGGCTGTCCAAGGGGTATCCTGGAGATGCTGCACTCTAGGGCCTGTAGAAGTAAGCGCATGCATATCCTCCCCTAGGTTTTGCTCGCTGACCTTGTGTTTCTAGGCGCAATCATGTTCAACGACGTCCTCAGCGTCGAGGAATGCGAACAACTCGTATCTCGTCTCTCACGCTGCGTCTTCCCCTTTCAATGCGCTCATGGCCGGCCGAGCATGGCGCCTCTGGTTGACCTTGGAGCTGGAGCCAAGTTTGGCGGGTGGTCGGAGAGGGAGAACCAGGCCGAAGTACAATGGAAGAGCTGGATTGAGGAGTCATGATGGGTTGCTAGAATTATTTACTGATACCCCGAGATCACTATGTATCTTATTCTGCCGAGAGATTCAATGGTGATATTCGTCATTACATCCAAATATTAGACAACTATGGTACATTTATCCGTTGAGTGTACAAAAACATACAGTCTGATATCCATCCATAATATGAAGAATGCCATTGCACCTTTTGATGAGACTATCTTGCAGACTCGGCCAGGATATCCAATAATGCAAATAGCAAAAGGATCCAGAGCCCCAAACGCCAACAGCTTGCCACCGTGGCAAGCGCGATATGATGCTTCATGTCCTCCAACGCCAATCTCCCTACACTAACGCTAAGTATGCAGCAATATAATAGGGTGATCTAAAATCCAAAGGGATGTGAGAAGGGGTGTGGGTTTTGGGAAGGATGACTGCTCAAGAACTGGTTAATCGTTTATGAGGTACCCATGGTATTCAAGAGTGAGAGACAGCTCGGCTGAGAACATCATGTTGCAGCCTGAGTCTCAGCCGCTTCAGCTGCAAGTTCTGCGTTGTGACGCTCAAGAGCTTCGAGCTTCCGCTGCTCGGCCTCTTCGTCGGTCTCCTGAACCCAAACCTTGGTATCATGGTTCCAACGGTGGCTGCAAGAATCAACGTTAGCAAATGCAACATGCATGCAATACGCAAAGACGAAACAAGGTTGCATTGAGGCGTCTTTGGCAATGCATAAAGGGGAGTAACGTACCCTGACCAGTTCTCAGTCACCAAACTCTTGGTGTCGTACTCGTCAATGAGGATCTTGTTAAAGTTGAAAGGCACACGGGCCTTGACACCCTCAAATTCCGAGATTCGCATGGGCCATAGGTCCTGGCTGTTGTAACGATGCTTATTCTTACAACTCCAGACACCCGGGCGCTCAACCTCACGTTCTCGCAGGCCGGTGATGTCGATGAACATGCCGTTCTGCATATCAATCCAGCGGCCGTCAATGATGTTCCTTCCGTCGCCACGGTCAATCTCGACGTGGTGGGGGTTGATGTCGAGCAGGTACTTCTTGGAGATCAGGTTCCCTGTGGCAGTATCTGTGTAATTGTAGACGTGTTCGGTGCGATTGAGTGTATCACCTATCCACTGCAAAGTGTGGTTTGCAACCTGAACGTCGAGGTCATAATCCCAAGGCATGATCTGGCCGTTCCACCACCAGCCCAGGAGAGTACCATGGGCAATCCAAGTCTCGGCGCCGTAGCTATCCATTGTGGAGAGGTAGCTTCGAATAAGGTCGCGAAGGACGAAGCGATGCTCTTCGTAGGGGACTTTGTCTTGGAAATAGCGACGGTCGTAATGGCCAAGCTCGAGATTTCCACCGGCTTCCCTGAAGTACTTTGGTGTCTTTTCTTGTTCGCGCGAGACTAGACCTGAGTCCTCTTTCTTGGGGAGCGCGAGGGCGGCGGGTGTAGAGATCGAGGCGAGGCCCCAGAGGAGTAATGATCTGACGGAGCGCATGTCTGCTGTTGCGCGACAGAGTCGCGAGGGCGGAGGAGTGTTTGGAGGGCGATATTCGAGGTGGATTGAGGTAGATCGAGGGAGCGGATATGCTGTAGATAAGGAGGGGACGAGGTTCAAGGTCGAGGTGGGTGATTCAACGTTGCTGCGTCGCAACTCGCAGTGAAGAGGAAACGGGTATAACAATGCTTAGATAGAAGAGTAGAAGGCAAAGGCGCCGTGAGTCCCACGGACTCTTTGTATGAGAGGATCGCCTGTTGATTAAAATGCGGAGGAGATGTAGGAAGAAGAGAAGCGGGCGTCACCCAACGTCAAGATGAATGACGGAAGCAGTGGACTTGACAGGGGAAAAAGGGTTCGGGAGGTGGGCGGGCGCCGGGCGATGGCAGGCAGGGGTCAAAAGGGCACGCGCCTCCTTGCCTAGCATGGACGACTTTTTTGCGAGACGGTATCGAGTACAAGTGCAACACGGGAGGCATTGGTGTCAGACATTGTACAGTCAATCAATCCCCAAAAGGAGTTCTCTATTAACAAACTCGACAATAGATTGTTCCCTTGTAAGACGCCAAAAAACGCCATATGTTCCCCTTTCCGGCGCCTGAGTCTTGATCTAGAGCATCTCGCCTGTCAGCACTCAAATGTCCTCCCTACGCGTCAGCTCCCTCCCTCCCACGGCAATCAGCATCCGTGCCCCCGACTTTTCTAGTGGTACGTGGACATTCCCAGCGACGAGGCTTTGGCGCCCTTCATCTTTTTTTCGTCTTGGCCGTTTCATTATGTGCAGCGCCAATGCTTACCGCAGAGCAGACGCGGCGACTAGGGAGACGTAGTCCCCGGCCATGCCAAGCATCAGACCCCTCCAGCAGTGGCGCAGTCCCGTCGACGCTAGGCTCTTCACAGGAAGCAGTCGTGTGCTAAATGGCCTCTGTTGACAGTTGATCGTCATCACTGTGGAACTACCCCAGCGCCATTGAAATGAGGCCAAGTCTTTGTCTTTTGTTCCAAGACATCTCGAGGTTGGTAGAGGTACGAAGATGAGATCACAATCCTGCAGGATTACGGTTGTCCCGATGCATAACAACAGAGTTCAGCATGGCACTTGAGAGTTTAACCAACCGGTTCACGGCATGCCATGGCTGACATACGGCAAAACGGCATCCTCCATCGGTAGCCCCATCGAGCCTGGACATGGCCAACAAAAAGAGCGTCGTCATCACCCTCCGGTTTAGGATTTTTGACTGGCGAAAAGATCCGAGTTGCCGGTAACTATGCGCCCACCGCGAGACGATAAGCTAGGATTCGGCGCAACCCCGTCACTGGCGCCACAACACAACATCACCACAACAAGGTCAACAACACCAAAAAGATGATTCACGAGCTGTTGCTCATGTGGCGTCTCTCCCGCCGGGAATTGAACCCGGGTCTCAAGCGTGACAAGCTTGCATACTGACCACTATACTACGGAAGATGATGGTTGTTGAGCAACCATTGTAGCGGATTCGATGCCTGCCGATTTGCCAGAGTCCCTTATACGCCGGCATTGGTTCGTCTCGGATGGATTGGCGTAGGGCTGATGAAGGAATCTCACGCATCAGAGTCGTGGAGTTGATCAAGAGGCTCTGGTGTTGTGGGGAGTTTGGGTTAGCCGAGCGGATTGAGATCCTGGAGCGCAACCGAAAGTCAATCAGTCAGCATTATCCTGAGGAGGTAGGGGTGAGGGTCAAGGAAAGAACGAAGGAACCACTGCGAAAACAGTAGCCAAGTCTCCTCTAAGGAGAGGTAAGAAAGCACAACAAGAGAAACAAAATAATCAACAAGAGGGACGCAAAACATGTCCTTTTATTAGGATACTCCTCTGACTATTTGAGGGCTCTGCCTCAGTAATGACTTGAGCCTGCTCTGGCTGGGAAAGTCAATATCCATGGATGTGATGTCTTGGTAGTGGATGTCTACACAATAGATTCCCTGCACATGCCGTTTATTCCTAGGACCGGGTTGTTCTGATCTCGTGTTACGACATCGAGGATCCTCTTCATCGCATGTCCGTAGTCGCTTGTATGAACATGCTTGCCTCATCTGTTGACTGTCGTGCTTTCCATGACTTGATGCCTCTGTATCAGTACCAGTCCTCAATCCATGCATCGCTTCACGACAACCGCTCACTTTGCTCCCCTTAATTACCTCCCCAACTCTCACAAGGATAAAGTTCACATCGGCTACACTCCCAAATCCCTACAGCACCGTTGAAAGCACGTTTTATGCATGTTTCACGGCCGTTGCCGAACCATACCTAACCCCTGCATAAGGCCCTTCATCAAATCGTCAACACCACAACCTACCTACCCACTCAGCTAAGTCTCTTGAGGCGAGTTTTCGAACCCTCAGCCAACCAGCCCCCTCACTACAACAGGCGCTCAACGCCTGCCATCTTCCGTAGTATAGTGGTCAGTATGCAAGCTTGTCACGCTTGAGACCCGGGTTCAATTCCCGGCGGGAGAGTTATCCAGCCACCTGCGATACGCAGGATATCTTTTTTTGCATCTCACGAATGCTGTCTTTTTGCTTCGAAAGCCATAAACAAAGTTGCAGTTATGCAAATTCGCCAGTGTCCAAAATGCTACTAGAGTACAAAACCCATCCATCATCCATCATCAAGTCCCAACCCCAACCCAACACGAGACAGACATAACCACAACGTGCCGGGTATCGACGAGTAGTATAAAATAAGAATCTCCCTCAGAAAACAAAGGCACACACAAATACTATAACACAGGTTTGTCGTTGCTGAGCCCAGCTTCATCCAACTACTACAACACGTTATATGCCCGCCCCAGCAACAATGCACCCTCCAGCCCGCCATAAGTAAGAAAATCCCTTTCCCTCCTCTAACATAAACAAATGCTGCCCGCTACCGCGCGAATACCTTGACAACACCGTCACCGCCCGCGCTTACCACCCACTTCCCGTCTTGGCTCCACACGCACGAGCAGATGCCCTCGCCGCGCATCACTCTGTGACTCGTCACCTCCTGTGTGCACGTCCTCTTTTCGAGGCTCCAGAATCGGAGAGAGGCGTCGTGGCCAGCGCTGACAAGTTCGCGTCCGTCGGGGCTAAGCGAGAGGCTCGAGATGGCATCTGGGTGCGCAATCATGTTATATGTACATTGGCCTGGTTGCGAGTTAGTCTTAGGCTCCTAAACGTGTTGAGCAAGTAACGTACCACTGTTGGCGTCAAAGAACCGAATAAAGCGGTCTTCGTGACCCGAAATAATGGTTCCCTCCACTCCTGAGCCTGCGTTTGATCGGCCGCCACCAGTGGCTCCGGCAGTGGCATCTTCCTCGCCCATGTTGCCGGTGTGGTGCTGACTGGCCTGGTCCAGTCCCATTGTCGTTGCGACAACCGCGTTGACGCTGGTCTTGTTCGTCTGGTCGTATGTCTCCAAGCTGTCCATATGGCCGATCTGTTCACCAGTTCTAGTGTCGTAGACAAGAATAGCGGCATCCGAGTATGCAACAACGAAAGATTCGCCGGAGCTGCCCAGAGGTGTAATACATGTCGGGCTGGCTGTGGAGCCGTCCGATCTAGCGATGTTATGTACAAGGGTATGGTTGAAGGGCGAGTTTGAAGCTATCGTGGGTTGGGGGGAGTTGGAGAAGCCGCTGCCAGAGCTCATCGAGTTGCCACGGACTCGGCCTCCCCGGCCTGTCATGGCTCGGTTCGTTCCCGGCTGTGGCGAGCTTAACTGCGGCGGCGCACTTACAGACCACAGGCGGACACTGCCATCTGCCGCACCTGATACGACTAGGATTCTATCGGTGCTGCCGTAGGGACTCGAGTTTCCAAAGACTGAGCCGAGGGTTGTAGGAAGAACACACAAAGCCCAGACGGCATCTGTGTGTCCCTCGAGAGTCGCCTTGGGGTCAACCCTTCCACGCTCCCAAACTCGGATAGTCGCATCCTGGCCACCGGAGAATATCCAGCCGTCACCTTGTGCACGACCACCAGTCGAGAAGTTTGGTGAAGGGGACCACGATGTCAGACAGAGAACTGCTCCAGAGTGACCCCGGTGTGTAAAGTTGGCCGTAACATCAAGGTCTGATGCTGTATGCGGACCATCTAGCCTGGGGATATGGAAGCGCTTGATCATGCCGTCATCTCCGCCGGTACAGATCTCAGGCTCTCCTGGGCTACCGCCTCCGGAGAAGATGACTGTTCGGACAGTATCGAGATGACCCCGGAGCCCGAATCTTAGCTTGAAGTTGCCGCTTTCAGCCTTCTGAGCTGCTAGGGCTAATTCGTGGTCTGCGCTCCGTCTTCTGGACATGGATCCCTTCCTTCGGTGAGAGCTGTCCCGTCGACCCGGGGATTTAGGGAGATTCTCTGCAGTAGGAAAGGCATCGGTATCTGGGCGGTTCGGTAGAGACTGGTTCGGTTGAGAGTTTCCGGGTTCAGGGAATGTGCCCTCAGGGAACTCCCATCCATCAGACTCGGGTGGAACTGAGTGCTTCTCTCTGAGCTCTTGAGGGTCTTCCATTCCACCCAGAACTTCTGCGGCGTGGTTTGCTTGGGGTACGTGTTCTTCAATAGGTCTGGAACTGACAGACACGGGTGTCGGCCAGTCGTTAGAGTTCTGATATCTGCCGGATTGATGTTCTGCAGGCGTCTGCATCATGGGCTGTGGCGGCATCTCTTGCTTTTGAGAAAAGTGTGACTGCGGTGGCTGCATAGGGGGCGCATGGTTCTGCTGAGGTATTCTCGAGTTCATCTCTTGGACATGGTTCTGAGCAGCTCTCGTCGGCAACTGAAACTGTCGCTCCATGGGTTGAGGAGCTGGCATTCCGTATGCCTCGACTTCTCTCAGATCCTCCATAATAGGTAGCGGGGGAGACTCTCGTGGCGGTTGCGGGTTCGCAGGAGTAATCATCAGATACATAAATTCGGACTGGCACTGATCGAGGAAGGACTTGAGATCCTGTCGCTGAGCGTCCTCATCACTTCGGTCGATCTTTTCGTAGTCGACGCCGTCCACACCAGGGACGGGCATACTCTCGAGGGAAGCTATATCGGTATCTGGTCAGCACGTGGCAGCTGGCATCAACATGGGACTAGTCTCACATCTGAGCTTCTCCTGTATCTTGGCGGCGCGATCATTCTTTGCGGCGGTGGCAGCGTCAACAGCAGATTGCCCCTTGATCTGGGCGGCCTGCTCCTTGACCTTGCGCTCCAGCATGGTGACGTACTTCCTAAGGACACGCTGGGTGGCATCGGCCCTCCGCGCCTGTCCCTCCAGATTGGCGATGCGGCCCTTCATCTCTTGCTTCTCAATCTCCCACGAGTTCCTGTCGCGCTCGTGTCGATGCCACTCGGTCTGCAGGAAGCGCATGACGCCCTGCAGGGTGTACTCGGTGGCCTGGGGGATGTTGGAGCCGTTGCCCTGCATCATGGGCCCCATCTCCAGGCCTCCTCCCACGCCGTTGCCAGCATTCGGGCCCATCGCGGCGCGCCTCTGTCAATTGGGCGGGTGCATGGAGATCGAGGAGGAAAGGCGAAAAAGAGCGACGGCGGCGAGCGAGTGCCGTTGAAGACGTCGGACAAGCTCGGTGCGATGAGGATGGGGGGAGAGAGGATTGGATGGCGGACAGCTGCGCGACGAGTTGGGCACGTGTTGTCTTGTCGGTCGCGACGAGGATTCTGACAATGTCGACGTATATCTCGGTATCTGTCTGCGGCTGTTGGACGTCGATAACCTGGGAGGCGTGTGCTGCGTGGGAAAAACCTAAGCTTCCAGTCCAGCCCAGGTGTTTGGTTTGGAGGTGCAGTCTGCTCTGCTGTGCTGTGCTGTGCTGTGCTGTCCGTCCCGTGTGCTGCCCTGTACTTCCCTGCCGCTGCCGCCAGTTGGTGCCGCGCCTTCTCTGGCTTGACACTTTGCTGCTGAAATTTCGACCAATCACGGTTGGTTGCGCTGCCCGTGAGGCTGTCAGGCATCAACTTTTTGGGAGGACCCCTGGAAGAGGAGATGTGATTGAGACTAGAAACGCCAACCAACATGATTCCAAGGGGAAGTGACAAATCAAACAGCCAATCTATTTGTGATAAGAAGCGGAGAATGTAGAATATGGTGACGTTTTGTGAGCTGACAAAGTATTGTTTAGCCTTACAGTCGAGTTCACAGCTGTATTGACAACCACAATGATCTACCATCTGCTAGCTCAGACAACGACCAACACTCAGACAATATGATCTGAGCCATCGCTAATCTCAAATCGAAAGATCAAATCGAAACGCCCAAACTCCTGGAGCTAACATGTCCAGCAAATATGACCCTGACCCCCCATCTGCCAAAACCTCTCTTCAACGCCAACCCAAACCAACTCGAAGCACTAAAACTCCAGCTCTTCCACCTCCATTCCACATTCAACACACGTCTTGACTGTCATCCCATCCTCATTCTCCACCGTTCTCCCCCACTCGTGAACATGCTTGCCACCCCCTATCGCATCTCCAAACTTGCTCGCTCCTGACTTGCTCAATGTGCCAGCCTGTCTGCGGAACGCATCTGTTCGCGTCTTGCGCTTGAGGTCCATCAGCTTCTCCTTGAACTTGGCCTCCTTCCGGGCCTTCTTTTGTGTCTCACGCCGTTCATACTCGGCGTCCAAAGCCTCTGCCGAACCCCACTTTGTCTTGATGGCGTATTCTTCTACTTGACACCGGAGGAAGAGCATCATGTCGTGCCAATGTGACTTGTGAGGGTTTGGTTTAGAAAGATGAGGTAACAATTCGGGATCTCGTAGCTCGGCTGTACTGCATTAGTGATGCGCAATCCATAATGCTTCCCAGATGAGACTCACGATCTGTAAGAAGATAGTCCTCCTTGCACTCCGTCTTTGTCAACAACGAGTACTTTTCTGGATACTTTCCCTTGCACTTGTTGCAGACGCAGATGTGAAACACCTCTTCCCATACAAAGTCAATCTCCAAGCTCTTGCAATCCTGGCACCTCTTTCGTTTCTCCTCATCATCGAGAACGCTAATTCCGGGTTCAAAGGGTCCTGCCTTGAGCCTCTTTAGGTTGCGAATCACCTGTAATCTCTCCCATTCTTGAATGCTCATGTGCTTCGGCCGCTGCTCGTCATCTGCCTGCCCTGGCTTCTTGCCACCAAGGGCGTAATTGTGAGGGTCGTCTTCGGTCGTCAAGAAACCACCTTTCGTGTCCGTCATGGCGCTCATGTTGTAGTCGACAAATTTGGTGAACTTGGGTGCCGGCCGTAGCGCCTCTTCATCGCCCTTGTTGCGTCCATCACGATTCGTTCCCTTGGAAGACTCGCCCGTCGAGATGGAGCTGTATGGCCGTTTCCCGTTGGCAGTTTTCGAAATGTGGACATCTTCTGTTGGAACGAAGCCACCTGAACTCTTTGGTATTTCGGGCGCATTGCCAGATGCTCGCAGTTCCGCTTCTCGTTGGTCTCGAATCGCCTTTGCGCGGAGCCGGTTTTCTTCCTAAGTACGATGGTCAGAGAGCCGAGCGCAATGAGCCGAACATCCTGGGTATATCTTACTATTCGCTTTGTGACTTCAGGCGTAGGCGGCGAGACGGCCGGCGCAGGCTTTGTCGATCGGGGTGGAGTGGATGGACGCCCCATGACGACTGTGAATATCGACAAGGAGTTGGAGTCGGAGCCGAAGTCGGAATCGGAAGGAAATCGCACAATTACCGCAGGGTTTGGCTTGATCAAAACGTGGAATCGAAAGGGAAGAATCAAGAGAACGGGTATCAACTATGTCTATGACAAATGTGAAAGTGTCAGTGGCGGAGGGGCACCATCGCGATCTAGATACCCCGGTTATGTCACCAATTAACGCGAGAAAACGTGACCGAGGGGTGAACTTGATGCCTTCAGCGCAAGGCAAATTTCCTATGCTTGCGCTGATAACTGGCACTGGAAGATGGAGATATCGCAATAGATGCATGTTCCTATACACGGTTTTTGATCCCAGAATCTATCTCCAAGAAATCCATGTACACCCTTACCCTTGCCAGGGCTATTTGACCAAAATCGCCAGTTCACCTCAACAGATTACCCTTGCGCACTAATCGTGACAACCATGTTGCTCATATTATTTAGTGATACAACCAAGGTCTACAAAAAACCCGGATACAAGAGCCTTGGTATACAAAGACCACAGAGGCTTCTATGCCCAAGCAATCCTTCCAAAGGCTGTCTACTTTACTCCTCCTTGGCACCACCACGGCCAGCACGCTCAGCGGCCTCGACAGCCTTCTTGTCGCTCTGGACAGGGCCGCCCTGCATGGCGCTCATGAAGCCCTGGGGCTGCTTGAAGGGGCGCTTGAGGTCGCCGGCAGCGGGCTGGCCAAAGATGTGGATCTTGACAATGTTGCTCTCGAGGGCGCTCTTGACAGGGATGATGCTCTGAATGAGCAGGGGGTTGGTGTACTTGAGGTACACGTGCATGAAAGCCATCATGGCGATACCCATGGCCTGGCCGCGGAAGGCGGTGCGGATCTGCTGGTTGTCGTAGGCGTGGATGGTGGTGGTGACGAGCTTGCCCTCCTCGGAGGAGCCCATGGGGGCGGGCTCAACATACTTGAGGGTCGTCAGGTCTGGAGAAGTTTATGTTAGTATTGAATCGGTTTGAATGGCCTCGTGTGGCAGTTGAGGGGTCGTACCCTTCTTCTTGTTGATCTTGAGCTGGGTGAAGAAGTAGAGACCGGCAATGAGAACGTTGCTGGCAAGGTAGATGGCGCGGACAACGTTGAGCACGAAAGGATCATCGAAGGGGACGCGCTTCGAGACCTGCATCATACCCAGGATGATGATCAGGTTGGTGCTATCGCGAAAAAGTTAGCATTGGCGGTTCCCCCTCGGCTCAAGTTGCGCCACCAAGACATTTGCGCGACGAGCTGTCGCGTGAAGGTGACTTACATCTGAGGAGAGAGAGCCATTTTGCCGGTTGTCAAAGAAGTAATGAAGGGGAAATAGAAGAAGAAAACCCAACGCGTGGTGTGAAGAGGAAAGGATGGAAAGTTTGCGGGATGGACGGGGAGGAGGAAGACGAGTTGGGGAATCCAATGGAGATGTCTTTGCTGGCCTTTTGGAACTTTGCCCCGAGTCTGGTGGCTTCTCCCGCTCGCCGCACCCTAGCCCCTTTAGCCCAATGCCCACCTGCTGTGGGGAAAATCTCCTTCCTTCTTCAGGTGCTTTGCGCCGGCAGGATTGGTTATTCCGGGGATGAACCCGCTGTTGGTCTCGCTCTGAGCCACTGGAAACCCCACTGAAGCTCTCGGGGCGTTGATGAACCCCCGATAGCGATGGAACCTTGACCCCAAACTACGCGTCTTGGCTCGAGTTATGGCGCCATTCTTTCTTTCATCTTCCTACTGTTTCCATCGTGAGATTGATTCATGTCGACCTGCCATTTGGGGTATTCTCAGTCCCATTTCTTTGATTGAAAGCTCGGCTACCAAGTTGATAGATGGATAATGGCAGAATTGCAAAACCCTGCTCGTCTTTGTTTTTACTCTCAACGTGAGAGGCCAACAAGCGTTGGACAAAGAATTGGCTCTCTTTGAAGCATCAACTCGCTGAATGCTGTGGCACCATCGCACTAAGGAAGATGACTTTCTCCTTTATAATGCCGCTGAACACTATTGTATGCTCTTTCACAGTCCTGCTGAACATACAATGATGTTCATTGTCGCAGGCGTCGTCTCTGAGCTCCTACCAAGTCCAAATGCAGGTACAGGTAGGCTGAGTTGGATATGGCTCAACCTCTGGTCCCGGAGCTCACTGGGCTTCGAATCCCTTTGAAGCGCCTGCAGCGTCTTTGAGTCTCATCCCTGGGTCTGACCAACACAAGGAGGTCGATATAGAGCCCCCAGATCATATATCTCGAGAGGTCTTCTTGGTGACCTGAACATGAACACCAAGTCAATCAACAGCCCAAGACTCACTCAGTTATTCTACCAAGCCACAAACACAAGACAGAGCGGGTTAGTATAGACCGAAACTGATTTGAAAATGCCCTACTCTCGTTCCACCTACAACTCCCAACCCCAGTCACCGGGGAGCTATTCGGGCAGCAACTCAGGCTCAAGGAGTCATCGTCACCAGCGCGGCGCCCGATCTCATGACGGCCGTTCCTCCTTCCGGCAGCCAAGCCCCTTCCCGGAGTCGAGAAGATCCGAAGGGAACAGGGTTCCCCACGGCCGTGAGGCGCAACGGACTCCGCGCTCAACATACGGCACTTACATCTTGCCCCTGGAGGCGCAAGGTCAGTACCGGACCATGGACCCGACAAAGTGTGGGTGCAACTGTTGCCCGCATCCTACGAGCGTATCGGGAGGTCATGAGCATCGGCACCGGGAGGCAGCCAACTCGCGGTCTTCGGCACGGGCTTCGTCTAACGGGCACCAGCGATCAAGCTCATCCCGTTATCGTAGCAGTGACAACTATAGAAACGACAACCACAACGACGACCACGACTACGATGACAATCACAGCAGAACCAGCACCAACAGCTTGCCCAACTTCTCACGCAAGCGTCGAAACTCACAGGGCAGGTACCTCGTCGACGTCGTGGACAAGTCAACCGGCTCGCTGAACCGGGAGTACGGCCGCTTCTACCCCATCTCCCTCAACCAGCACTCGACCAGTTCAAGTGTCGAAGCCTTCTTGGTGCCCGACGGGCGCCGCGCCAAGGTTATCGTCCACTGGGGCAACGGGCAGACGGAGCGGCTCGGGAGCGGGATCCCGATGCAGGAGCTGCTGCGGCACGCAGACTACCTTGAAGTCAAGGACAAGAAGCAGGTGCACTGGGAATAGGATAGGCGTGTGAGTCTTTGCCCGTGGGAAGAGTTGAGGCCCCCCGCCGGCGGGTGAGGCTTGTATCGAGTGATACCCAAGGCGGAGGGAAGTGACAGGAGGGAAAGGGTGACCCTGTATGAAGTTCTGTTGGTTGATAGAGAAACCATCCTAGATCCATATACGAGATGCTTGCTTTGACGTTACCTCCGTGTATATCTTGTGATGCCGAATCGAAGCATCGTAGACTTCATAGCCTCCACCATCTGCCTAAATGCACACCACCACCGTTTGGGGTCCCACCATTGGGAATACGTGCCGCACGAGGCTGAATATAGTCGGGCGTCAATGAAGCGTTGAAGAGACAAGACAAGAGACTCTGCCACCCCCATCGACTCACCGGAGACAACCCTTGACAACCTGTTCACGTGCCCCTCCCTGCCTGTTCCGATATGCAACCACTTAAACAGAGTTCCACCGTCAAGGACACCCAACCGCTGAGACCAGGAATAAAAATACCTTAGTTTCATATTAAAAAGTCCCTCGATCCGAGTGAGTCAGCTTTTTTTTCTCGCTCGGTTGAGAATGACATGATAGATAGGGTTATGACGTCCCCAGGGATCGGTAGCCGGCAAAGGAGTGGATGCTTTTGCCTAAAATTCTGGCCTCTCCGACCAACAGTCTCCTCGCTGTGTGTAATTACCGTGGTAATCCCTACCGGCGCTCACACACACACATACACCTCCAACATCATGGTGCCGTAGATCTTGCTTGCGGGAAGGAGGAATGCAAGGCACGTCCAGAGGGTTGGGAGATGTTACTATGCTGCAGATGATTGACTATAAATTGGATGAATTAGGTGGATGAATAGGTACCAAGCCCTGCTGCTGACTGTTATAACCCTGGCAAGGCACTATAACCTCTCACTTACACCACCCCCTCGCCCAATGCACATCTCGACGATTTTCATTACACAGCCCCGGGCAAAAGAGAAGTCTCGAATAGTTAGTTCCATATGTTGGTTACTCTCTTGATGGTGTATATCCCAGCCTCCTCCAGGCAAAGGTGGAGTTGGACCACTCATGTCACCGGGGTGCTCCCGAACTCCCCCACGGCACGGACCCCTTCATGATGGGAACTCGAATAGATGCTCTACTACTCTGCATGTCCTGAAGGAACTTGACTTCATCTATCAACAGGCAGCCTCGTGAGGGGGTGTCTAAAAAGGGAAAAGCAACAAGCTGTGCTTGCTGGGCCGGAGAACCATGGCCCGGGGGGATGTGGAGAGTCAGGGACCCCATAGATCGGAAGTGATGACAGGGGTCCCGGGTCCATGATGGACACCATCCATGGGCGGGAGCCTGGGCAGTGCGGCTCGGCGCGTAGATGGGGTCTTGAAGTCTCGCCGAGGGTCCTCTCAACATCGTTGGATGCCCGTTGTTGCCTACATGACAGTCATGGGGACGAGGCCAGATGAATCTACTTTAAAAACGCCACGGGGAAGCTTGCTTTTCAGGCAGAAAACAACCAAAGTCCCAACAAGCAAGAGAACTATACAGTTTTCCCCGGTTTACACTATCCACATTTTGAACACTAGTTGTGTTGATACCTATCATCCTTACTCTTTTTGCTTTCAAGGGTCATATACCAAGACTCATACACCGAAACTTCTCAAACGCAGTCAGCAATGTTTGGAACTTGGAAGTACGATCCTGAGACCGACGAGGTCCAGAGCGTCCGGAACGGCTTTGACCCCGTCACGGCCCGCTCCAGTTCCCACCAGGCCTGCGATAGATGTCATGAGAAAAAGGTACGCCTGCGGAGACCAGGTCTGACTAGTGGAGCGCCTCTATGCGCCAGGCCACGAACACCAGGCCGCAGATGTGGTCGACCTATCCAACTGCAAGCAAAGCATGCTAACATGTCCAACACAGCTCCGTTGCAGTGGAGACAAGAACGGCTGTGAAAGATGCCGGAACAACAACCTTCGCTGCGAATATACTCGCACCGGCTCCAAGTCATCACGCCGGGGGAAGAGCAGCCGCAAGTCTGCAGAGGGTGACAGTCCTTCAAGCTCAAGCTCCAAGCGAGGAGGCAGCTCATCAAAGCGGTCAGGGAAGCACCACAGCGGTTCTTCCCGAGCTGCAGCTTCAGCCGAGGAGGGTGACGGAGTGCTGGGACAGTTTGACTTCTCCACGCTCGGCCCCGAGGACGGCTTCGATCTGAGCATGCTGTCATCCGCCGGGGCCGACCACGGAGCGGGCTACGCCACGGCTGGACCCTCGGCGGGTCAGTATGCACAGAACTTTGACGGGAGCTACCAACAGTGGGATCCGGCAGCCTATGCCGCAGCGTACGGGCAGCAGCAGGGCTACTCGGGCGAGGACTGGGGTCAGTACGACCAGGGCGACTATGCCCAAGACCCCCGGTACTACCAAGGGCACTAGACGACTTGCAGTGGCAGTGCTAAGTGTTTCGTTATGAGATCATGATATGAGAAGTTGGAGGTGGACAGAGGTGTACGACTATTCCCTCTTCGCAACATTATACCCCTTAATCCTGTTTTTTACCCTGTTAGATTTTCTCTTGGTTTTTCCTATTTCAACATCATCTTGACTTACATAGAGGTCTGGACCGACCATCGTCTTTTTTGATGGCAAGGCGCATTCATTAGTCGACAATTATCGAATGTTTTCCCTCTCTTGATGCTGCCCGTCACTGCATGACCTTGCCCTTTTCGATTATGATTGTGGCGGAGCTATAGCCAAGGCCCTTCATCCCTCCCAGCTGAAACCCATGTTAATACAATTTGAAGTAGTAGCAGTTTTTGGGCGTCTGCAACGTCGCAGAGGATCAGATATACGAGAAAAAAAACAGAATGAAGTTTCTCCGTGGGGAAATTTTGACGCGGCGTTTGAATCCTTCTTGACGGTAGGCTGACGAGGTCATAGTTGAAGTCGTTGACTTGTTGTAAGTCGATAGGTGGAACGGGCCAGGCAGGTGACTCAGCCCTGGAAGGCACCAGCTTAGTCATCAGACCGACGACGTCACACTACGACAGGGGTAGCTGGGTCATCGGGCGGCTGTATCCGACAAATCTTTTGAGAGCAAGCATCACGACCTTTGAAGACGAATTTGATTGATTGCAATTGCGACGGCCACGTTCCACTCAAGAGACTGAAATCATGGCTAGTGAAGAGTCTGGAAAGTCCAAGTCCGTGCTGGACTATCTTAACGACTGGGGATGTAAGTAATCCCTCGATATACGTGCCCTTTTATCTCGTCACTCTCACTGCATGGCTCACTTGATCTCACTGTCATGTGGTTTCTACTCAATCACACACATGTATATCTTCAAAGAAAGAGGATACTAACACAATTACAGCCAACTCACTGCCCCCTTCTCTCCTCGCAACTCTAGTCACCGCCCTCCACGCCCGTCCCCCATCCCTCCCCCTCTTCATCTTCACCCCTCCCCTCCTCTTCTCCTCCTACCTCAACCTCTCCGGCTACCCGACTGGAAGTGCTGGACTCACTGCTGCCTGGTCGGGCCTCTACGCGCTTCTGGCGCTGCGTCGTCGTCAGCCCTTTCGCGGACGTTTCTCGATCCGCGGCATAGTGCGCGGCACAGCCGTTGGTCTTGGCACCGCGAACTGCATCGCCGGGGGGTGGGTGTACTTTAATGGCGACTTTGAGAAGGATGCCGAGGAGAGGGTAAACCGGAACCGTTGGGGGAACAAGGATTAGCGGCTCTTGGTATGATGTGTATGATATGGATGCTGTATGATAGCGGGCATGAGGAATGGGCATTTGGAGTCAAGGATAAAAGACCAGGGCGAAGTCAAAGACAGGCAGGTATGGGTTGGGAGGATATTTTCAACCAAATACAGATGACTGGTTCCCGTCCAATAGCTGACCTGAATTAAGAGAGAGTAATCTATGCTCGAGGCCAACCCGGCGGGTTTCTCGAAGTGAGAGAGAGATGTCTGTCAAGTAACAGTCTTGACCTGTAACACACAAGTCTACTCCTACCTTCGTGGCAAGGTAAATAAATTGCCCAAAATTTCTGAACTATGAAGGTCCGGTGACTTCGAGGGGTTGTCCTGCTGAGGTGTCAGTTAATAGAGTATACTCTGCATTACATGTATCACAACGGAGACAGATGGGCTGGCTAAGAAGATTTATGCATATTCAATCTAATTAGTAATCTCATATTCCACTATGTATTTGACGCTCAGTGATCTTCACTCCTTTCTGTATAAGTTAGCAACTCTAGCTCCCATCAGCCCAGGCTACGTGGTTAGGCATTTGCTTGCTTGCGCGGGGACTACCAGAGCGTACTCATCCCCACCATTAAAGCTTTATCTAAGACTCTATCAAAACAATATAAGAGCAGGTTAATCTCTTATTTTAGTTTCAGTAAGTATAGGAAGGGACTCACCATAATTGGCATAGATCCCCCCCTTAGTACCTAATAGTAGTCCCCGCGTAAGCAAGGAGATCATGATCATCATGGGAACGTCAAAGAGGACATAAAAATGCATCTACGGCGGAACTAACTTTACACAAGTGTCTCTATGGCAAGGTACAGAAACCCGTCACAGACGTTGAACCTCAAAGACTGGGTAGTTTCAAGGCAGTGTCCTACCCAACGTCTTAGCTCCCTAGAAGATGCTCCATACCACAGTTCGTCGCAATAGGAACAAATAAGCTAGCAAAGTAACTTCACTTTCAATTACCCAGGCCCGATTATCGTCGTTTCTTGAGTGTTTGCGGTTCATTATTCACTGCCGCGAATTTAAGACAACAACTCTACCTCACATCATATCAACCTAAGTGTATGTCAAGAGACAGCTAATGAATCATAAGCAGATCTTTACAGTGAGACTAACTGCATGTAACAACGTGTCTGGCATCGTATTAGGTTAGACGATACCGTGTGGGTTGTGCTTATTTCTGTGCCCCCTCACTGCGCAGGATCCTGCTACTCTAGGTAAGTAGACTACGACACTCGCAAGAGGTCGAGATAGTACCATAAACCCTAACTGAATAAGTACCGAAAACTTTATATAAGTACGATTGCCGTCTAACCCAATGCCAAGTCCCACGAGCATCACGATACCTGCTTCTATGTCTATCCCCCAACATCGACGACACATACATATGACAGATGGCAGTCCCACTACTCGTAAGCCTCGATATATGTCCCTAATGCAAGCGCCAAGAGGAACCCCAACTAAGCTGCAGATGCTAGGGAAAATGCCTCAGTTGAACCAACCTGCATTTACGGTTACGTCGGCACGGGACGAGCCAGGACGTTTCATTACAAGGCGAACGATGGACGACCTATCGTTTCCCCCACGTATTAAGTCATCTTCAAACGTCACGTTGCGGTCAGTAACTAGTGCGGTTGGGAGTCGTTCATTTGCTTGCATCGAGACTGATCGTCATCCATGTGACACTTTTTGCGGGCTCTGTTGACGAATACTCGAGATGAAAGGAGTATAGAGGCAGCGAGAAGTCTATCAACCATCTTCACAAGGATGTATATCCTCAGACTTGATTGATCAGATGGATAGCTAAAGTAAAAGAGTGTCAATCCGTAAACGGCCCTCTTCCGCCTCAACAAGGTTCAGGGCCACTGTCTGATCCAACATCCTCCCGCGATAGCCGCCGTTCCCGACTGACGCCGTCCATCACTTCGCAGCGCGCTAGGAATGATAGTGCAGTCAAACTCGGGTAACTTCCCGAAGTCAAGCAGCCTCAAGTAGGCCTCATCCTGGTCAGTCGTGATTGGCTCCATACGTACTGCACACCGTTGAAGATCTACACTCACGCCAAGTGAAACAGACCGCACATATTGAAACATGGTGTTGCTTGATACAAGTTGTTGTTATACACGTGTCTAACTTAGTTCACAGCCCCCTTTTTTTGTTTTCGTAATCGCTGCCAGCTTCACCAAACGCCTTGTTTTCCAGGTATCAAGATTGGCTCTAATGCTACAGTTTCAATGCTGTATTCCAATGGCCCCTTTCTCCTTGAACACCTCACTATACACTAACAAAAAGAACAAAATCAAGAAAAGAAGCGGCTGGTTTCCTCAAACGGGCATCCCTGTGCCCCGTCACCTCTTTGAAAATAAAACGCCAATCCGGGAGACGGTCTCAGCCCTTGATGCGTCTCCAAAAATTCTTACGGCCGTCCCGTAAAAAGTGCATGTTGCGAGTCGTCAAAATGCGAATCCTCAAGCCAGTGAGGACTTGATCATCTCAGTGTCAAACTTTTGGGTTGTTGAAAGCTTGAGCGTGCTGTTGTTGCAGGTACTCGACATCTCGTGCGTCGTGTCCTTGGGGAATCGAGGGGTCGTAAGTTGTGCAAGGAAAAGGTTGAGAATTATCGATGGACACACAAAGATGTCGTTGAGTGTCCTGTTGTGTGTCGGCCAAAGCAGCTGTGGTCGTTTGCGAGAGTATGGAATCAATGCCACTCTTGGGACGGGTCATCCTCCTACAAGAGGAGGTGGTCGGGTCTTGAGGCGTGGCTCAGCTTTGTCCCGGACAAAAGCCAGAGTAGGAGGACGAAGGTGGAAAATGTGAGGGTTCGAAAAAATGTGGTCATCTGAGAGCGGGTGTACTTGGGCCCTAGGGCGTTTGGGGCGCAAAGAGTCGAGGTTTGAAAAGAGCTCAGATACTCGATGTCGCATTCGCGTGACTTTGGTTCGGCGTAGCTCTTGTACTCGGCAACAACGTTGTCAACATCCCAACCGGCAACCTTGCGGACAACTCCGACGACGCATCCAGTTCGGTGCTTGCCATGGTTGCAATGGATCAGGAGAGGGTAGTTCTCCTTGTTGAGAACGATGCTAAGAATCGACTTCATCGTCTTGAGGGGGATGGCCTCCTTCTTGGTGCCCTTCATGTTAAAAACCACCTGTCGGATGCCTTCTTGAGCGACAAACATCTCGAGGTCATGATCGAACTCTTCCTTTTTGACGAGGGAGCTACAACAGGTTAGCTAGAGTATTCCCTAATAAAACGAGGGCACTTACACAATCGTCTTGAGCTTCAATCCCTTGATATAGTCAAAGTCATGAGACTTGGGGAAGCTGCTCCGATAGACACCAGGAACGACGACACCAAAGTTGTGAGGTCGGCCATTGAGAGGCGCAGGTGGATGCTCGGTATTCCGCGACTGGTAAGTCGACACAGATGAGACTGGGATGAGGTCAGCAATGACTCGACAGACTGCTGACGGCTGTGACTGACCACTCGATTCACTCGATGCTGTTGAGACAGAGCTCTTGACGCTAATGGCGGAGACACTCTGGGGGCGGGCAATATTTATAGCATCGCAGATGGAGACTGCATTTGTGAGACCGTCTTCGGTTTCCTTGGCTTGCATATTGTCCTCCTTGGCGGAGTTGCGAGAGCTCGATCGGAATGGTGTGTTGATCTTTTGCTGCTTCTCCTTGCTGGATGTAGATTCGTCGTCCACGAATACTCGTGAACTACGCTTCGAAGTCATATCGAGTGGTGTACGGTCCATGTGCTCGATGTTGGATACTCCTGACATTTGGTATAGGAGATCGAAGGTAAGAGGGATGTCGGATGACTAGGTGAGGAAGCCTAGTATCAAGTCGTAAACTTGTATAGTAGAGGTGAGACTCGTTGAGGAGTCGGAGCGAGGCTATCGTGAAGAGAAGAATTGGGTCGAGAGGAAGCTGGATTCGTGGTTCTTTTAGACCAAGAAGCACCTAGGACCCAAATGCTCGCGCGTGGGAAGTAGAGGCTACAAGGTGGTGGGATTCATCTTGGCGACAGTGAGCTGAACCGGCAACCTGTGCAGCTTCTGGGGGAGAACAGGAGAGGAAGTAGTCAGAAGCGTGGGGGATCCCAGTACAATGTCCCGACAAGCGTCAGAGCTCGGTGAAGGAGAAAGGACAAGGCGAGAGAGGACGAAGGTGGTGGAATGGGAAGAATGGGGCGAGGAGGACGATGTTTGAAAGGTCCGGGAGTAGGTAGGAGAGGCAGCAGAGGCACAAGCGTAAGTAGGTCGCAGCAAGGGTCTGCCGGATATCATGTACCAGGACCAGGAAGCCCCGGCGTCGTTGGAAGCGGGCGGAGCGGAGAGACTGGAGAGACAGGGCAGGGCAGAAGAGAGGAAGAAATGGAGAGGTGGATGAATAGAGAGAGGAGTGTATTTAGCCAACCAAGTTGATGGCCAAGGGTCGAGAGGAAAAAGTGGTGAGGGACATGGGAGAGGCCGAGGGACAAAATAAAGACGGGCAACAGAGGAAGATGACGGGCATATTGAGTGATTGGATCGGCTAGTAACGAGCTAGTCGACAAAAGGAAGAGCTTAGCAGACTAAGCCGTGTCGGGAAGAAGCCATGTGCGCCGGGGGGCTTTACGGTGCACCCCCGCCTGGAACCTCGCCAGTCCACTAAACAAACTCCACTCAGAGCGAGAAGCGAGAGGCCCGGACTCGCTGTGTCTTCGGCCGTCGGAGATATCCTCGACGACCACCCAGTTGCGGCTTATGAAGCTGGCTGGCAGTTTCTTACTGAGCATGCATTTCTTGGTCAAGCATTGTCAATCTGCACATGTACGGCCCAGGGTTCGATCTGATGGCCTAGACTCGTCCCGGCTAGAGCCAAGCCCAGGTCTCACTCTCGGTTGCAATGCAGACGTGGCCTGCAAGATGCCCGAAGGGTCTGGCGCTAGACAGCCTCGACATCTATTCACGGATGCGAATTGTCCTTGACGGAAACTGTTTGGCAACCATTTCGACAGCAGCAGCAGCGGCAGCAGCAGCTGTAAAGTCGGTCAAAGTCTATTCACAAGACCATTCTGTCATTGCACATGGCAACTGACTGCTCGCGTGAGGGGTTGGAGTCGAAAGTTTTGTTGAAACCTGCGAGCCCTAACTAATCCAGTCCAACTAGGCGTTCTATTAGCTGAAAGCCCACAGGAGCTTACAAACGAGATGGTCGTTGGAAGACCGACTCAGTCGAGCAAGGCCACACACAACGTGGAGGACGGCCGCCTCCGCGCTGGAGACGCAGCGACCCAGCTACCTGGAAACCCAAAACCAGCCCTTCAAGTCGTCAGGCCGAGAAGTCTGTATCTCAACACTTTGCCCTGCAGGGAGGTTCCCGGCCGTCTTGACGAATACACATATGAATTCCACACAAAACTTGCAAAAAAAGGCCCGGGTGTCGGTGCGATAATCGCAAATGGCCGAGTCCCAAGTGGCCAGTCGCCGGCGGCTCAGCTGGGGCGGCGCGAGAATATGGGCCACAGTCTCGAGCGTCTGGGCACATGTTGGAGACCCCGAGCCGCACACGCTGGACTCCCCGTTCAAGTCAAGTCACTCTCTCTCCCCAAAAGGAGGGTTGGATGACGGATGCGTTGTGCAGGGGGCTTCCTGGGCAACAAGGGGGTTGATGGGGGGACCGTCCCCGGATGAGGCGGCGAATCGAAGGGCGAGGCCAATGCTGAATGACAGCATCAGCTCTTTTTTTTGCTGGTCCCCGACATCTTTTTTTTTATGCTTTCGCATGCATGCGTCTTTGTGCGTTTTTTTTTACTTCCTCGGCGCAAGGTTGGAGGGCCGACCGGACGGATATTCGGGATTATGAGAAGATCAGCTACTCCTTTTGAGTTTGCTTTGTTCCCACAGGTCTGTCACAACGGTTCAAGATGATGCTCACCAAGCAAGGCACACTCTTAGTGTAGATCAACTGGTGGTGTTGCTTTCAGTGGTGTGGTTGGCGAGTGTGCCCCGTTTGCTTGTCCCCCGTCCCGACGGGGGACGGGGATAGAGGCCAATAGGTGAGCCGTGAGCAGGACCCTATTTTCCATCTGGCTCGGTGCTCTACATTCAACCTGCTCTCTTTGGAGAAGGTGATTGCTCGTTTCGTCGTGGGTTGGTGTGTTGATCGCGCATCAGCTAACTGAGGGGTAAAAGCTGGCTGGCGACGAGAACGAGTAATTCACTGTGCAAGCCAAGCTTACGGTTCAGTTCGCTCTGGGAATAGTAATCATCTGGCTCTTTGTTTGAACAGTCGCAGGATTCACAAAGTGATGTCAGTCCAAGATCCCCTGGTGACAAAGAAGAAAAAAGGAGAAAGAGTCGCCTCTTGTCGATCTTGTCATGCCTCGACCTGCATTTCGCGTACAACACACGTCGTCCATGAAACAGGGCGAAACGCAGCTGTCCCGACTGTCTCGGAATGACATCTAAAACATTGATCCAAGAATACTTCTTTTGCTGTAGAGAACCCCACGAAGTCTAGCCAATGATTCGCGTCTCCCAAGTCCTGTCTTGCAGCGAGCAAGTGTCACGAGCTCACAATAACGAAGGGGTGTTGAAGTTATTCTGTCACCCTCCCTCAACACTTGTACCGTGCAGCTACCGCCACCCTGATCATCAGTCGGTCGGTGGATTCGGCCGCCACGGGGAGGGGACCTCGCGCGACCAACGTCCCTGGTTGACGATCCATTCCGCATCATAGTGTCGAATAGTCTTGTCCTCCATGGAAAGACATGACAAGGGCAATTGCCGTAGAGTTGCGCGTTTGCGGCGGGACAATAACACGTATGAAGCGAGGCGTAGACATACGTGCATTGTATGCGCATAACTTCTACTGACGTGTTTGACCTGCGTCGCCGCGTGCGTCGAGTTGCCGTGGAGAGGCTCTCCTAAAGCAGCTGGTCATTCAATGGATCTGGTGGCTTCTTGGCCGGTGGCAGATAGCGGGTACGACCGAACCACCGACCGGGGCGTAATTACGGCTGCCTCGGATATCTCCCGTCGTCTTGTTAATAAAAAGTGTTTGTTACACCGGGGCTCGCTGTTGTGCAACTCCGTCCCTTATTAGCAAGATCGGATCTCGTCTCTTGTTCCCGTTCCGTTTGGTATTACCAATTCGCTCTCCGCTATCCCCGACAAGTCACGAGATGACCCAATCCTGTACACTTCCCACCCATCTTGGGGAATGCATGGGCTTCTGCCGACGTCATCGCCGTCGAGGCTGACTTTTGCTGACGACGAGCGAGACATGTTTCGCTTCAGCCTCAAGCATCAGCCTCAATTCCAGGGCCAATTGATCTGATCTTTGCCCTTACTGGACTTTCATTCTTCTCTGGTGTTACTATATTCAGAACCGGTAGGATTTTCCCCGGTTTTGTTTTGTTCGGGGCGCGTTGAATCACCAGCAGCTGCGTTGTCATCGCCCGCTTACACGCAACGCACGCGCACGCGCGATGACGGCCTCAAAATGTAAGCGCATTACCTACACAGATCCAGCCTGCCGCCTTTCAATCGCGCCACAACTGATTCCCCTCTACGGCCCGTGGGCAGGCAATTATTGTTTCACATCCTTACTGGAAGGTGCTCGCGTGTCGATCGTACCAGCGAGATCAGTGTCGGCATGGATCCCAGGGAGACAGACTTCCATCCATAAGTGGGCGTGTGTCACACCGGGTCATGGTTCTCCGTCTGGGGGAAGCTATGCGGAAAGGTTCATGTCTTACATGGTCCCCTGTACTGAGACTTGAGCTGCCCGCGGGATGAAAAGGCTGGAATCCAACAGCTCAACTCACCGAGGTGTCTCGGTCGACCAGTTTGGGCTATGCCAACCATCTCAGACATCAAGTCTCGACGTGTCTCATTGGGCTCCAACGGGCAGAAAAGAACAACAAACCAGTTCGTCTTCATCCCACGTGAAGACCTACGCTTTTCGACACCGAGAGACTCGACGGGAGAAACATCCGCGACGTCTGGATCCCCAAATTGCCTATTTGAGACACCGAGATCCCACGGTCCTCAGGTCCACGCTTTCAGGGGAATCTCTGCCTCGCATCCCGGGAGCGCCTCCCCGGGCCAATCGAGCCTTGCAGGAGCATGGATCGAGGTTCGTCGGGGCAGGCATCTAGAAGCTCGATGCTCCTCTTTGGGCTCGAGACAGAGCTTGGGAGCTGTGTGAGGTTCAACTCAGCCCTGTCGTCTTGACAGTGGGGGACATGTCGCGCCTCCGGAGCCGAAGCCGCGGTGGTAGAGGGGCCGGGGATGGCGGCGGACATTGACTGATGAAATTCACCAATGGCTGGGTTCTCGTATTGACCGAGTTCAAAGCTAGAACCCGGCAGTCTCTTTTCCTTCCGGCTGTCGTTGAGTGTTCATGCCCGTGACGCCTGTCTTGCTGTTAGCCGCACTGCATCAGATCATCTGCGAACTGAGTTTTCTTGCTCAGAGAAGTTAAGAACCCACTTAAAATCTGCAACCGAATTCCGATCTTGTTGAGCTACGGTCGCGAGATAAAGTGCAGAAATCATCAGACTGTGGACGGAGGTTGGCGAGTCGAGCCGAGGCTCCAGTGTCTACGCAGAAGACGACTCTTGTTTTCCTTGTACGGATGTGCCGCATGCTGACTTCAAGTTTCTCTGCATTGTCGTTGCTTTTGCCCTCCATCACGACCTCATCTGATGCTCCTGATACGGCCGTTTCGTGCCCTACTGCTGTTAGCCCCCCACTGCTACGTAGAATTGAGCCGTTAACCGCTCAACTTGCTCACAATTCACAAACTTCCCCTCATCGCTGATAACCAACAACCAATGAAATAGACCACCACCACGCACAATGTCCACTGTCATGACGTTGGGCGGCCGATGGGATTCCGATAACCCCTCAGCGGGGTTGTTGAGAAACATATATCAAGCCGTGACATCCGCTGCTGTCTTGACCCTGAAACTCTTTCTCTTCAACTCAGTTCTGTGAATTGAACCTCTTTGTAGTCTCAACCGACTCCTATCACATATCTTTCGGTACGATGTGAAAACCGCACAGAGAAGGAGTAATGGCTCCCTTCGCAATGGTCACCAAGTATCAAGGTAACGTTTAAAAAGAACGCATCCGGGTGTTTAACTGTTTCTACTCTGTTTCCTCCCCTCTTGTCTACATAGACGGACCACCGACGTTTCCATTGATACATGGACGACGGCTTCGTCTGGGCTTGAGGACGGGCAGAGTAAGGCAGTTGATCTGAGAAATACCGGCGAACTTGATCTGGATAATACCAGCGAAAGGACATGCTTCTTTGAATCCCCCTGCCCCTCACGTCCGGTGTGACCGGGAAACTAACCCCGGCAGCGTCTCGCTTGATCTTTCACCATGTCGACTGACAAGATCACTTTCCTTACCAACTGGTACTGGACTAATCTACAGGTTGATGAGAATATGTAGTTAACAGGAGTCAGGCACGCTACGCCGTACCACGCCCCGCTGTACCTGGCCCAGGCCAAGGGATATTTCAAGGAGGAGGGTATCAAGGTTGCTCTGCTCGAGCCCAATGACCCTAGCGTATGTTGTCTTGATAACTTGACTATGTCCATTGCTAACTCGCTCAGGATGTCACCGAGATCATTGGTACCGGCAAGGTCGACCTTGGCTTCAAGGCCATGATTCACACCCTGGCTGCCAAGGCTCGCAACTTTCCCGTCCAGTCCATCGGCAGTCTCCTGGACGAGCCCTTCACCGGCGTCGTCTACCTCAGGGACTCTGGCATCACGACCGACTTCCGCACCCTCAAGGGCAAGAAGATCGGCTACGTGGGCGAGTTTGGCAAGATCCAGATCGACGAGCTCACCTCCCACTACGGCATGACCCCCGACGACTACACTGCCGTCCGCTGCGGCATGAACGTGTCCAAGGCCATCATCAAGGGCGAGATCGACGCCGGCATCGGCCTCGAGAACGTTCAGATGGTTGAGCTCGAGGAGTGGCTCGCCTCTCAGGGTCGCCCCAAGGACGACGTGCAGATGCTGCGCATTGATGAGCTCGCCGAGCTCGGCTGCTGCTGCTTCTGCACCATCCTGTACATCGGCAACGAGACCTTCCTGGCCGAGAACCCGGACAAGGTCAAGGCTTTCCTCCGTGCCGTCAAGCGTGCCACCGACTACGTGCTCGCTCAGCCCGAGGCGGCGTGGGCCGAGTACGTCGACTTCAAGCCCGTCATGGGCACGGCTCTGAACCGCAAGATCTTTGAGCGCAGCTTTGCCTACTTCAGCAAGGACCTCAAGAACGTCAAGCGCGACTGGGACAAGGTTACCAAGTACGGCAAGCGTCTTGGTGTTCTGGACGAGAGCTTCCAGCCCAACTACACCAACTCGTACCTCGAGTGGGCTCTCTCTGGCGAGTCGAGCGACCCCATCGGAGATCAGAAGCGCATTGCCAAGCTTCAGAAGGACGTTGCTGTCTCTGGTGGCTTCCACCGGCTTCAAGATGCCGAGGTCAAGGCTTGAGTGTGTATCGCCTTAAGCTGAGAATGATTGAGGGATCATGGTTGGACCTAGTCCAGATATTGTCTGATACACTCTTTGGTCCCGGAGGAACTGGAAGTTACTAGTCACTCATTTCGCCTGGCTCTACCATAACAATAACAAGTCAAAATTGCTGGATTAATACCTGCGTCATCTGAACCCGTGAACAATTGTAAAGGCGTTGTTAACCGAATTGTTGTTGATATTCACAAGTATAGGGTGGCCAAACTCAGCCGCGCCTAGAATGCCTTGCGGATCACATCTTCTCAACAGCTACCCAATTTGGAATTCTAGGTTTATTAGATAAAGTATAAATCCTAAACAGTAAACGAAGATCATGTCAGATTTTAGGGAATAAGGTTGTTGAGTGTTCTTGGCCGTTGTTATTCACGTCAATCATCACGATGAAGCGGGTAAATGGGTTGCGTGACATGGCAAATCCTTCAGTGTCACATTGCACGTAGCCTGATCAGGCTGAATTGATTCAAGACTCGTGACCAATATGATATCATAATGAATGGCTTTGGGCCTGGTAGTATGTGTATGTACTGTGGTGCCATTTGGCATGCATCTAAATGAGAGTACCTCCATCCGCTTCATTGATGACCGCCGTAGTCTATCATGACTAAATTACCAAGACCAAAAACTCCCATAAAGCGTAGAATCATGTACAATTCATTATTAAGGAGTATACTTCATAATGTCTTCCGGCTCGGGTGTAAGCAAAAAGTCATCCGGTAGCCCTTCCTCCGGAGGAGCCTGTAACTTCACTATTAGTACTGGCTATTGTAGTCTTGTGTGTTGATTCATGTCTCACCTGAAGCTTCAGAGCCCAGTCCTTAACATGGTCGTAGTTCTTGCACTTGTGCTTGGTGTTGAAGTCGGGGAAGGCGGTGGGATCCTCGGGGTTGGTCCAGACCTGGCCAAGGACGCCAGTGTCGACGTTGCACATGAGGACTTGACGGATGGTGTCAAGGCAGTGGGCTAACTGATTAGCATTTGATGGTGGCAAAGGACATTGGTGTCACTTACTGACGTGTAGACGAAAGATCTCACCGTCATTCTTGAAGGCGTGCATCTTCATCTTCTTGTAGTAGTCGTAGTTGTACCACAGAGACTTGCGAACGAGGTTCTAGTCACTGTAAGCTGCTGCAGTGTTTTTGGAAACAGAAGGGGACGTACCAGGCAATGTAGGTGATGCATGCCCTCGACGTTCACGATGAAGCCGCCTCCATATTTGGGATTGCGTTGGACAAAGGAGTGATCCAGGCCACTGGCAATACCATCCTCGTAAGAGATGACACCAGGACGGGCTGAGCCAAGTTAGCAATTGTAGGGGAAATTTCAAGAACGACATACCATCAACGCCTAATGATTCCCATGCAGCATCAACCTCTGGTGAGGCATTCCTTCTAAAGACGTTCTCATGCATGAACTTGCCATCAAACTCGACCGTCTTGTATGTAACCGCAACGTCTTCGAGGAGAGGTGCTGCGCCAATGTTAGCGAGGGTCAATCTTATGTTCGAGGCGACTCCAGACTTACACCATTGAGTTGTATGAGCAGCACAGTTCTGGTCAATGTTGAGAAAGGCCATTGAGATCCAAGCCCCTGCAATGCCAGAGACAACGATGAGTGTCGTCAAGGCGAGCGCCCACCCGAAGCATCTGCATGGGCTAAGACGTCGTCTTCTTGGTGGGACATAGTGAAAAGACTCGCCGTCTGTCTCGGAGGAGAGGTCTCCGTCGGCATCAGGGTTCAATGGGATTTCTTCGTGCTCCTTTGAAGACATGATTGCAAAAGTAATGAGAGTGATGATGGAGGAACAAGGCGAATGTACGTGCGCCTGGGGTAATAAGACACAAGAAGACTAGAAAAGAGACTAGAGAAGAGGAGGGACGGGAGATGACAGTCAACAAGTCTGGCGTGAGACAAGACCAAAGACTCTTGAGATGCAAGTCGAAGCAAGGAGGTGGGAGGCTGGCTGATGGCTGCCTACCCTTCTTTTCCGAGGCCGACTCTTCCGAGGCAGATTCTACACAGTGACCGATGAGGCAAGAGGGCAAGATGTCATCGCAATCTTGGGTGATCGTGGGGTTTCCGAGTAAGAGGTTGACAGGGCGTTCGATAGTCTGGATCCGAGCTGAAGCGAGCGAGGTGCATCACATCACACACCTTTCCAATTGCCGACAAGAGTGACGAAGCGGGCACCAATGGCGTCGTGATCAAGAGTGCGAAGATGGGTAGCAGAGGTTGTGCATGATGGCGTAGCAGTAGGATGCTGATGGGGAGGCTGAGTATACATGTGCTGCACGATCTCTGGCAGGGCTGGGGCTGGACCGGCTAATGCACATCAAGGAAGCTTCTTTGGAGGGTTCGCTCGCCGTTCGGCCGCTTCAGCCCGTGGTCTGGACGGTTACAGTACAAGGCGTGCGCATGGCGTTCGCGGGGCTTGAGACTTACAGGGTGGGAGGTTGGAGGTTGTGAGCTCAGCTGACAGCGTCTGGATAGACACTTTTGGCGATAGCTCCCCCATTAGGTTGCTACTAAGGCGGGATGGGCGCGGATCCCAACAGAAGCTATACGAGGCTGGGTGAGCGTTTGATCTCTCAGCGTCTGAGAGGTTGTTGCTTTGCCCAGACGAGGTTGAGGGCGGCCGATCACATCGTATCTCCACTCCACAAATTTGGAGTCGTTAGCTACAGGTGAAGCTTCTCGACATGACCGACAAGATTCGGCTCGTGGAAGCCATCACCATGTCCCATTGGATCAAACGAAAACTCTTCGTATGCACATCTGACATGATATGCAAAGCTTCTCGGGTCTTTGCCTCCACCAACATCTCGGATGACCCGCAATTGATAGATGTCATGTATGTCTGAAGGCATCGCCAAGCTCGCAACATGACATGGCGAACCCCGCAGGAGGAGCTTCCTTCACGAAGGGCTGACCACCTCTTTTCCACGTCGACACGATGGCTTCGGGGACCCCAATGTGGAAATTGCCATTGTTGATTAGACCTTTTCAGCCCTCCCACTCGGGCGACCACGTTCTAGAGCAGGGCTTATCGGCGACCAAAAAAAAACGAGGTGAGGGTCTATTCAAGCCACCATCCACCGGCTCAAGGCAGGATGGCTGACACTTGTTTGTTGGTGGGAGGTATAGTCTGCAGCGGAAATGATGCAACGCCTTGATCCAACTACGCGATCGTCGTTGGTAGACAGCAGAGAGGAGGAAGCTTGGTGATGGGCTCGCCAATGACACCAATGACAACCTGCCGGGACGACGATCCGGGCACACTCGATGCCCGAAACGGGATGCTTACAGCCCTTTTGACACGAGGCGGAAGGAATCAAGCAAGGTCTTGTCATTGATGCGAAGCTGTGATGGGCTCAAGCAAAGACTAGCTCAAGCCAAGAACTACCGATGGGATAATCTTTGCCCAGTCCCAAAGGGTCGACGCCGTCACCAGCCCTCTCGAAGTCTCGATCAGAGGTTATGGCGACAGATGCCGGCTTCCCGGGAGTCTTGATCCCAAGCAGAGGTCATCGTCGTTGTTTAAAAGGCGTCTTTTCCCTCCCCGGTTCAGTTGCTGTCTCACCACTCTCTTCACTCAGCAACCTCTTGAGCTCTCCTCTCTCTCTTACACCCAAACACAAGACACATTCTTTGGTCTCAAACCACCAACAACTTCAAACATGAAGCTGTCCGCCATCACCCTCCTCGCCCTCGCCGCGGGTGCCATTGCTGCTCCTGCCCCGGCCCCCGAGGCCGAGGTTGCTCCCCAGGAGGAGAAGCGAGAGGCATCTCCTGGATACGCAAGCTACGGCGACTACAAGGGAGCTGGCGAGAACTTGCCTAGCTATCCTAGCTATGGCACCTATGGAGCCAAGCCCAAGCCCAAGCCCAAGCCCAAGCCTGCTCCCAAGAAGCCTGCTCCTAAGAAGTATACCAACTATGGTAAGTCAGCTCTCTTTGTCTTAGCGATGTGATGGACACTCTCCAGTTAAGGGTCACTTGTCAAGACGGGAGCTTTGATGACTATCTTGTCCACAAGTCTTCTTTCTGGAGTGTGAACCTCTTATCATACAAGCTACCACTAGCCTCTTGGGAACTCGCAAGCTCTCAAGATTCCATAGAACACATCAAGCTAACAATCTCATAGGAAGCTACAACTACAAGAAGTACGGCAGCTACGGCTCCTACAAGCGCGAGGAGGTCGAGAAGAGAGAGGCCGAGCCCGAGGTCGAAGTCGAGGTTGAGAAGCGAGAGGCTGAGCCTGAGGCCGAGGTTGATGTTGAGAAGAGAGAGGCTTCCCCCGGCTATGCTACCTACGGTGACTACAAGGGTGCCGGCGAGAACCTCCCCAGCTATCCTAGCTACGGTACCTATGGTGCTAAGCCCAAGCCCAAGCCCAAGCCCGCCCCCAAGAAGCCTGCCCCCAAGAAGTACACCACCTACGGTAAGTCTCCTCCTCAAACGGGTGAAACTTACAGACGCTGATTCAGACTACAGGAAGCTACAGCTACAAGAAGTACGGCAGCTACGGCGCCTACAAGCGCACCACCGACTGGATCAAGTCCTGGTTCTAAGCGCGAGCTTCCTGAAGCTCAATGGATGAAGGATTGTGAAGATACTTGGTTCTTTACAGAACATGACGGCACGACGCACGAAACGTTCTACGAACGACTCACGAATCTCAACGAGAGAAAGACATACTTATATGCATTGCGGGGAAATTGGTTTAATCATTTTGGATCTCGGGTGTTGGGCATAACGGGATAAACTTCTTATACTCTCATTAATGATTTAATTGGTAATGCAATAAAAAACTGGGAGCCGGCAACGGTTCGAGTTGAGTTGTATAAATGATCTCTCTTTTGATGTGAATGCCTTTCATAATTGATGCTATGAAGGATATGATAAAGACTGCTCAGCTCTGCTTCAGCGTCGGTCACCGTCCAAGATGGTTACCTGAAACTAAACTCTGTAAGCACTTGTTAATCAAGCTTAGACACTGGTCTAGCAAGTTCAGCCGCACAGACGGTTTCCCCATGGTGTGGTTGAACCGGAACCCCAATGTTCTATTCCGAGCTTCACCACGTCACCACACAGTCAACCCCTGCCATCTTTGACCTGAAGTGGCTTACCATAACTTCAGTGTCTCATTCTAAAAAGCAGGCTCATCACGATTGGTTGCTGTCGTCAATGGCTTGGACCTTGTGACCTGCGAGTTCGATCCTTTCTGCTTATCGAGGGAATTTTTTCTTCTTTCTTTTTTTGATCTCGAGTCTAGAACATGCGAGGCATCATCGATGACTTCAACTCTGCAGTTACATCTCGCCCTGCAGAGGTGCAACATCAACGATGGGGGAGGGCCACTCACCGCCAGCCCCATGATATCACACTGACCGCAAAGATTTGAATTCAGGGTGGCCTCAACGGCATCGCATAGCCGTGTGTGCCAGGAACAAGTCCCGCGGGCTTGGGACATGGCTTCCACGATGGCTGAGGAACGAGGGGAAAACAGAGTCGTTCTGTAGATTCATCACTGGCTTGACGATTCCCAGGCTTCAACTAGTGTAAGCCATGAAAGACGCCGGATGGGTGCTCGCGCCGGACCTCGCGGGGGGGTCACTGCATTCCGCTCTGAGTTGACTATTGGCCCCTTCGGATTCGCTTACACGGCAAGCAGCCCTACGATGGAGATGGGGAGAAGAGGGGAAGAGAGTCCACATCGTGGCGTTTTGGTCCTGGATTTGGTGCCAAGCGTGTTAAGCCAGGGACGGAGGATGCCAAGAAGGGACTGTCCTTCTTTAGCTCGGTCTTGTCTTTGTAAAAGCTGCGGTAACATTCACGACTCCAAATAAGGTGAGCCAACTTGAAACTTCACGATACTCACTTCAAGCCTCTTGTATCAAGTAAACAGATTACAGGGTCAGGCGGTAGTATCACCACAGCCAGTTGATGCTCGATGATGATGACAATGCGTAACATTGATTTGCCGATTCGCATCGGCCAAAGTCGTTCTAGACCCAGGGCACTCGATCGTCTTGACTGGAATTCTCCCCAGAGGCCGTCCAAAGGCACCAGGGCCTGGGCTGAGATGGCTCAAACTTTGGAAAGAAGCCATCGTCATTTAAGTTTTGGATGCTGTGTATAAGAGACGGACGAGTCCTCCCTCAGGAATTCATTCTCTGGCCAAACAAAGCAAAAAGTCCACTTCCATCCTTTACTTTTCGGCACGCTCTCGTTTAAAACAACATATAAAACCTTGCACTCATTACAAAAAGGTCACTTCAACAAAATGAAGACGACTGCCGTTCTCTTCCTGGCTTGTGCCATCTCGGCCAACGCCTCTCACCTCCTCCGCCGCGAGAACGACGACTACAAGAACCAGCCCGACTATCCCAGCTACGCCGACCTCCCCAAGTACGGCTACAACAAGTACGGAGGCAACGCCGAGCATCCAGAGACCAACCCCGTCATCAAGAAGCCCGCGACCCCTGCCACAAACACCAAGACCACCACATCATCGTCTTGTCTCTCTCGTTCCAAGATTGAGCCTCTCGTCGACAAGTACATTGCTACTTTTGCCGGCATCACGGATGGCGGTGCTGTTGCAAAGACGGTCTTTGATGAGAACTTTAAGCTTTACTCTCAGTCCATCTGGTGGGTGACGTCTCCAGACGTGATTGCCAAGCACGGAGCTGTAGGTTGCCCTTGTTCCACTCTCATGAACATCAACTAACATTCACAGGCCGACGACTTCCCTCCCGTCTTTAACAACCGCGCCGAGCTCATCCGCGGCAACATCAAGAAGCAGAACGACCCCAGCGCCTTCATCAAGGGTCCCGTGGCCTACGGCTGCAACAGCTTCACCTTTTACTGGAAGGGCAACTTTGAGGTTCCCAAGGGTAACAAGCGCGGTCGTGGCAACGGAATCAACATGGTCTTCCTTAACCCCAAGACGGCCAAGGTCACCAAGGCTTATTCTGAGTACAACACCCTCAACCAGGTCTACAACTGGGGAGCTCACATCACCTGGGCCAAGGAGAGTGTCTGCTGCGACTGCCCCGTTGTTTTCAACCCCAAGTGCAAATGCAAGTAAGCCAACGGCACACTCTGAGAGTTGGCTTGAAGTTGGTGTCTATCTACTTTTCCTTGGGATGTCTTGGTTAGGATGAAAAGGAGTTTAACGCACGTGGGAATCTGGGTTTCTGTCAACTTTCTCTTTCTAGATAATGGCGTACGATGCTGAGATTTTTCGACCTCTGGCGGTCTGACTATGCGAAAATTGCTCAACACTTGTTCCGTCCAAATCATTGTTCCCAGTGATGGACCTGATCCGGCGAAGCCAAACGGATCCGGTCATTGGTAAGATATGTGAGTCAAAGGTTATCTCGCCAAGGATTGCCAACACGTCCCTGAAACGCCCAACGCCACAATGAATAGTTTCTTATCATTAGAGACGCCACCTGGTGTTATTGGTGAAGCGGTGTGATTGCCACTCTCACGGTCAACGCCACTTGCAAGTGTGTGAGATGATGGACGTGCCCAGGACCGTGGGTCGCCCCTGGGACGAAAGGATTGATTAGAAGGGGCTGGAATGAGGTAAAAGGTTGTATTTACCTCGGTTACATGTTTTTGCTGGATAAATATTTGATCAGCAGAAATATGCTGGTCTAGAGTCGTCATGTGCGAGATACTGCATCATACCATCGGCCTGGACTGCTATGTAGAAGTGGATAAATAGATGGATCTACTCAAGGAGCCAAGTCTTTCCATGGAGTACTTTTGGAATCTCTTGCTCGACTTGTGACGCTGCTATTGCCTCTGGTACTGTCCTCCTCTGCAAGGACGAGGACTCACTTGAGTCTATACCGATCGACCCAAGCAGGCGTTTCTTAATGTTGGTTAATCATAACTACAAGACAACCATCTGGTATAGACCAAGTTTTAATTGAAAGCCTCTAATGGTCATGTTTCTCAATATTTGTAATAACAATGGCCAAACTCAATTGTATGGGGGATCCAATATCAATAGCATCTGAACTTAAACCTAGCGATGACAAGAAAGCACATATTGCAGTAAAAAGACGAATCATATAGTGCTAGTATCGCTTTCTTCAACAAGTCTTGAAAGACAAGCCCCAACTACAGCAAAAGAGCAAACAGTACAGCAGCCAAGCCCACAGCAAAAGACACCGATTGGACTGTCGCACTCGCCGTAACAATAGCTGGCGTCGGATATGTACTAGGCGGAACATAAGAAGGCCCTGAAGGAACAGCAGTCGCCGTGGCAACATGCGTAGTCGTCGCATTGGGGAACTTGACAGTGGAGTTCTCAGCCACCACCACAGCCGGCAGAGCCCTCTGGTATGGAATACCCTTATCATCCTCTCCCGAGACGTACACCAGAAGATTCCGGCGCTGGACTTTGACCGTAGCAAAGAAGGACGAGTTGCGAGGGGAACCGCGCTCTCCGGAGCCGGCGGTGGCGTTGAGGCTGGACACGCGAGTAAAGTCGGGGGCTCGGAATGCAAACTCGGCAGTCTTGAACCGGCCGTCCACCTCGGCGATTGCTCCGACTTCTTTGCCGAACGGTGGCTGCCCGGCCATTGGGTACCAGCCCCGATGACCTGGTCGACCGCGGATGCTGGCAAAGTTGAAGGATGAGAGTTGAAGCGTCGAGACGCCGGAGCTGAGAAAGGTAAAGGTGCCTTTGCCTGAGATTGTGACTTTGTATGTGCCTGGAGGTGGAGAAGAGAGTGATAAATACGTGCTGTCTTCGAGAATAGTCTTGGTTATTCCTATTCCTTCAAGCTGGAGTTGCTTTCCGTCTGGTGTTGTAATCTCCAATTTGACGCCCGCTCCCAGGAGAGAAAACGTCACCTTTGTCATATACGAATCAACAGGGACGTCAAACTCCCTGGCAGATCCATCTACCTTGTCTTGAACGCGGATGATAGTACCGAGATCTGTCGTAATGACATTCTCAATAAACGAAGTGACATTGGCAACTTCTGACCTTGGTCCTGTGCGGTACAACCCACCTGTGCCGGCACAGATTTGACCATATGCATTGTCGGCTCTCTTGACTATGGTCGATCTCTTCATGGCGCTGTCTTCACAGTCTGAGGCGTATGTAAAGACACTGATGCTGATGCGCTTCTCCTGAGCCTTGGCTAGTAGCTGCAACATGAGATTTGAATCTTTGGCGTCTGCGTCTGTGAAGAGTAGAAGACCTGAGTCGACGTCCATCACGTCCACGGCTGCCAGCATACCTGTGAATGCCAACTCAGGACAGTCACCGCCACCAGCAGCACCAAGATTGCTGATGGCATCCTCAAACGCAGCAAGGTCCGTCGTCACGGTCAACGGACCCGTGCTAGGGTCGTTGAAAGGGGAGAGAACGTAGAGACCAGGCTCGTTATCTGTACCTGACAGACTTTCTGCAATTTGGAGGGCTTGAGTGCGGACAGCGTCGATGACATCTTCCATGCTACCAGTCGTGTCGATAGCAAAGGCCAGAGTCGGGACACCAAAGAGAAGACGCAACGCTTTCGGAGCACCGCTCGTGTCATCCTTGATATCATCGAAGAATTGCATCGTAGCTTGCATCGCCAACTCGGCCGCCTTGAAGTGCAGATCAGAGTGCGGTGACCACCAGCAGTTGTTGCTATCCTTGTTGATGCCCGGGTACGCCTTGTCTGCGAAGCCACCATGACGGCACTTCCAGTTCCCGGGGCTCAAAACGTCCTCACCAGGATAGTAACCGCTCGTAAGTTTGGGAAAGCCATCGGTGTTTTCCTCGCAATGAATACCCTTACAAGGAATAGGCCAGTCCGAGTCCCAGCCTGGAGGTTTAGGAGAGACATTGCAGGACCTACAGCTTCGTTGATCTGGCGTGGACATGTACGATGTCATCGGTTTGTTGCGGATGAGATCCGAGTTGGGCTCTGTGTTTCCAAGTTCCACCCAGTTGCTGTGCGAGTAAAAGTCCTGAATCGTATGAAGCGCCTCGCCAACGGCCTTCCTAGCCTTGGCCACATCAGGGGGAAGAGCCAAAAGAGCCCCTATAGCCTCCTTCTTGAGATCTTGAATACGCGACTGTGCCTCGACAAACGATTCCCCATCGCAATGCTTATGAGCGTGGTCTTGATCATCGTCGACATCCATGTTTGCCTGCTGAATCTCTTTGCACGCCGCGCGCATCTTGCTCGAGATTGTGGTGATGGATGGAAAGTAGAGATAGGCCCGATCTTCAAAGGCAACTCTTGTCATGTCTTCATGGGAGATGCCTCCGTTGCCTGCAAAGTCCTCCTTCCATTGTGCTGGGAAGAAGGCTGAGACTGGTAGGATGTTGATGGCGATGAGAGAGGTGAGGATAAAGAGGTAGCGAGCGACCATGTTGTGATGCTCTCCGAGTTGACACTCGGTTTAACGATTGAATGTGCGCAAGTGATTCAAAGAGAGTAGAACTGCTCTTCATATTAAAACTCATCTTGGCACTGAATACAGTGATAGTTATGTTATTGACGACTGTTATTTGGATGTCCAGCTCCGCCCAATGACGGAGGTGTGTCAGCGTTGCTACTGCAACTCCCATCTCCCAACACCAGTCTGAGGCTTCAGCTGGGAATTTCAACCAGGTCACGCTGTTGCCTACAATAGTGCGATTTCGAAAAAAGCTCAGGACGAGATCTGATTTGTTTCCGTGGGCGAGCCACAGTGACGTAGGGATGTGCCATTCGGAGCTCGTATCATCTAGGACTGTTTGGTACAATTATAAGGCGGCCTCCTGCAATGACTCCGACTTGGTCAAGTCTCCGTGGTATGGAGGAGGTAGGCAGATAAGGTGCCTGAAAGGGCGCCTTGACCCTCGAGCTAATGCAGCCTCAAGTTCTAGAGCGAACTACAATAGGAAGCCCAGAGCGGAACGGCTGAAGTAAATAGCTGCTTGTCGCTATTACTGCTAAATATAGCGACAAAATCATGTCCTATTCTGTCTAAGAGTTGCAAGCTTCCAGTCGAGTCGAAAACACCCCTCAGCGATCAGATACTGCGAACTGGCATATCTCATGGTGGCCCCGAAGCCCTCCCGAGATGGGAGACAGGAACTTATAATTACACCTGCCTTGAATCTCATCACAGCCGACTCGAAATCTTAGGCTCATCATCCAGGAAATCATTGATAATCTTGGAAAACACGTCCGCATACTGCCACAAGAAGCCATGTCCAGAGTCAGGAAACAAATGCAGCTGAGCCCCAGCATGTCTCAACTTCCTCCACATCACATAGCTGTTTTCTTCCGGCAAGAGAAGATCCTCGCTTCCTGCGTACACGTCAGTAACCAATTTCACCAACTTGCAGCTCAACTCACCGTTCGCAATCAGCACTGGCATCTTGAGCTCCTCTAACCTGTCGTATGAAGCATCCTTGGCCTGCTTGCGATCCATAAACTTGGCAAAGGCAATTCCTTGTCGGTGAGCGTTTGCTGGATCGACAGAGTTGCTTCTGTCTTTTCGTGCACCTGTGATCCTCTTCCAAGCTGCCTCGCCTGCCTTTCTGCTATTTTCTGATGTGCGGAACATGCTAAACATGAAAGCTTCTTTGTGCTCTTCTTCTGTCTTGGTAGCTTTGAGACGATTAAACGGTTCTAGTGAGGCTGCTGGCACAACTCCTTCGCCTGTGCTGGGTGTCGTTCCGCAAAGGATGAGTCGACGGACTAGATCTGGCGCGTTGAGAGCGACGAGCTGTGCAACGCATCCACCCATGGAGAAGCCCAAGACATCGGCCTTGTTGACGCCAATTGCGCGGAGGACGTCGATGTAGTACTGCGCCCACTTGGAGAAGACCTTGGGGACTTCACCTTCAGAGCGGCCTACACCAGCATTGTCGATGAGGATAATGGGACGTTTCGCGGCGATTGGGTTCACCAGAGCTGGATCCCAATGATCCATTGTTCCTCTACAGGAGTCAGCATCTCACCAAGTGCATGCTTAGAGGGGGTCTCACCTAAAGTGCATGAGCAGCGCAAGAGGAACGCCATGATCCCTACCAAACCGTCGATAGGCAAACTTGATGCCATCGACAGTAACAAACTGATCCTTTGCCGTTTCATAAGTCGCCATCTTGAAATGTCTTCCTTAAATTATTCACAAGAAGAAATTGAAGTTCTCAGCAAAAAGGGTATAAAAGGTTCAAGATGCCGAGGTTCAGCGGCTATTGACGTCAGGTGATTGTACCAAAAGTTGGGGAACCCTGCGAAACATCTCCAACACTTGCCTGTTTTGGAAACTTTGCCGCGTCAAAGGATTGCGGAGAAGCATAATCAGTAGTTGAGACTAGTTTACCCCAGGTTTCTAGACATTTTGACAGCATTTTAAGCATATACTAGGCAGTAGGTAGCGGGTCAAGGGATATTCATGTGTCTTTATCTAACAACTTTTAGTCTCCAGCTGTACTTGTATCCATATTTTCTACCACAATCTCATCCATACTCTTCTAGTGAGCGAATCTAAAGTCCCAGCGCTGCTGACCCTCATCCTTGGTGTTGAGGATATAATCCTCCTGCTGCTCCTTGGTGAGAGCGTTCCATCTCCTGTCGCGCACCTTGTTCCTCCAGACGTAAAACGCCTTGACAAGGTAGAACAGGACAATGTTGCCGCAAGTAATACCCAGGATAACCCTGTTGCCCCGGCGGTAGAGAGGCTTGTCGTCCTCGCGGAAGATGTTGGAGGCGGCAATGTTACCTGTCTGCACAAACATGTTGTACAAGGCGGCACTGATGGCACGGGTGCGCACACTGTTACTGTTCTTGGCGTTCCAGCCTACCAGAATGGCGTGGCAGTACGGGTAGCTCAGAAGACCCGTAATGAGAGCGTATCGCACCCAAGGGGACATGTCGGCGGGAAGGACAACGAGGGCGAGAACCCACGGGAAGATCCAAATGTTGGAAAGAGATGAGAGCATTCCTCGTTCCTTGACACGCTCAGAGACCCATGTGATGATGAGGAGGTTAACAGCGTAGAGGAACTGCGAAGGAATGGCGAGGAGGTTGGCCTTGAAGACGGAGAAACCAATCTGTCGAAGGATGTAGGACAGGTATGTGCTGAAGGGCGAAGGAGGGATGTAAACCATAAGACCAATGATGTAGAGCGGCCACTGCTCCCAGTCCTTGATGGCCCTCCAGAGTCGGGGGAGGTTGACGGCTTGTCTGCCAGGGCATTAGCTTCAATATCACAGAACTATGCAAGTTGAAACCTACCGGTTGTTCATGTCACCCTTGCTGGGATCATCACGGAGAAGTCGGTTAACCATGATGTACTCCTCATGCTCATTGAACCAACCATCCTTGCCACGGAACCAGCTCTTTGTCTGGCAGGGGCCAGGAGGCATAAGAACCCATGAGAAGAGACCGACGATGAAGGTGCCAATGGCTTCAAGAATGAATCTGCATTACCGTGTGAGCTTCATTGGACAAACTTGGGTAGTCAGACTTACAGCCATCTCCAACCTCCCATACCGGCGATACCTCGCATTTGCAAGATACCAGAAGCGAGAAGAGAACCAACAATGTTGCTAGTGCTGAGAGCTGTCCAGAAAAAGGCCAGTCTGATGGGTAGCTCATTAGACTTGTAAAAGTACGTAAGCCAAAGGACAATATCACTAAATCTGTTAGAAACACCTTGTTAAAAAAAAGCTTCTGGAAAACTCACGGAATGAATCCACCCATGAGAAGACCGAGCAGGGCCTTGAGGGCAAAGTAGGCCGACTTGCTGTGCAGGGCGGCCTGGCAGCCTGCAACGAGGGACCAGGAGCAGATGAGGAAGGGGATCCATCTGTCGGCTCCGAGCTTCTTGCTGATCAAGCCACTGGGGAGTTCGGCTGAGAGAAAGGTGACGAGGAAGATCTGGGGTCTCGTGTTAGTCGTGGGGTGTGAACAGGGGAGAGGTCGCGTACAGTCTGGCCGTAGTTGAAGTCGTTTGTGTCCATGCCGATCTCGGGAAGCTGTTACTGGTTAGCAAAGTCTCGATATTGTCGTGATTGGGTTAGGCTTGCCATATTATCCGAGATGGCGCGGTTAATGTTGCGTCGGTGAAAGTCGAGGGAGCAAAACATGACCCATGCCCAGAGAGTAATACGCCAATCAATCTATCATGACACATAGTTAGCAAACAGTCTCACATAGTACATAGTACTACACACCTTTCTCACAAGCCTCTTTTCCTCTTCGGCAGTCCAAGTATAGTTGGGATCGAAACGATGACGGTTCTCGTACTTGGCATTCTCGTAGACCTTGCGCCAGCGGTCGGCGACCTGAGGGTCAGAAAAGACATGCTCAATCGTCGAAGAGGCAGTCTCGTCACCGCTGTCGGTAGGAGAATCACTAGGAGATCGATCATTGACAAGAACCTCTTTAGTGTCCCTGTCGTTGACATAGACCTCCTTGTTGTCCCGGTTGGGACCGTCACTAGCAGCCATGATGGACAAGAGGAGTGTGTTTCGAGTCCGCGGAGAAGTGAGGAAAGACTTGGGGCCGCGGAGATGTCAAGAGCAGAAACTACCTGTGATGGATGCATGGCCTGGCTTATAAAGGTCTGGCACCTCTCCCATACCCTCGGGTTCGAAAACCATGATGCACAACGAAACCTCAGGGGCGGGACACTAGCAATGTCGCGATGAGCCTCGATAATCACCTCAAGCTCGGTGAGACGACGTTTTCTCCAGCATATCCAGGGTACAATCGACGCTTGGAGGCGAAAAAGCTACGCTGGGCACCTTCAAAAGCCTGGATTCAAAAGATGGGGGTCACTTTCAATAACCTCTTGCTAAAGCATTGAACCCCCGAGAGCCCGTGGCGACGGAGCGGTAGTTGGCCGACCAATCGAGACCCGGGGATAAGCATGCATCAGACCGAGAAGAGAAAAGTGTCGGGTCCTCTGCGAACGTTGCAATGGCGAGGTCGTCATTGGAAGCATACTAACATGACTTGTGTTGGCGGAGCTTTGTCTAGAACAGGAGAATGACGTGCCCGGAGACGGGGAGTCGCCGGTCCAATCGCTGAGTTGACCGACCGAGAAGCCGTAGATATGAGAGAAACTAAAGTTTTTGATGGAGAAAATCTCGGAGGTGGTGGTGGTCTCGAGGAGTTGATCTGTGAAGCTGGGGTTGAGTATATTTTATATATACGTACTATTCTATATGAGATACTATTTCTCTACTATCTTGAAACTCTCAACTGTCAGATACAACTCTAATACAACAACCACAATTGAATTTAATTCCATTCTTTGAATATTCAAGCATAATCGACCTCCCGAGCGATATCCCGTATTCTCGTCGCAATCACATTGCGTGACCCTGCCCCAGAGATTGCGACACCACCATGGCGCGGGCGTTTCGTGATGGCGCAATCCTTATCCCATCGCCCCCGTCGCGGTCTAAACCACTTGGCAAATGTCATGTTAGAAATGGCTAAGCAGAGACCAAAAACTCCATTGCGTGATTTCTCTCCCACCTGTCGAGCGTAGACTCGCGCCTCATTGATCGACGCTCTTCTTACGCAATATGCTCGTCCGAAGTCGCTCAGAGTGATTGCTTCCATCGCTTACCTGCAACATCACCAGCGACGAATGAAACTCTTTAGACTCCGTCGGTACTCTGCTTATTGCTTTTCCCCGCGTTGATGCCGGCATTCATGTGCTGGATCGCGATATCCGATGAGGGGAACAAGAGTTGCTGTGTAATACATATAAAAGAGACGACATATCTGTCTCAGAAGAGAGTCTAATCAAGACAAGTCGAAACTCGTAGATTCATCACCGTCTTTCACAATGGCTCCTTCAGCAACTACAACCACGGCCAGCTTGGTCACCGACGCCTCCAAGCTCAAGCTGTACCCCGGCCACGTCGAGGGTGTCTACAAGGAGCTGTCTCCTGTCGTGTACAAGAAGGATGATGAGCTCAAGGGAACTGACGACTTTGCTGCGGCCAAGGTTAGCTCTCTCGTTACCTTGCACGCGTGAAACAAACTAACACGGTTCAGTATCCCAACTACCTCCCCACCTGGAACAAGGACCAGGTCTACCCTCCCCTCGTGCCCTTTGAGCACTACGACCACGGCCGCGACGCAGACCCTACTTTCCCCAACCTCATCACAAAGGACGCCAAGGTCTCTCACCTTACTCCCACCATCGGCACAGAAGTCGAGGGAGTCCAGCTGAGCCAGCTCTCCAAGGCCGGCAAGGATGAGCTCGCTAGATACGTCGCCGAGCGCAAGGTCGTAGCCTTCCGCAACCAGGACTTTGCCGACCTTCCCATCTCTGAAGCTCTCGAGTTTGGAGGTTACTTTGGTCGTCACCATATTCATCCTACTTCTGGTTCTCCAGAGGGACATCCCGAGATTCATCTCGTGCACCGTGGTGCGGGAGACAAGTCCCACGAGACCTTTTTCAAGACTCGTGTGAGCTCTGTGGCGTGGCACTCGGATATTACCTACGAGCAGCAGCCCCCAGGAACGACCTTCTTGTACATCCTCGACACCCCCGATACTGGCGGTGACACTCTCTTTGCCAACACCGTCGAGGCCTACGAGCGTCTATCCCCTGCTTTCCAGAAGCTACTCCACGGTCTCAAGGCCACGCACTCTGGTATTGAGCAGGTCAACGCCAGTGTCAAGAAGGGCAGCATCAAGCGACGTGAGCCCGTTGTCAACGAGCACCCTATTGTGCGAACACATCCCGTTACTGGCGAGAAGTCGCTGTTTGTCAACCCCCAGTGTAAGTCAAAAAACTCAACATGATACAAACCCATACTAACATCCACAGTCACCCGCGACATTGTCGGCCTCAAGAAGGAAGAATCCGACGCAATCCTCAACTTCCTCTACGAGCACATCGCCTGGGGCGCCGACTTCCACGCCCGCGTCAAGTGGCAGGAAAAGACCGTCGTCGTCTGGGACAACCGATCTGTCCAGCACACTGCCCTTGTCGACTGGAAGTCTGGCCAGCGAAGGCATCTGGCCCGCATCACGCCCCAGGCTGAGCGGCCCTATGAGACCCCTTTTGAGGGTTAAGGAATAATGATAGCGTCTTGGTTAAATGTCCCGCGGGCAAAGATCCCAGCAGAGGACCGGAATAAACAAATTGATATACAAGAATCGTCTGTTGGTGAATGTCAGGCAGTGATGTGATGAAACATGTGAATAGGGGCCCATTGGGCTGGAGCACAACAGTCCTCTGAATGATGCTGATACTATCAAGTTACAGGGCCCATGTATGCCTCTATATGTACTCTCACAAACCAACTCTTGTGTATGCACCCCTTTCCTCCCAACGCCGATGCTCATGTATCCTGCCAAAGCAACCTTCTATGCACAAAACATCAAACCACGCTGCTCCAAACCTGATGTCCGAGCATAACTGTCAAGACACCGATGCCATACTTGCCGGCATCTGTAGTTCCCTGCCAGACCTCCCACCCAAGCCAGCAGACAGCTGCTAGCTCCATGACGCTCAACACAGAACCCACGTATGTTGCTGTGCTTGGGCCTTTCTCTTCCTTTGTCTCCTTACTAGCTTCGCCCGTCACCCGCAGTGCGATTGTCCCAGCTGCAGAAAGCAATGCCAGTTGCACCTCTCGACGGAACGGGGTGTGGATAGCTAAGGCGAGTCCCCACACGACAAGCAGCGCAGCGAGAGCCATAAACTCGACGCCCAGCTTGTCCATTTTAGGCTGTATAGCTACAGCAGGCTTTTCTTCAGTCCACCTAGATGGTCGTCGTGCCGAGGCATCAGCCGGCTGACTCTCCTGGCTCAAGCTGAAGCTCTGACTCAACATGTCAGCCAAGCTATTGGCCGCATCATTGGTCTTCTGAGGCGCAAAGAAACTCGGCGGCTTAAAAGAAACTTCCTCATCCTCCTGCTGCTGCTGTGCTTGAGCCTTGGCCGCACCCCGAAAAAAGATGCTCTCCTGCTCGACAGGCTTACCCCTCAAAACAGGCGCATTGGGTGGGTTCCGTAGTCGTTGGGATGGAGTCGTCGGTGCCGCGGGAACTTTGTACCAAAAAGGGCTCTGCTCATTGCCGACGGGCGATTCTCCAAAAGCCGGTCTCGGGCCGTTGGATAGAGGCGCCTCGCGAAAGGCTCGGTGTTGTGACGGAGCTGGAGACTCGGTAGGAGTCCAGTCCATCTCATCCGAGTACTGCACCGCCTGAGTCCTCTGTGGAGAGAGGTTGAGGCTGTTGAATTGAGCATGAGGGCTCTCTGGGATCCTCACGGGGTTGCTAGGAGGGTATGGCCGTGGTAGTGGATTAACAAGTGGTTGACTGAATAGATCTCGCTGCTGAGGCGCAGGAGTTGGTGAGTCCAGTGCCTCGTTCAGCAACTCAGAAAATGTTTTTGATTCCTCCTTCTTCCTCCTCGTGATCTTGGGTTTCGGTGAAATGGTGGCACTGGAGTTACCAAAAAGGGGTGTGGTATCAACTTTGATGGACCTCCTTGCAAAAGAGTAGATCTAATCAAGTTAGCATACGTTCACTTTCTCACACATAAAACGTTACATACCATAATCATGACAATCGACATGACAAGATGAGCGCTCAACTGAGCACTCCTCGACTGTCCCCTGCCTCCATTCATCTCGAGCACCCGGCGGAACAAGATGCGGAAGAAGATGATCAGCCCTTGGAAGGAATACCACTGCGTGAATCCCAGGAGATGTCTCGTGAAGCCGCGGCTGACCTGCACAAACTGGGGGTTCCACCACGCAGATAGTATGCTCGCCGTAACCGCCCCGCTGATCAAAGTGTCGGCTGGTGGGAGAAATGCAACAGCCCATGATAGAGCAGCCACTGCCATGGTCGGCCAGCTCTTGTCGTCTGGGTCATACATCCCCTCATCTGGATGCTCCAACACAAATGACAACGTCTTGATGTGCCAGAGCATCTGCATCGCCAGTCCTCCCCACCACAGTCCCCTCCCCAAGCTGTTGGCCCAGTCCAACGCAGTATTCCTCCCTGGATCAGTCCTTCTCCCTCGACTCTTCTCCATCATCCGTCGTAGATGATCCGTCTTGGCAGTGTATCCCGCCCGACGAATCTGACCCTCTACCCGCTCGGCGCATTCATCGCAGACCTGAGGGTATCGCTCCTCCAACCCCTTTCGGTATCGGTAGTAATTTCGCTCGAGTTCAGGGTAATCGGGATGGTTCGGGTCGTCGGGGAGATATTGGGCGAGTGAGGACGTAAATAGACGCTGATTCTTGAGGCATGTCGAGCAAAAGATACTATCCCTCGGTGATGAGGGAGGCGACTGTCGTGGTACTGCGTATTGTGTTGCGGGAGCTTCACGCTCGGTGGCTACTGGAGGATCCGTAATCTCTCCATTCTGAAACCTGTCAGCTCAAGATCCAAAACGAGGGTTTGGCGCTCATACTTCATCGAGGTAGTTGGTCGCATCGCAGAATAGGCAGAGAAACTGGCTCGTGACGCCATCATATTTGGTGTTGGACCTCTTGCCGCAGTAGAAGCAACTCAGGTATCTCGTCCCTCTCAGGCGCGGCATGATTCCATGACCATTAAAGCAGAAATAACGAGTGAGATGTTTGTCAAGAGTAAGAAAAAAATAACTGGATGGAATTTTTGATGTTTATTCCAGGTTGACATGGAAGCCCACTTTCTGGGGTTTCTGCCGGGCGGTCGACACATTTTAGAGGCTTTCAAGCCCCTGCCGCGGGGCGTGCAGCACTGTGACCCCTGCAAGCCCCCTGTAAATTTACGGGAGGTCACGTCACACCAAACGGGGATCTGGACGACCTCAGCCTTCAACATCCATTGAAGCAAGCCATCTTTGACACTGTCGCTACAACAAAAGACGTCCACATCGTCAACCAACAGAAAGACCCTTTCTTCCTTGCATGCGCCATAGATAAAACAACAATGCCGCCATCATGACCACTCCACCCTCATCTTCAAGACCTCCTCTCCCTCCACCCCTCCACCTAACCATCCGCTTCTCAACCTCCCAGCCAGACCTCGAGCTTGACGTCCCCTCGCCAAACGCAACAACCGTCCTCGCCCTCAAGCACCTCCTCCGAACTCGTCTCTCCTCCCGCAGCCGACTGCGCCTCATCCATCAGGGCCGTCTCCTCCCCGACTCGTCAGCCCTCAGCTCCGTACTCAAGGCGCCGCCGCCTCCACCGCCGAGAGAGGACGATCCGAAGGGCAAGGGAAAGGCAGTTGAGGGCGTGTCGCGCGTCTATGTTAACTGCTCTATTGGTGATGAGTTGACGAGTGAGGAACTAAAGCAAGAGGAGGAGGAGGCTGCCAAGCCACCCAAGGATGCGACGCCTGAGGGATCCAAGCCTACAGCTTCGACAAGACCGAGGCCGAGGGGATTCGACCGGCTACTTCAGTCTGGGTTCACACAATCCGAAATCTCGACGTTGAGAACTCAGTTCACGTCGATACACACTTCGCGCTTCACCCCAGATGCCATGCCATCGCCTGACACCTTGCGCAACATGGAGGACGCGTGGATTGACAATAACGCTGGTGGGATCCCGTCCGAGTCCAACCCGCTGGAGGACGAGTACACGGGCATGGCTTCGGTACTAGAAATACTGTTCCGAGCCATGATGGTTGGCTTCTTCTTCCCACTCGGAAGTCTGACATGGTTGATGCGCGAAGAAGGGATCTGGAGTAAGAGATGGCAGATCTTTGTCGGCTTCGGCGTCGTATTCAGTCTCTGCATCGGATTCATCATGGGAATCTCAGGGGACCGGCCTTAGTAGAGTCTTCCCCTAGATGATCAAGGACAGCAGCATCATTTCATTTCTGGCGTCGGGCGTTTTTTACATGGAGCGTACTACATACAATAGTCTACTACAACTACAGATGGCGAACAAGACGGGCTAGCATAGATTCCATTCCCAACATTTCGGTCGGGACAACTCGAACCGCCCGGACAACCGACAAGACAACAACTATCTTTTTTTGACCGACGCGCCCAAACTCCCCCAAATCCCTGCGATGGTATAGCAAAATTATGGCCCCAGCACATGCCAAAAAACCCCTTTTGAACTGCTCGTGAAACAGAAACAACCAAAGGCCTTACAGGTACAGACTCTGGGCGGCCACAATGTCTCTGCGGATCTTTGCCAGACTGTCTTCAAACTTCTTGGTCAGGTCCTCGTTGCCCATAACCTTGGCGGCCTGAGCCATCTGTCGAAGGAGCTCTTCCAGACGGCGGAAGAGGCGAATGAGTGAGCCTTCGTACACGTTTGTCATTTTGCTGCATATCGTTAGTGGTGGTCTCATTCACTGTGTCATCACACGTACCAAATCTCAACAAACGGACGTCCTTGGGCCCACGTGTAGACCGTCTCCATCAGCTGCCACTTGAGCTTCTGCACATATTCCTCCTCGTTGACGTCGAGCTTGCACTCCTGGCTGACCTTGGCAATGATTCTCGCCTTTGCCTGGACCTCGCGGAAGGGCTTTTGTAGTTCCTCCTTGAGAGCAGGAGCCTCCACCTTTTCGTCAAAGATAAAGATACTCATGACGGCGGCGCACATCTCGGGTGTCTGCTCGTTGAAGAATCTGTCGAAGAGCAATTCCGAAAGGAGAAGCTCGTGGCCCTCAGTGGATGAGACCTCACACGCGACACGGGCCTTGAGCTGGACGACCTCGGCGTCGTTGATGAAACCGAGACGGCGGAGGACACGCTTGCGCGACTTGAGTTCATCCATCTGAGCGATGCTGTAAGCCTTGGCGATAGCCTTCTTGGTCTCCTTGACCTTGTCGGTCAGCTTGACCTTGGTGTGGTATTGCTCCCATAGTGAGGGCAGAAGAGGAGAGAGGTGCAGAGGGTTGGCAAGAAGCCTCGACTCCAAGACCTCAATCTTTCTCAGCAGCTTCTTGAAGGACTCGTCTGTGATCTCCATGTTCTCAATAGGATCCAGGATGGGCAGACCATCAGGGAATCGACGCTTCACCTCCATCAGAGACTTGGTGAGCGTCTCCCTGTCACCATCCGTCTTCAACCCATCCTTAGGGAGGAAAAGTCGGATCTGGCTGATGGCCTTGATGCAGGTGAGGAGACAAGGCACAATGGCAAACTTGATATCGTCGTCGTCGGAGAACGGCTTCAAGCCAGGGGGCATCTCTCCAGCTGGCTGCCCGGGAGCAATTTCGGCGCTCTTCCTTGAGATGGGCAGGAGAACATCAATGACGTAGGACTCCTGGGGGATGTGTTCGGGCTCGCCAAGCTTGGGTCCTCGGCGGGGAGTCTGGTTGACAATGACTCCCCATCCAAAGTCGGTGCCGTTGCCAGCAACAGTCTCCTGGTCATCCTTGGGGTTGTAGATCTGCACAAGACGGCCGGGCTGCAAGTAAGAAATGCTGTAGTTGGGGTGCTGAATAACTGTCCGCATGTCCTTGGTGTAGGTGCTCAGCTGTTGACGAATCTGGTAGTAATCCTTGACTGTCGCCTCATCAGGAATGCTCATTGTATCGCGCTCCTGCTGTAGCGACATCAAGTCCTTCTCCAGAGACGGGACGCTAGCCGCGTTTTGGAACTGATGGAAACATCGCTCCAGCATAAACTCTGGTGAGATGGCCTCGATTCGCAGCAGGTTCAGAATCATGTTGTAACCAAGGTAGAAGGCCGAGTTAAGGCGATCCTGGTGACCAGTAACAATCTCCTTGGCAGTGTCGGGCTCAAGCTTGTCGTCAATCATCATGATAACGATACCTCGGGCATCGAGACCACGACGACCAGCACGACCAGCCATCTGGATATACTCGGAGGAAGTGAGAGGGCGTCTCTTGACACCATCCCACTTGGTAACCTGGGTGAAGACGACAGTCTTGGCAGGCATGTTCAAGCCGATAGAGAAGGTCTCAGTCGCGAAAAGAACCTTGATAAGAGACTCCTGGAACAAAATCTCAATGGTCTCCTTGAGAATAGGCAGCAGACCTGAATGATGAACACCAATACCTCGCTCCAACAGAGGTAGCAGATTGACAATCTGAGGCAACTCCCGATCCTGCTCTGACAAGCTCTCAATGGCGCTGTGAAAGACCTTTTTAACCATAGCCTTTTCGGAATCGTCGTTGAAGCTGAGGGATGAAATGTTCATGGCCATGTTCTCGCACTCTCGCTTGCTGAAGTTGAAGACGATGACGGGGTTGAACTTCTTCTTGATGGTCATCCGGATGATCTTGGCAATGTCCGAGCCGCTGTCCGCACCACCCTTGTTGGTCTTCTTGTTCTTGCCCTTTCCTTTCTGTCGTGCCGTAGGATCGTTAGGATCAGCTCCCTTCTTCTCCTCCACCTCTTGCATAACCAGGTTGAAATTCTGCTCGTTAAAGTTGCTCTTCTCGTCGACGATGAGTCTGGCGCCACTACCGCCAGCGGGGAAGAAGTAGTTCTGAAGAGGAGTCGGTCGGAAATCAGTGTAAACAACGTGACAGGCCTGGTGATGAATCTTGGCAATCCACTCGGCGAACTGGAAAGCGTTGGGAATGGTGGCCGAGAGGAACACGTATCGGACCTTGTCGGGAAGCATAATGATGGTCTCCTCCCAAACGACGCCTCTCGTCTTGTCGCGCATGTAGTGAATCTCATCAAACACAACCCACGCAACTTCTCGCATAATCTCGGAACCTCGATACAACATGGACCGCAAAATCTCTGTCGTCATGACCAGACAACTGGCCGTGGGGTTGATGGTCACGTCACCAGTCATCAAGCCCACATCTCCAAAGATGGCCTCGAAATCTCGATATTTCTGGTTGCTCAGGGCCTTGATGGGACTCGTGTAGATGACTCTCTGGTTGCGCTTCAGACACTGCGCGATGGCGTACTCGGCGACGACTGTCTTTCCGGCAGAGGTGTGCGCAGACACGAGCACACTCTCCTCCCGTTCAATCGAAGCCACGGAAAGACTCTGGAAAGGATCGAGCTTAAAGTTCCACGTTCGCGCCGGCTCGTCGGGCGCCTTGTGCTCGGACAAGGGAACATACTCGTAATCCAGGTCCGGGGGCAGCGCCACTTGATGCTGAATGTTATGCGACAGGACCAGCGACGAATCTTGAGGCACAAAGGTAGATGCGCCAGCAACCTCTCTCGACTCTGCCGTCTGGAAAGTATCCGTCATGACAGGACCCGCGCCGTCCTCCTTCTTCCTCCTCTTTTTATCCTGCTGGCTGGGGGTGTCCGAAGTGTCGTCGTCGTCGGAATTCTCATCCTTGGAGGTCTCGGTCTTGTCGTCCATGTCAACATCCTCAGCCGCCTTGGCCGCGCTGCCGTTCATGGCCTCATCGGCCTTTCTCTTCTTGGTCTTGTCGCGCTTGCGGGGGACGCTCTCGTCTTCGCTCGCACTCGGGGCCTCCACCTTGCCCTCGAAAACATCAAACATGTCATCCATGTTTGGCGATGGTGTGCACCCGCGATCGGGGGCGATCGCTAGCTTTTTTGGAGAAAGGGATCGAGATCGGAGTAGCTAGCAGCAGCAGTTGCAATTCCCAACGCGCTGAAGAAGGTCAAGGTTCGAGAACAAAGAAACGAGGTCTCAAACAAGACCAAAAATAGTCACCTCGAAGGAAAAAAGAGCGTGACCTTGTCGTCCCGTACAACAACACAAAGGAATCGATCGGAGGTTCCCAATTCGTGGGACCTGGGCCATGCGATTAAAAAAAGTTGGTTGACCAGGAAGTGGGCTTGGCGGCAGAAAAAAAGCGCCCCTGGCGAAACAAGCTGCGGGCGGTGAACCATCGAGATCCACCGGTTGCTGCCGACGTCACGTACGACTCGGGATGTCAGCATTACCATTTGTATGCGTCATGTGACCTTTCAGGTGACCGTGCTAAGCGTTTTCCCTTCAACCTCAGACCACCATCTTGACCTCGGCGCTACCCATCACGACGTTTGACACATACCCAAGCTCCCATCCCCAATCGCCACTCCACAACGTCAAGGTGCGTTCCCGTCTACGATTCTGAAGCCATTGAGCCGCTCGACTCTTGTCTCCCGCCGCGCACGAACCGAATTGACCTCGCCCAGATGCTCTCCCGCGCCGCCGTCCGTACCACGACCTCTCTGGTCACCAAGCGAGGCTTCCAGACCACCCGCGCCCGCCTCTCCTCGCCGTACCACTACCCCGAGGGCGCCTACAGCAACATCCCCTTCAACCCCCGCAGCAAGTGGTTCGGCGTTGGCTTCTGGGGCTTCATGGCCACCGGCTTCTTCGCTCCCTTCGGTATTTCCGGTGCGTGGTTTCTCTCCCGTGCTCTCCCGGCCGGACGCATCGATGCTAACTCGCCGTGCAGTCTGGCAGACCTACAAGCCTACCTAAGTCCGTGGTTAGCGGATTGGGTATGCTGCTCGTCCATTGACAGATCAGGGAGCCTGTGGATGGATCGTTGTGTACATAACCGAATAGACAACAGTCACTCTCGATCCTTGTACTCGAAATATTTCATTTGTCCAAGCAACAATTTTGTGCCTCTGTGATTTGCAATGTGATTTATGCTCATGATCAGCTCAATTCGTGCTCATGTCTCAAACGAGAATCGTCTAAGTACAGAGCTATCCTGCTCTGGAGTATGCTCTAATATGGCGTAATATACAAGTTGGTACAGAATATACTGTTACATCATAACCGCGTTCCATCTTTTTTGTATCTCCGGTACGACGGGCCATCCCATTGACCCGTCGCCGACTTCATATCGCTGCCGTTGAGAACGTTGTCGAACAGGGACTGAATGAACGGGATCCGGTCTGGTGCAATGTCCCAGCGCTTAGCCAGTTCATCGTAAACCCGGACGACGGCTTCGTTGGAGGAGCACTTCTTGACTGCTCGCAGAGCCCAGATGACCAGCCACCGGTCAATGCGAAACCCTCGTACTCCCTCGTCCTTGGCCTGGTACATGGCCTTCAAGACTCCCTCGAGGCGCTGCTCACTCCACTCTGAGCTTGAATACCCTCCGTGAGAGTAGAAGCCCTTGAGCAGAGCCAGGAAGATGGTCGGGTGGATCGTGATCCGAAGAAACTTCATCTCATCCAGGTACTGAGCAACCTTTGCCAGATCCCCAATCCGGGTGGAGTAGTGTTCCACAAAGAGCTTGTAGGTATGAAGGTTCGGACTAAGCTCGATCTGCTTCTGCAAAGACTTGCCGAGCTCGGGGTGCTTCCGTCCAACTCTGCTGAACATCATCAACACCTTGGTTATGACCCGAGGCATTCCGTAGTTCCTATCAGGGAGATCCGGGGACATTGAATGGACATCCCTCATACTCCGATACGTCTCTTCAGCCGCCACCTCCTCGCCACACCTCAGAAGCCCCGATATGACACAATTGAGCACAACAGTGTCAATCATCTCACCCGCCTCGACCATGTCCCTGTAGGCAGCCCGGATCCCTGCCGAGTCCATCTGCAGGCCAAAGTAGTGTATCATACTAACATGGTGATACCGGTTGTACGGAATCTCCCGGTTTTCCATCTCCCTGTAAATCATCTCGGCCAGGGTATAATTGCCAACCTTGGAGGCGACATCAAACAAAATGTTGAACGTCACTTCGTTCCCCTTAATACCGGCATTGCGCTCCATTTCCCTCCATATCCGCAGTGCAGTCTCCAACTCGGTGGACGTTGCGCGGCCCGCATACTTCGTAGCAAACGCCATGGCGAGGTTCCAATGAGTCCGGCGCAGCGTCAAGCCAACGCTTCTCACATCGCCAAGCAGTGCAAAGTACCGGAGCATCGACTCGGAATCGCGCTTCGGTGGCATCCCCATGACCCTGAGAAACTTGTCTCGCCATTGCCATGTGAGGTGAAGCATTCGAGGTTCGGGGAGTTGGAGATAGATTTCGTATATCGGCTCAAGAGAGGTGTAGTAGGGGCGACGCAGTTTTTGCGAAATGGCAGAACAAAGCTTGGCAACTATTCGTTTCGTCTCATCATTGCCCTTGCAAGTCTCTTCCTTGGTCGGATGCTCAAAGTCCCGCCGCTTATCCGACACCTCCAGCTTTTGCCCATCAGGTTGGGCATACCGTCGACGGTACGGATCTTGGTATAATTGTAGGTGCTCCTCGACCGTGCTCGAGTCTTCTTGTCGGACAAAAGACATAAGGTGCTCTGGATCTTGTCTATGCGTCGAATTGGCGCTATGGCCCGAATGTCGCGCAGCCTCGGCGGCAGTTCCGTAGTTCTTTGCCGCATGTCGGGGTCGGTGGATTGGGAGGGTCCGTCGAAGCTCGGTTGCTGGTGTAAAAGTCTTGAGCAGCCATAACGAGCTCCTCGCGCAGAAGAAATCGGCAGCCAGCCTCTTCCTGTGCATCCCCCCGCCGCCATCTCTCACGGCACAGAAGCTCCTCCTCGCTGTCGGGGCGACAAGCCTGGCCGACGGTCGGTTCGAGAGCACCGCACAGACGGAGCCGTCTACTCGACTGGAGATTTTCATGAGCTCCTCCTCATGATGGTGCGACCTCGGTGTGTAGCCGCCGCACTCGAGGCAGAGGAAGCCAGACGAATTGGAAGCAGAGAAGGGGTGAGAGAATGGAGGTCGGCAGTCCAATCTCTCTCGTGGTGGGATGAGAGGCTTGTGCTTGTTTCTCAAGTTAGCGGGACCTTTTTCCGGGATGATTTTTTGCTAACAGATCGGGGGCGGATTCGCGCCAAGCTTACCGGCATCCCGCATTATCGGCGTTAAGATTGGCCGATCTCCAAAATTTCCACCACCACACCACCACGCTGAGCATAGAGCCGCGACATCGCAATCCACTCCCGTTGTAGAGCGCCAATTGACCCTGTAAGTTGAAGATTATGCATTTAATGGCCTGGTGTCTCATAGGCTAATCCATATCTCAGAAATTGGCCATGGGAGGCAGACAGATCCGCCCCGCGAGGGTCTTCCAGACCGTCACCGAGGAGCTCAACCATAACCTCCTCGGCCAAAAGTCCATCGCTACGCCGCCATGGTATAACATCATGCAGACGATCCCTCCCTCAGAGACCCTCGTCCGACCAATCCCTACCCGACACCGAGCACCCAACCCCAGAGCTACCAAGCCCAAGAACATCTTCCGCCCGCAACGGATAAAGTACCTCGAGGATGGGCTACGAACCACATTCTACAAAGACCACCCCTGGGAGCTTGCAAGGCCTCGTATCATCATGGAGTTGGATGGAAAGGACTATCAGCATTGCGATTGGAGCAAGGGCTTGAAGCAGCCCAGCATCCCCTTGTCAGGAGAGTGGTAAGTCGAGGGACTATATACAACTCATGTATACCAACTAACCCCACCATAGTGTTGTTCAACGCCAGATGTGGCTCATGGAGAACGAAAACATGACCGAGCGTAAGGCTTACGACGTCACCCGCCGCGAGTTCTACCGTCTTCGCCAGGCGGAGGAGATCGAGAAGCGCGTGGCCGTCGAGGAGGCCAGACACGTGGGAGCCTACTTTGGCAAGACTCGCATCGACGTCTCGCACGGCCTCGAGGACCGCGAGTTTGAGAACTGGAAGCTCTGGGCCGGCAAGGAGACGGAGCGCACCGAGGCCCGCCGCAACTCGGAGATTGAGAGCTTCGGCCTCGAGGAGGAGGAGGGCGCCGCCGGCGGGGAGGAGGTCGCTGTTGATGCAGATGCCACCGCCGAGACGGACAAGGTCGCGATTTAAGGTCGCTGATGCAGAGAAGGCGGATGATACCCGTCATGTACACAAACCATGTAAAAATTACCGTCTATGTACGAGAATCAAGATTCACGCATGTTCCATGAACCCCTAGGTGCGAACCATTTCCATTTTAAACCTCTTCATCTCAGACCTCCCATCACAAAATCTCCCTGGGCGCAATTCAGAATCCCCCTGAATGCAATCCCATTCATCTCAGATATCAGGGCGCCGGGCGTTAAACACCATCTCCCCAGCATTCTCAATCCCGTACTTGGCAGCAACCTCGGCGTGCTGCACAACCAGGACATCAGCGATGCCGGTGTAGTAGAAGAGCTTCCCGGTGAGGCTCAGGGTCGAGATGCGGGCCCACGACTCGATGTAGACAAACTTCATCGAGTCCTCGGGAACGACGTAAAACATCTTGAGAAGATGAACAGCCAGTCCGACAAAGAAGCCGGTGGCGGGGCCGTTGGAGAAGATGCAGGTTGGGTAACGAAGGTTGGCGCCGACGTCGTTCTTGGGGGGCGTGAGGAGGGCGGGGATGATTTCCAGCATGCTACGCAGAGCGGAGAAGGGAGTTGACCAAAGAGGCTGGTGAACACGACGAGCGCGGGCGACGAATCGAGTGTCATAGGTTCCAGCTTCCTTGCCCTCCCGGATGCACAAAAGGTCGAGGTCAGTCTCGTACTCGGCGACTTGGTGAATGGAGTTGAGATCCCCAGCGGTAATCAGATAGCGACGGTGAAAGTTGGCAAAGTTGCAGAATCCGTCATCCATCATCATGAGCATTTCCTTGGTGTGTCCACCAGAGCCGAGAACAAAGAGGTGATAGTCGACATCACGACGAGCACGTCCAACCTGCTTACCAGCAGCAGCGGCACGACGACGGAGGGTGAGCTGAACAGTGCGAGCCTTGAATTCACTTGAGTCAGGGAACGCTTTGGTTCAGAAAAAGGTCAGGGAGAGGCTCACCGTGAGGAAGACGATGAGCCCGACGAAGAAGAGCAGATGGAGCAGGAACAGGACATTCTCGGCTGGGAAGCAGATCAAGAGGCCGATACTGACGCCGAGGAGTGCGGCGACGATAGAAGCCAGGAGCTTCAGGGACTCTGTGGACATCATCTTGGCGAGATGCTGCAGTCGTTGGCTGGTGACGAGTGGTTGACTTATATGCGACTATTGTTGGAGGACAAGTGGTCAGTACAAGGATCAAGGTTGAAGAAGAAAAAGGACAAGTCAACCAAGAAAAAGGTAGGGAGATATACCTCATGGATTTCTCTACATGAATATCCTCAAAAAGGGAATCAAGAATAGGATTCCATTGTTTCCAAAGCAATGACACGATGTCTCTCAACTCGGCAAAAAAGCATGTGCTCAGAGGGAACAAAGTGAGGTTGAGAGTGGATTCATGTGGCTCAAGCACGGGCCAAAATGGGAAATGTAAGCCAAGTTCAGGGATATTTGACTGGCTGAATGAGCCTACCCTGAATTGTTCAATTAGAGAGACCTTGAAGAGCAAAGAAATTGATTCTCAATCAGGTATTCAGACTATTTACTGTACATGGAAAACCCCCGAAAGGAAAATGCTAGTGTGTGAATCACCAGCATTGCTCCTTGCTGATTTGATGCCTCCAACAATGCCAAGTTGTACTCATCAATGAATAACCATCGTTGAAGCAGAACTTCTCATGCTCGTGCACATTTGACCAACACCCGACTCAAAAGAATCGTCGTCTCTTCTTGGGCACAGTACTCTCTTCTTCCTGGATATCCTCCCCAAGAGCACGTCTCGCCGCCTCTAGGGTCGAATCTTCAAAAACCTCTCTCATGCCTTGACCAGTGGCAGCTGAACACTCAAGGTATCGATGGGCACCAATGCGCCTCGCTTGCCAGTTTGCCTATTTCAGTCAGCCATCTCAACCCAATCTACGATCTAAGAGAGAAATACTAACCTCGGAGGAACAGACACAACATGTCGGATAAGCCATTAGCCCCGAAGGCGAAAGCGCAGAACCAGTTCGGTGGTCCTCGAGGAAGCACTGATCACGCAGATCCTTCTTCAAACCAACAAGATACAGCAACGGCTGAAAAGTCTCGGTCTTTGCAAATGCATCGTGAGATGCGTGGTACCACTGCATTCATCAGCCTTACGCAACCCAACAACTTGTGGGCACTCACCCATTGCATGATAGTGTACATGGACACCTTGTCCGAGATGTTGAAACAGAGAAACACAGCGTCCCAAGAAATATACGTCAACCTCTCGACCGTGTTTAGGTCTGGTACGCCCGAGGTATCCTACAGCTCAATGCGTACAGGGTGGTCGTTGTAGGTGCGCTCATTGACATAGGTTTCATACAAAGGCCGAGAAAAGGCGTCAGACTGTGGCATGTTAGCTTATGATACATATCAAGTGCCCTGTAACTTGCATCAGGAAAATAGCCATAGCGAGCACGGCTACAAATGTCAGCGAAGCAACACATAAATAACGAATCTCCTCACAATAGCAAAGATGTCTGTCCTGCAGACTTGCTACCCACAAACAAAAAGTTTAGGTGGATAGGTTGCCGCGGGATACTCTCCACCTCCGAGTCTCTACGCTTGCGCTTGCCGTTGAAAATCCCCAAAAGTCTCTTGCGCTTAGTCTCAACGGGACGGCTTACAAGACCCGAGGATGGGCGGCTAGACTCTGAGGTGGAAGGGCGCCCAAAGAGAGGCGTGGCGGCGCGGAAGAAGCTGAGGCGGGTTGATGGACGACGCGCAGGAGGAGATGCCTCACGGAAGGTCTAATGGATATTCGTGAGCAACAAGGTAAAACAGATGGCTGATATAAAAACTCACAAGACGGGTTGAAGGACGCTCCTCAAAACCATCGCCCTCAAACGGATCTCGTCGCTCCAGACGACTGGGCACACGCTGTCGCCACGAGTCGATGCGCTCGCTAGGCTTTATCGGGGTCAAAGGCATTTTGTGGCAAGAGACAAAGATGCTTATGAGGCGATACAAGTTCGAAGCAAGGTGAGGAGAATGAATGAGGATGCGGTGAGGTGAAGAATGAAGAGTGTTGTTGTGAAGAAAAGAGCAGGCAGTGGTGATGCATGCTAGGTAAATATGGGTTGACAGTTGACGGCTGTCAACAGCTGGCAACCTGTGCCCGCCACCTCTCACCATATCTAACCAATAACAATAAACACCATCATGGAGGCATCATATATAATCTCTAGGCTGCTTATTTCGAAACCTATATCTAATAGCTTTAACTGACAAAGTCGGCCAGGTTCGCGACATCCGCCCTCCTCAACCTCCCCCCATCAACACCCAAAATCTCCCTCGGAAACCACTCATCCAACTTTCCCCCAGGTCTTCCAATACCCTCCTCCAGATTTTCCTCCTCCATGCCAAGAACCATAATCGCCAGAGCTGTTCCGCTTAGCCAAGCCCAAACCATGCCCTCGCCATTGAAGCCAGCGGCAACCCATTCTCCCGAGTTCTTGTCCTTTGAAGGACGAACTCGGCCGACTAGGGGCATCAGATCTCCTGTAAAGCCCAAAATACCCGTCCAAGCCTTGACAAGTTTGCTTTTTCCGCCCCATTGAGGCTCAAATATAGCTGGCATAACACCCCGGATGTGCGTCAGCGGGAGGGCATGCACCTGGCTATCATCCCAAACTCCAACTTGATCCAATCCCTGCTGACGGCTCCTAAAGAACCCCCCTCCAATCATCAAATCCCCCGGTGTGCCATCTGAATTATCCGGTCTCTGCGTCACATAGTCAAAACCCGGGTTGTAGACAATAGACCACGACCGTCCTCCGTGCGACGATGGGAATGATGCTCCTGGGCGCTGAGCAGACATGTGTGCCAAGGCGCCGGTGAGACTCCCGCGAAGCGATTGAACGAGATGAGGAGCGTATGCGTTGGTTGCATGGATCACATGTCGTGTCTTGAGTGTTCCGTGAGGTGTCTTGACCGTGTAAGCGTACGGTGACGATCCTAATTCTTGCGAGACACTCTCGACGGGTGTGTTGGTGTGAATGCTCAGAGTGGAAAATCGATCGAGCAGATCATTCCACACACCAGTAACAAGACGATATGGCCAGAGAGCGCCAGCTGAGTAGGATATACCCCCTACAATAAGCTCGTTGACGCCAAACTGTACTGATCAGCAACTCGTCTTACAGTAATGAATCAGTCCAGCTCACCTCTTTTCTAACCTCATCCGCCTCCAAGACAAAGGCCTTTTCCTCTGGCATCCAAACCTTCATCTCCTCAACCTCTCGTTGCGCCTTTTCGAAATCATCCTTCTCAGTAAACAGATCCACCGTCTGCACTTCTCTCACCTCACCCTGCGGCACCCTCTCTCCAACCTGTTTCAAGATCTCCAGATGACTCCTCTGAAATCTCGCCAGCTTGGTCGCCTTCTCTGGTCCCATCTTGGCGCGGAACATTGCAAGAACCTCGTACGGCGTGGACTTGATGTGTCCGCCATTCCTACCCGTGGCACCACTACACAGCTCCCTAGCGTCGCATACAACAACCCTCAGCTCTCCAGACAACTCCAGAAGTGACTTGGCCACCGCTGCACTCGTGATGCCGCTCCCAATAATTACGACATCTGCTTCCGCAGGCAACTCACTTTGAATGCCGCGTAGCTTAGGAAACGGCGGGTCGTCAAGCCAGTATGAGCGGGTTGGTGCGGGGACGGGTAGGCTAGGTGGGGATGAAGCCCGAACAAGGAGGGATGAGAATTGAGTATGTAGAGCTGAGAAGGTTTTCAGAACCGATGATACGGTTGAGACAGTTGACTGGATCGAGGAGATGATGGCGCCCATGGCTGAGGAGAGTGCGGCTAAGGTTAAGATATGGTTAGACAAGACAGTTGAGCGAGATGTTGAGGGTGAGACACTGAGACACTATCTCGATCGGCAAGCATGGGCTCAGTAACCGAGTGGTTTACACTCCTCTTATCAAGATAATCACGATAATGCATGTACTACATCGAGCACACCTACGAGACGGGCGAATTTGAGAATGACCAATATCACATCAAAACACCACAAATCAACGGCAAATCATCTTGGCGATTCAATGGTAAAAGACATGAATGCTGGATCAGCGACCCTTCTAGTTGGCATTTTCTCTAACGCTCTAAGAATCCCTTCCCCAATTTCCCCAGTCCAGTCCTTCCAGTCCATGATCTGCCGTTAAAACTAAAGAAGAGCACAAACCACAGTGAAACAAACAAGACCGTCATCATTCTGGTTTCCCAATGCCCACCCCCCATAAACACCACTGATTTCAAAAGAGTAAAAAAAGAAACACACCTTCCTCGTGATAGACCTTTGCCTATACCCATCCGTTGCTCGTTGTCCTCCAGCCCAGGTGAAGAAAAAAAAAGTCAAAAGAACAGAAATTGGGCTTTTGAAACTCCAGCTCCCTCCCCCCTCCTTGTCGCATTACGCCATAACCGATGCAGGGTATGTTTTTCAGAAAAAAGTGAACCTGTCATGAGACGAACATCCTGTTCCTTTTGCCCTTTTTGGCATCCTCTCTGTCCCATGATTCCAGGGGCAGGCCCTTGTGAACGCCGATTCGACAGTCCATAATAGACGAATGAAAAAGAAATAAAAAAGGGTCATAGAAGAAGAGAAAAGGCTACAATAAAACAATCCTTGCGGCAAAGCTGCCCAAGGACAAAGGTGTGGGTATCAGACTCCCCATGTCAACTTACACCGCCGCTGCCAGCTCATGAACAATTATCGAATTGATCAGATGCTGACCATTCCGTCATCGTCATAATCGCACTCCCTCGGATAGTCCACGGAACCCGAGAATCGGCCATTGGGGTCCAGGCCCAATTCCTGCCTCACATCCCTTTGGATCTGGAGGAAATACCTCCTCAGGTTCCGCAGACCCTTGAGGAATCCACCATCAGGCTCGTCGGGATGTTGCGGCGGGCAAGGCTTGTCCGTGATATCGTCGAATGGCGTGAGACTGTTGGCAAAGTCGGCGATTTTGAAATCAATCTCTCTCTTGTTCTTCTTCTTCCTCCGCGTCGTCTCTTCCGTGTCTGTTGCAAAGTCGGTAGTGGATTCGTACATCGTTTCGTAGTCGGGATCCTCCGACGTATCGCCATCATAAAACATGAGCAGACTTGCTGCATAGAATCGGTAGCCATGCAACTTGCTGACAATCTGCTCCAGTTGCCCAAGCTTCTTCAGAACCACCGGAATGTGCCGAAGGATACTGTGCAGGTCGAGGCCGTTGTAGAGGAACTTCTGAAGAGCACCTTGGAACTCCTCACCGACTTTTAGCTTGCGCCCGTAGTATTTGTCCTGAAAGTCGTACGTCTGCGACCTGGCATTCCACACTTGCAGACCGCAAATACGCACACCCAGTTCCGCAGACGTCGTGGTCCGGCACTTTTCCGTCTGGGACTTTTGCTTCTTTGGTGTAGCCTCCACGCCGTATTGGCGGGTACCCATCTTGAGATCCATCATGCAGGGTCTCTTCATGCCTGATGTCAAGTCTTCTAGGAGCAAAAAGTATTCGACCCGATCCTTCTGAGTCTTGGCCTCCTTGGGGTTGACAGGTCGAGGAATCTTCTTGTACTCGGCTGCAGGCTCAGGCGCAAGATCAGGTATGCTCTCCTGCGCTGGTGTGGCAAGAGTCGAACTGACAGCAGAGTCATCCTCGGGTTGCTGGTCAACCATGTCTGGCGCATGCTCCTTGTTCCCATTAGTTGGCGGAGTGTCATGTCCATTAGCCATGGAGCAGTTCTTCGAATGTCGCTTTGTCTTTTCCTCGTTGTCTCCCTTGTATCCAGCGTCGTCGGCTTCCTCAAAGTACTTCAAGTCTCCTCTAGATTCTCTCACGTCTTCGGGTTTCCGACGGAGTCCACCAGCAGAGTATCTGCGCTTCTTCTTGGCGGAAAGTGGGTTGTCCTTGAGGGTCTCGGGCTCTGGAGCACTTGTCCCAGTCACGTCCTTCATCTCGCCTGGTGCCTGCTCAGGCTCAGACTGCACATACTCGTCCATATCAGGGACAGCCCGCTCAGGGCCGAGATCGCTGTGTGAGTATTGATGGTGCGCAAGCTTTCTCTGAGAGTGAGCATGATTCGTCGGGTTGTCGTCTCCATTGACATTGACAAAAGGCGAGTCGGGCTTGATCAGGGCAGGGTCCGAGTTTGTAGATCGGAGCAGGCGCTGAAGAGTCGGACGCGGGATCGATCGTTGATGGGGTCGGCGGTGCCGATGAACCTTGACGGGCTCCTTCAGGAACGCATCGTTGAATACCTCGTTCCGCAGCCGCTTGTTGATCATAGTAGCGCCCCAACTGTTAGGCCGCTCATCGAGTGGTGGACGGACCGCGGTCCTTGAGATTGGCACTGTGGGGTCTGATACCGTCGAAGTTGAGATGCTCTGCCGTCGGAACTCCTTTGGCAAGGGCATCGGTTGAAGCAGGTTTCGGGGTAGTATGTGCTTGTTGTCGTCGAATGTCACCGTGGGGATAGGGACGTTGGAGTTGGCCAGAGATTGGCTGATGATACGACCCGACGGTGGTCCAGCCTTGATGTGGTCCTTGTGTCCATTCTGCTCATTCTCCTGGCGGTTTGCCTCAAGCTGCTCCTGGGCCTTCTTACGCTCAGCCGCTGCAACCTCATCCTTCTTTGAGGTGCTCTTCCGGCGAGTTTGCTTGCGGAAAGTCACATTCAAGACGCCAATGTAGCTGCACAATAGTTAGCCTCCGGTTTCAAAGCAATTCGCGTCAACGGAACAATCCACCATTCAATCAGGAAATGCCAAGTGCGGTGGAACATACCGAGGAAGGAAAGGTAACAGGTCACGGTGGTATCTCTCAATAGTCTCGTAAAACTCATTTTCCCTATTGTTGAGTTGCTTACAGACGGCTCTTCGAGAGAACCGCCAGAGAGTGGTGTGACCACCGACTTGATGTTTATATGGAATGAGCTCAATGGCCTCAAGGGGCTCTTGAGGGTCGTGTTGGTGGTCATGGATATGGTCCTCATAATGGCTCACGGGTTGGGGCGTTTTAAGAGGAGCGTCGTTCGTCACTGTAGTGTCTTCTTCAATGACAGCGGCGTCCTCAAACTTGTCAGGCACGAGGTCGCCGCGCTTCACAGCAAGGCGCTCGCGAGAAGGGAGGCGAGCGAGGCCATAAGGAGGCTCATCCTTCTCCTGAATGATTTCAGGCTCAGGCTCATCCGCTTTGACGAGCCACGGATGTTGTTTACTCTGAGAGAGAGACCGCACCCGGATACTACGGGCCGCGGTGCGGTCCTGGGGCTCACCTATGCAAGGTTCTTGCAGCTCTTGGTGGGGTAAGAAGACGGCAGATGAGATCTTCTCTTCCCCGGATTCATCGGCATCTCCCTCATCGTGAGATCCGACCTCGGTATTGACGCTGTCGCCTGATTTCCGTCTCGCCTCCACTCTTTCGGCTTCTCCGTCGGCATCAATGGCCGGGGTCGGCCCCACAAGCTCAGCTGTCTCCACCGACTTGCCCTCTTCGTGCCCGTTCACGGGTCGAGACGCAGACTGTTGCACTTGCAACGGAGTCTTGTCTCCCGAAGTGAGCGAACCATTAACGGGCAGCGAAAAATAATCCTCATCAGGAGACGTGCTGAGAATGGGTTGCTCGTCGAGGACGTATTCGGAGTAGGGGGTCTTTGGTGTAAGTAGAGGAACCCCTCCGTCATCATGTCGCAAGCGAATGGCAGTTGATTCCTTGGAGGGAGTGGTGTGCGACTTTGTGTTCGAGCTCAATTCGTGATCTTCTTCCAGTGTTGGTGCCAATTTTTCTCTTGGGGTGTGCCTCGGGTCCTTGCGACGAGACTTGTCCTCTGGTGGGAGGCCTTCCTTGAAGAACCGCAAACTGTAGCTCGACTTGCGACTTCGTGCATTGGGCTCCACGCCAGCCATCGCCTCGGCAATGGACTTTTCGACAAGGCCATCCTCCTCCTGGCCTTCAACTGAGCCAATGGACCAAATCTTTTCCGTCTTCTCAGGCCCCATTGCCATCCAATGAGGGGGGGCCTTGACCCATGGTGCTGGTCTCTGATCGGTGTTCCTAGCATCCTCGTGTCGCGGGGTCGCAGGTGGTGTTTTGGTCCCTGGGCTATCATCTTCGAATAGAGAGGGCGAATCATTGAAAGAGGTCGTGTATGTCGTCGTTCGGGGTTGGTAGTAATCAATGGTGCTTCTGTCTAGATCCAGAGAAGTCGAGGCTCTGCCCCGGGGGACATCCCTCGCCTCACGGGAATCGGTAATGACATCGCGAAGGGTGGCGAGGGCCGAGTGGCTAAAGGACGAAGGAACGCTCGCGGCCTCTCGGGCGGCGAGTGAGGTCATGGTTGTAACGGCGGAGGCTGCCATGTTGGAAGACTCGGATGTGGCTCTCGTTAATGGCCTAGGAACGGCGCATTTCGTGGAGACATTTTGGTGAAAGGGATCGATAAAGATGGCAGCGCTGTCTCGGTCGGGTCGCGATGTCGAGTTCGCAGGTTCTGTAAGAGGGTTGTCGAGTATATGAGAGGTAGTCGAGTGTGGTGTAGGAGCAGTAGGAGTCGAGGTGCTCGCGGGTGAGGTTGCAGTCTTATGGTCCGACTTAGACGATCGAACGGTTGTCGACAGGGTTGTAGTAGGCGAATAGCTGGGGGAGGTGACAGTCGTGGGAGAGATGGTGGCTGTAGTTGTAGCAGAAGTAGACTGGGGTGATAGCCTGGAGCTCTTGGGGTTGGTGATTCCACGGGCAGAAGCCAAGGCCTGGGTCAGCAAGGAAGGACCAGACTGCCTCGGCAGGGGCCCGGGGC